AATCCATCTATGGGTTACATGTGTAGGCGGAGAGAGCAAGAGAGATGGCAAAACAAAAGCAGGATGCACAGCATTCTGGTCTATTGAGGCTGTTGTGGGTGTATTAACTGGTATCTTTCATTTCCTCTAATGATTTCTCCCTGTATGATTGTTGAACATCAGTGTAAAATGCCGCCTCTGGAAAGAAATAAAAGGCGTACGCAATTAATGTTGTGTCTGAAGAGTTACCTGCTTGTCTGATTACGTCATCGACAGTATGTTTGGACAGATATTGGTGAGAAACAAAGATTTATAAAGGGTGAATTCTCCCTTTAAGGATGCGATTTACAGCCAGAGCAGCAATGTGTCGCAGCGGCGGAAGTAGGCCAAACATTTCACGGGTATCACAGATGCAGTCTGGATAAACCAAACTGCCGGGCCGTGATTAGACACGGCAAGAAGGAATAAGACGCAGAGGTCTGTGGTTGGTGTCACTCGATAAGAGAGAGAAAAACACTTTGTGACGGTGCACAATAAGCCATGGCGAATCGTCCGGTAGCCCCCAGCTGGTACGAGACATCGCCTGGCACGGCTTTCCATCGGCCTGGCGGGGCTAACCGCGTTTCCAGACATCACGGGATGACAGGCGCAGTGCACGATGTGGCTCTGTTTGTCCCTTGAGGCGTGCTGTAACGTGGCTGGGCTGAAACAAGGAGAGTTGTGTGTTCCTGTCCTGTCTCTGTGCTGCTCTGAAGTGATGTAAGGAGCAGAGAGCGCTGTGACAACGTGCAGCACGTTCAAGCAGAATGTTGCTTGAAAAAAAAAACACACTGTTGTAGTGTAGTGCATCTCAGACTGTCACTTCATACTTTAGGTCAGTGGTTCTCAAACTTCTTTCAATAATATATACTCCTTTTCGAAATATGCCAGTGAAAAATAGAAAAACAAAGCTCATATAAAGAGGCCGAATACAGCGCTGTTCCACCGTGTCTGATTTATGAGGAAAGACACTTCATTTAACATGTTTAGAATCACTGAATTCATGGTAAACGAATAACTTACAACCTTTTTCAGAGGTTTTACAGCAGTTAACGATTGCTAACATGTTGTTTATTGAACTTACATTTACATTTTTTATTGAACTTATTATTGTATAATTATTTTATGAATTATGCATGATTGATATTTTCTCATGTACCTACTTCAGTACTACCCCTAGGGGTATGGGCACTCCTATTTGAGAAACACTACTTTAAGTCAGTGGTTTCCAATCTTTCCGAACCTTGAGTAACGACCCCGGACTTATGTAACACATTTTATGTCAAATTACATTCAGTGCATAACAATAACAGTACAGAACAACTGATAAAGTGATTAACTTGAAAACACAGTAACAAGCTGCAGTTGCAATAAACACTTTTTTCATTCTGATTAAAATCATTCCAGTTAAAGATTTCGGGGCACATGGGATGTGATCTCGTACAGTCTGGTGTTTACATGCGCCGACACATTTAAGTGATGTCTATATCGTGTATTTGTGTTCCTCAACAGCTTTCAGCACCAACCCATTCAAACTGTGTTAACTCATAGTCAGTGTACTTATTTCCAACTCTACAGAGCTTAATGCCTAATATTTTTAGTTTCTTAATACATTTCACTCAACTTAAAGCCACCTGAAGCTACTGACTTGCTCTAAGACGCCGACAAAATGATCCTTAAAAAGTTTGTCTACATTATTCTCAAAAAAAGTCGACAGCACTTAAACATTTAGAGGAAATACTTGACATGACTTGTGTAAGTCTGGGCTAAAAAAAAAGATTTTTCTGCAGTTGCACAATTAAATTAACATTTTGGGTTATTTTGGAGCAGCCGCCTCCGAGCCATATCAGCCCATAAGCAGACAAACATCTCTCCAATTAACTCTGAATAATTGCTGCAGAAAAATCAACACTTATTAACGCTGCAAAACTGGCTGTGTGTACCCAATTTCCTCATGCAGATCATTGTTTCATGCAGTCTGAGCTAAAGTGACAATGTATAGGCAGTCTATATATGTGTGTCATACTCCCTCCAGTGTCAGATTATGTTTTTGCGAGTTCATTTTCATTTCAGCAGCATTGCTCCTGAAATCAGTCCAGATTATTGTATTGCATGCAGACTTCTTCCGTCTGTAGTGAATGAAACACGAGCAAATAGCCAACGCGATGAGACCATTACCTCATTAACTAAATCACTGTACACCATCTGACTAAAGAGACTGTCAAGGCTCCGTGCTTCACATGACCAGAACTGACCCAAATACAAAAGAGCTTTTATCAAGAGATGGAAATAAGTGTCTTTTGAAACTAAACTATAGTAACTCTGGTACAAATTCACATAGACGGTGCATAAAATCTTAACAAACACACGCCTTTTCTCTTCAGTTATCAAATATGATTGCACCAAATGTCAGTGAAAGTCTTCCCTTTACAGTAACACTTTACAAATAAACCGAGTGTAGATATAAGGAAGTGTTTTCTTCTGCTACTTTCTACCTGCTACTCCACTACAATATTGTATTAAAAACATATGATTTGATGATAAAATACAATCCACTGTTAAAGATTAAACCACTGATTTCAACCTTTTATGCCTTCATATAAAAACATTATGTATTAGGAGCCCTCTCTCCTGCGGCATCACTCACCTCCCTATAGCCTCGAAACCACTGGACTAAACTAACTGTAAATAAAGTAGCTGGAACTAGCAGCTAAAGCAGCTACAACAGTAAAGTGCTGCTCTATCACATAGAATCCGATATCGATATTTATTGGGATGTAATGGGATATTTTTAATTAAGGGAAAGGATCTGAATACGTCTTCCAAACTGCAGGGCTGAAGATGACCTTAAAACCCCACACTAGACGACTAAGTTACTGTGTGAGAGTAAACAAGACGACCTTATCGGACCCTTGAACATTTCCTGAATTACTCCACAACAAGGTTTCCTGGGAAGCCGGGTTGCTTTATATTTTGACATTATTTGCAGACAGCTAATTCTCCAGTGGACCTCTGTGATGACACCAGCTGTGCTCCCTAGAAGATTTATAAAGCAGCTGGAAAGCCTCTGTGTTATGTAACAGAGTTCAAATGAGACAGTGCCAAAACCACCAGCCATTCGGCCACAGTCGGCAAACATCTGCCCCGCTTTCATACCTTCGAGCAAGGCATCGGATCCCTACCAGCTCTCAGGTAGTGGTTGTTCGAGCGGCAAGGGCGAAAAATATAAAATGAGCACCAGTGTGCAGAAAGTTGTGATGCATTTATGGTGAAACAGCTTATTCAGGGTTAGGATTAGCACCTTAGAGGGCGCTTTATCGTGTTTTGTCCACTGGAAGGGCACCGCCTGCGTTTGTTTAACGTCTTGAGTCCACCAGTGTCTCAGGGTTTTCAACAGATACACAATATAGTGTGATAGTGTTTTAGTCAAAATTGCCAAAAGTACACTCTGATGGCTAGATTTCATGGATATTTTAAGAAAGATATCACATTGTTTATGTCCCTTATCACATTTTGTAAGTGAACAAACCACTAATACCAGTTGAAAGAATGTTTTTGATGCTTCATTATAATGAACTTGTTGGGTTTTTTAGGGGAATACGAGGACATTTGGCCCATGTGCCAGTGATTCACTTAAATAAAGTACTGAGCCAACAAGCAGCACCTGATTCCCATTAACCTACAGCACACATACTCATTCATCACTTGTTTCGTAGGTGGTACAGCCTGAAGTGTGAGACCAGAAACAGAGAAACAAGTCTCAACATGCAGAAAATCTAATTATCTTTACTCAAATGGTTTTAAATAAAGTTATGCACAATCCTAGGGAAAGTCATGGTGGACGGAAGGCAAAATGTGTTCTATACTGCCATCAAAAGTCCTACAAAAGTTTCAGTTTTGACTTGAAACAATATTTACTGTCATCCCAATATGCACCTAAAATGGCAGAGAGCTTCTGTTTTTATTTATTGTTGAGATCAGAAAGAAGCATACTGGATTGTTTCCCCTCAGCCTTCCTCTGTATACTCACAACTGACACAATGATAAATGTAAGTTGTCTCCCTGGTGGGCAAAATGTATTCAGTATTAAGAAAACATGAACATATTCTACGCTTTAATGTCCAGGCGACAATTTATGAGAAACACTGTGTGCTTATCTAAAAATAGAGACAGCAGTATGTACATTAAAGGTTAACTAGGGCACTCAAATAGCAAGCTTTCAATTAAATTATGCAACTTTTATGTAAAATCAAATAGTTATATTGAAAAGACGTCTATTTGATCTACAAAGGTGCGTTCTATAAAAATTATGTTCAAGTTCTGCCAATAGATCCTCCTGAATGTGACACACTAGACCTTTAAAGAAATTGATTTGCCTCCATAGAGCTGAAATAATCCGTCAATTAATCAACCAACACAAAGTTAATCTGCAAAATTTGGATCATGGATGAAACATTTTTTTAAGATAACATGCCAAAAAATGTTCTGGTTCCAGCTTCTAAAATGAGAATATATGCCAGTTATCTTGTTTTCTATAATTGGAAACGGGATCTCCAGATTGACAACATTTTAAGAATCAAACTTATTCTATTAATCAATGAAATAAATGAAAGTGGATTGGAATAATCAACTTATGAACAGCAGGTCATATCTGTCCTCTATAGTCTTAAAATCTATATTTCATCATTCTCTGCTGCTTTGTACTGACATTTTAAAAATGTGTATGATTATATTATCTGAACTGAAGTCTGTTAAAAAGGTCCCGGACACGGTTTTAGTGTTTTAAATCTTGAATCCACTTTAACAGGTTTAAGAAAAAAATCACAGCAAGCTCACAGCCGGTGAGAAATCAGTCAAGTCGTGCAGACCAAATACAAAATTGGTTTTACATTTAATTCTAACTGGCATCAAATGGGTCTTAAAAAGGAGGCTTAAATTGCTGTGTCGTGGTTGTAATCGCTGCCGTAAATGTCTTCCCGTAGGAGCTTCAGTTTGAGCGGCTGACTCGGGAGCTGGAGGAGGAGCGGCAGATTGTGGCGAGCCAGCTGGAGAGGTGCATGCTGGGAGCTGAGTCCCCAGCAGGAGACAGTAGCAGGTAAGTTTGATGACATGACGTCTACACGTTTGTTGTATCACAAATTATGCACAAAAAGACTGCTAATACAATAAGAGATTTTTTTAAATATCTTATTTGTTTATTTAAGTTGTTGCAATAAAAACCATAAAAGCATTTACCTGAAAATATAGAAAGAACAATAAAAAGTATATTTCAGCCTCCTGATGTTTTGTAATGGCCCTTTGGTGTCTCATGCAGATGCACAAGGCTCCCTTTAGTGTCTGTATGAGATGCAAAAGCCTATTTTTATTGGTTCAAAGTTATATAACAGAACATATTTTATACATTATTTTCTAAAAAGAGATCAATAAAACAATGTTATCTTGGTTTTTGACTGGCTCTCTTTCTCTAATTACACTTTAGATGCAGTTAACATCTCTTTTTTTTAGAAATTAAATTAAATTGTAGTCTTAAAATTCTCCCTAAAACATAAATTACTGTTGTCATATGTTTTTACAGTTGGCTGTAAACCGTGCTTGGTTGCAGACCGCTCTGTCAAACCACATAACAGAAGTATCTGTCGTCATGAGGAATGATGATGTTCAGATAGCTGACAGTCACATTGTGTTGTCACAACCTGCAAGCATCACTCTGAACACAAACCTTCAGATCGTTGAGCCTAGCTTAATATCTACACTTATTTCTATGTTTTATTAAATAACCCAGCTGTGATTTTGGTTATAATCTTGCACATTATGGTATCAGCCCAGGTAAAAGGTGGTTTCTGTTCAGCTGCAGGTGTTTTCTCAGCTCAGACAACACAGTGTGCGTCCGTCTGGTTATATAACATGTCTGATCCCCAACTGGGGTCAACTGACTTTCATTTTTTATCAATTTGAAAAAGTAAATCGAAATTCACACAAATAATGAGCGAGGCTTCGTTCTAGTTCCTCATAGATTGAATGTGGAGAAATGTTTTTGAGGCAACAGATTTCCTCCATCTATATCTGTTTTTCTTTTACATTGAAAAACGTTCTTCCTTCCTCTTCCCGGACTGATTGAATATAAAGTATTCGGCCATGACTCTGATTTGATTTACGTCTGTCTCTGCTTTCTCCTGTCCTCCATTTCCTCCTCTTCTCTTCTGCTGAAGCTCTTCGGAGAAGTCGTTTGCATGGAGATCAGCAGGTACGATTTCTTAATTTTAACCTTTAACATTTATTATGAAAAGCCAAATGTCAGCTGGGATCGGCTCCAGCCCTCCAGGACCCTGCAAAGGTTAAACGGTCATAGATAATGGATGTAAAAAGCTATATTTGAGAAGATGAGATGACAAAAAGATTACAGCTTCAGATTTCAAAACCACAAGTGAGTGTTACCATCTGATTCTGTCAACAAAAGGCTCCTACACATTATAAACTGTATGATTTGGGCACAAAAGAAAGCATTTTTCAAGATATAGAAAGTCATGATGGCTGAAAATTGCCAGGATGCAGAACCGACCGGTGAAGCAAAACAAAGCAATGTTTCCACCAGCATATATAGACTGATTTACTATTCTGTCACAGATCCCTCTGCTTTGTTTCCTGGTCCATTCTTCACTGTCAACTTCCCAATAAAACAAAAGTACTGCTATAAAATGCTGTATTCTTTTGTGTCAAAGAATCAATACTTTTAGTTTTTTAGATGAAGAGGATTCTGTCTGCAAAGGTGATGCCACTAAATTCACACACACTTTGTTTTTTATATGTAGTGTTGTCATTTTGTAGGGAAATGTGTTCAGCTAGTGGGTATCTAAATCCACACATAAATGTTTGACTGGCCAGGACTTGCTGTATGTTTTTAACTCAATGGCAGATGCTTTGACAGGCGGAGAGACGCAGGGCGGAGTCCTGGAGGCGTCTGGAAGTCCTGGTCGTCACCTGGAGGGGGAGGAGGGACTCTACATGCCTGAACCGGACCGCGCCTCCCTGCATGACAGTGAGGGTCTGTTAAATGTACACACCACATGGTCTTTTTCGCGAGTACTGGAGTTTATGATGACGCAAGCAGAATCTCGAGAAAAGGCAACATGATGTATGTATGATGTATATGACAATACCAGCAGTGGCCCTAAGACAATTTGAGTTTGAAGCCCCTGCTGTAATCAGAAAGATGCTTCTTTTCTTGCTTTATTACTTGCCATGTTTACATTGTCTAATAGAGGTCAGCTACAAACTAGAAGTTCAGACTTTGAGACATGAATCTGATGATTTTATGTTTGACTCGATTAAATGGGTTAGAGTTAGTCCCTGAACACCTGGTCTCAAATATGAATTGTGTCTGCATAACATTAAATATGTATTACTAAAAAGTTAGAGAAATAACATGCTCAGTCCCAACTGTCTCCACTAATCAGAGAGTCTGCCATCAGTGTGACTGTGACGTGGAAAGCACTTTGAGTGGTCGGGAGACTAGAAAGACGCTATATAAGTGCAGTCCAGCTGTGCCACACTCACTTTAAACTAGTGAACTACTCAGAAAAATACAAAAAATACAGAAATTTCTGCTGTGAAATAACCAAAACTGTTCTAATATTGATTAAAAAAAAACTTGATAAAGAAACATCCTAAACACCTTTTACATGGACAACAAATCCCATGAAATGACCAAACCAGTAATATTTTAGTCCATTGACTCCTTCTGAAGATGAAGCTTTAAAAACATATAAACTGTAGTTTATAGCAAATGTTACTCAAACCACAGCATTTGTTGGGGACTATTTTACCAACTGATACAAAAATCCTTTTGTAAAGGTAGGAGGAAGACTTAATTATTGTTGGTCAACTTGCTATAATGGAGGCCACCACATAAATACACTCGCCAAGTGGAAGAAATCTGAACCCTGATAACAAATCCCACCGATCCCACTCGTAATTATCACTACAGTAGGAGGCTGATGTGCAGATTTCCCAGGCAGTCACTCAGATTTATATTAAAACATGTTTTTTAAAAAAAAACCTAAAAATGTGGTGCCATTTAAAAAATAAATATATATATATATATATATAATAAAACATTCTGGTCACCATCTGGTCAGATCAGTTTAAATCACCCAAAACATAAAGCCTGCCACCACTCTGCTGTCTGAATTCTATTCTCTATTTCATAACTGTCTTGTCGGGAAAAGTTTCACATGTATTCACACCTGGGAGCTCTGCAGTGCAACCGCAGCCTGTCGCTGTCGGACATTAGGCATCTCCACTGGAGCGGCTGACACTTCGGTCCATCAAGCTTCCTCAGCGCTTGTGTAAAACCACGAAACATGGGTGGCCGATAGAGCGAAGCGCTGATGCAGTCAGTGCAGCTGTGAATTCTTATGTGAGCAGGAAGGTTGCTGTTTTAATCTTTTTTTTTTTTTTTTTTTTTTTTGGACAGATTACAGAGAAGGATAGGAACCATTTTTCAAATACTTTCATCAAACACAACTTGCCTGAACCAAATCCTGAGAGCTCTTTATTCAATCTCCCTCTTATTACAATAAATTACAATATCATTGGTAAACATGTAACTTCCATGTAGCTGTTTGAAATTGTGAAAAACAAGTTTGCCTTTGGTCTTGTTTATATTCCGTACAGTTGGAGTGGTCTGATAGTATAAAAATATCCCCCACATGCTCCCTCCTCCTCATCCTACAGAAGAAAGTAGGCCAGCATTATTGAAGCTGTACAGTATATGCAGATTGTTCCAGGAACAGCATAAAGGCTTAATGCAGATATCTGTGCGTATGTATTTATATGCATAATGCCTTTTAACAAGTGGAAAGAGTGACTGAGATAATATGCAAATTATTAAACCGCTGATGTGATGGTGGTGGTTGTGCTAACCGGTTTCATTACACCTCTCGCTAACATTTCACAAGAGGCACTGAGCGGGAAAAATAGAGGCAAAGCGTTTCCTCACCCTCTTCGGTGTTTCCTCACCTTCTTATCTCTCTGTCCTCTCAGGCTCAGGAGGACACTCGGCCCAGATGACCTCGTATTCAGACAGTGGCTACCAGGACAGCAGTGTTAGTTATTACAGCAACCAGAACGTGGTGCGCTCAGAGCCCCGAGCCTCCATATCGAGGAGCCCAAGAGCTGAGGGTCAAGCTTCCGGGCAGGTAGGCCTCATCTCCATTGAGTGACACCAACATTTAAATGTATTTTTTTTTGCATCTATAGACGAGCAGAGACATGTTTGCATTTGTACAAGTCTATAAAACAGTATTAGAAATTGATTCTTGACCTTGGAGAGTAGAGAAAACAATCAAGGGATCAAATTCTGATGGTGAAACATTTTACAGCCGCTTCTTTCACAATGTAACTTTATGGGAAAAAATCTTTTTGGGCCAGCGTGCATCATGTGACGGACACCACTGCTGTAACTACTCAGTTTGGCCACTATGTCAAATTGGCTTCAACACCTGGCGCTCTCCTGGAGGCTTCTTTATACTTAAATAACAGTCTGATCTTACATTTTTACTACTACTTATACTAGATCTAGCTCTACACTGAAATACAAGAGCTGTTTCTACATGGACCATACCTGTTTGATGCTAGCTTTTGATTGATAGCATGTTTGGCTTTAAAATCAGGGATCCATTGTTTAAAAATTTGAATTTTGATGGTAAATTGCGACTGTTATCTTTGTAAACTGACAGATTTAACTTAGTAAGCAATGTTTTCAACATTTGAAGGATTCCTCATCCATTCAAAGATTATTCTCAACCTTGCAAAGCAGCTGAGAAAACTATTTCCTCACAAGGTTGATTTAGTAGCCGTTCTGGAGCTTTCAAATGAATGAATAAGTGAGTTAACTTTTAAATTTTCAAGCTAATATGGATGAGAAGTCCTTTGAATGTTCGGGGAGAGAATGCTAATTTGAACATTTACAATTTGATGACAACATGGGCAAACTTCCACTGCTGGTAGAGATAACATTATGATTGAAATCTCCTGTACAGCTAATTAATTGAACCTTGTGGAGAGATTTTTTTTTCAAATGAGAAATCATATTCTACTTCCCACATGTTAGTATTTTTTCAGGTGTCAAGATGCCCGAAGATATTAGAGTAAAGACAGCCGGTGAGGGCTCAATAATTACTGTCAGGAATGATGAAGAACATCTGCTGAACCGTTCAAAAAAAATCTAATCTTTCCTTAAAATTGTTCACACTCAAACACTATCAGCTCATTTCATTGTGGCTAATAATTATATGCTTTTTGCATGACAACAGAAGCAGCAATGACAGATAATAGTGAGACCATTTGCATTTTCTCCCGATTTATTCCAAACGAAGCAGCCTCACTGGATGGGCTTACATGTCTCGGCTCTTAATTTTCCATCGAGGCGTTCGAGGCTTTGATGGATTAAGGCGGCACAGATTGGCATCCAGTTGGCTGAGTCTGTAATTGAGGGACATTTCACATTTGGTAATAAGAAGGAAAAAAGTAAATGTTTGTCATCATAAATATGAAATATTCTGTCAAATCTTCCCTGAAACGTAATATATTTACTACTTGCAGAGCTCAGCCTACACTATAATGAATTTAGACATTTATTCAGAGGCACGCACATTCAGTTACTTGGACAAATGAGAAACATAATGATGTCCTTCATCAGTCGTGATAAAGCATCCTGCCTCCATGTGTCACATTACTGGTAATTGGCAAGTATATTTGCAAATGGGAGCAGTGCAATGTTCATAGTCTAATTTTCATTTTTCAGGTGTTTATTCAGAAAATAGAAATGTTGAACTGATTAATTGTCAACAGTGTTGGATGTTATACTTGGAGAATCAGGTGAATCTTAATTATAATTGTAGAAATACATTCCCGAAGCAAAAGGAGAAGTGGTACTAAAGCTGCTCTGGTAAACCTTTCCAAAACTACTGCACACTACCACAAAACAGCAATGAAAAAAGATCCAAACATCATAACCCTTATCTCTTTGGCTCCAAATTAATTATTTGATTTGGGTCAATGTAGATGCTTTGATCTTTTTTTTGTAACTACTCTGGTAAAAAAAAGTTCCCATTTGTCTTTACAGGTGTCTGGCCGGATGTTACGGAGGATGGCCTCCCTCCCCTCCAGGAGCCAGTCTCCTGGTGGCACTGCTGGCACTGTCTCACCCTCCCGCATCTCCCTGCGAACATCCCAAGGCAGCACTTACGATTCGCCCATCCTCTCGGAGCCAAAACCTCTGGCCGCCGTATTCCCCGGCACCAGCATGCCGCCCTCCTGCCCTTCGCCAACATCCCCGACTGACGGCACACAGGCCCTGGGTGGTGGGGGAGGAAGTGTGATAGGAGGAGGAGGAGGAGTTGGTGGACGTCTTGGCTCCACCCTCTCTCTGGTGGAGGGGAGGGGTTTGACGGGGTCACCGCTGCGTTCGGGGATGACGGCGGTGCCGCAGCACTATGGCTCCACGCTGCCCAGGCAGAGCCAGCCGTTGGCCTACGGAGCAGATCCATACGGCCTGTACCAGAGGAGCGCACTGCCCCGCCCCGACAGCCTCATAGGTCAGTCTGACATCCACACGTAGCCACATTAGCTCACAGAACCCAGCTGGTAAAGTGTCAGATTGATGTGATCCTGCAAACAGCCTCACCAAACTACCTATTTTTTTAATTATTTTTTTTATAACGTCTCATGGTTGTACTATCTAACTGTTAAAATCCCCACAACATCTGCCTTTGGCTGCAGATTTGCAGCACTGTCTGTTCACATCACGCTACTCTGCACCATCCAGACAACAATCTGATTTCCTGAAGAAGCTGTGTCTTTAATTGTTGAGTTGTTGTTGTCATGAGTCACTGTGATCAACTCAGCTGTTTCACAGCTATGAGACCAGTGATGTGACTGGCTGAGAGTGCATTTATTAATCCCACACAGCTAAAAGAGCGAGGTCAGTTTGCCCAAGACCTACCACTTTGCATTTGTTGTTGCACTTAAATGATTAAAATGAGACCCCATGTCTGGCGGCCACAGATTGCACCAAGAGAGGCAGACATTCTTGAATTTATCAGTCGTACAAGCTTCAACTGAAATAGATTAGAGACTGAATAACCCCAGAGGTGCTACAGCAAATTCACCTTAAAGCTGATTTGAGTCTGTTTTTCCAAGCTGCCATGTGTTTCACATTGGAAGAAGTTAAACCACACCAATGCCTGGATCATTTTTTATTGTACATTTTTAATAATAAGGTGATTTATACTTTATTATGTTTTCAACACAGAAGAAATAAGCAATAACCATTAAACTCACCATATAAAAACAAAGTAAGGTAACATAAAAAAAATAACTTTTGTCACAGTTGTACTATATCACAGTACATGAGACACAAAAACAACCAATCAGAGCAAAGAAAGATAGTTGATTGTTGTTATTTAAAGGGTATACAAAAGTCAAGTGCCAGTAGATGTTGCACTACGGCCCACCAGACTCCATTGACAAAATCAGTAATTTTACCTTGCAGATAATCATAAAACACACTTTAAACTGGGAAGAAACAACATAAAACTCACCAAAACCAGTGCTGAGGTGGTGTAAACCTGAATTCACCCAGTTAGATGTGATAATATTAATATAACTGGCTTTTTTAAAGCGTAAGATCCTTTTTGTTTAACCAGAAACTGGTTGTTAAACGCTATCTCTCGCCACCAGACTCCATTTACAAAAACTGTAATTTTACCTGTATCATCGTAACTTTGTTCAAACATCAAAACCACCTTCATTAGTCTTTCCACTGTTCCAACAATCCCCAATTCAGTTTTTTTCTGAAAATAAATCAGTGATGTAGATGAGAAAACAGCTGTTTTAGTCGCAGTTGGAAAGGGAGGGACTCACATGCACGAACACACACGTGCGACCTCACTGGCTGTATATAGAAAGCACAGCTCAGGGACCAACACACACACAGAGGGAGTGCTCAGGACTGTTCCACGATATATTTACACAGTAAATAGTCATCTGCTGCCATATTAATATTCAAAATCTTGCATATATATATATAATCTTTGATAGCATAAGTTAAGTTTTTAAAAGTGTACTGCAGTGGTGCATGATTAGATTTGGATAAAATATTGGATATTGGACAGAAATCTAGACTTTTAAAGACGGAAATCATTCAGTTGTCTTTATTTTTGTTCAGTTACAGTCCCCGGAGGGACGCTGGGTTACAGCAAGTCATACTAGACATTAAATGCACTGTCATGATAAAACTGTTACGGCCACATTAACCATCCACGAGAGAATATATGTGCATAAATATCTAGATTCTTGTGCGTACTGGGATCTTTACATCCTGCGTCCTTGGCTTTGTAATGGTGGTTTGATATCATATTACAGACTGACGTGCGCATTGAGTGAAAGGTGTAGTCTCTTACAGCCCTCTCCTCAGTGCTCCATCTCTCGATTCAGTTCGGTTTGAGAGGCCAATTTGGGCCCTGGATGGTTGCCTGGTCGAGTCCAACCAGGTCAAAATCTGGGCCGGGAAACTCGTGTGAAGTTTCCTTTGAGCAAAGCAATTTACTGCAGAGTTTTTGAGCATCGCTGCCGCAGTAGAGGGTGGTTTGTAGCCATGTGTGTGTGTGTGTGTGTGTGTGTGTGTGTGTGTGTGTGTGTGTGTGTGTGTGTGTGTGAAACCCTTTCAGCAAACCATGCCCTTGTAAATAAACAAAGCCACGCTCCACAGCCTCAACACCATTTCCTCTGTTGATTTAATAACCTTTCCTTTGTCCGGAGAAAGTTGACTGAGCAGCGCTGATTTAATATTGTCGCACACAACACTTTTACTGAGCCGAGTTTCTTGTATCTCTTTGAGGCAGTGAGAATGATTAAATAAAGCTGCATGTTGAACAAAATAACTTTCAGGCAAACTGCAAGCTCGGCAGGTGATTTTATCTCGTATCCCGGCTTAGGGAGCTCATTTCATGGAGTTTTTAGTCAAATTATCTTAAAGCAATGGCAGATAATGCTTCTGGGTTTGATAAAGTTTTATTTGATGCCTGCCAGTGTGAGAGAATAAGGAATGTAATCTTTGAAGGGGGGGGGATTTCACTTTCACCAGGTAGATGTTTTGAACTTCGACTTAATTCTAATCTTGTTGTGTGATTGATCTGCAGCAGTTTGAAGGAGAGGATCATGATGCAGTGCATAAAACACACAGTATAAAGGAGCACAATGCAGTTTCCTGTTGTAAAGTGCTTCCACTTGAATTCCTCTCTCATGCACTGTTTAGCAAATTGATGGCTGAGAGAACAAACCGTGTTAGTATCTATTGGTCTTGATATGAAGAGGTCGATACGGCACAAAAGAAAGCAGCCGGTGGTTACGGTCCAGTTAGAGTTTCATGCTGCTGAATACTTCATATACTCATCGTCAGACGCTGTACTTTTTTTTAAAGCAAATTAGAAGTTGACGAACCACTAATACGTTTCAGTAATAATTAATAATTAATTACAGTAACCCTATAGTTGTGCAGGCGTTTAGAAGTTCCTCGCCATCATTGCTGTGCGCAGGGTTTTAGAAATACAGAGTTCCAAAAACTGAACTTGCAAGGGGAGAATTATTTCACAACGTTTATTGTGTACCCCTTTTTTAAATAACTGCTGACCTCTATGGTGGGTACGGCCACACTCACCAGAGCTTACAAAGAAGTAAGAGTACTCATGTGGACAAAAATCTGAAGTGCCGGTACTTTTGTTTGTAATTTGAATTCCAACAATCCAATCACGTCCTTGGCTTCATTTTTGTAATCGTGGAGGAAACTAGTTTGGAAGCTGGAAACATTCAGCAGCTGGAAATATTCCATTACTTTATTAATTAATTAATTAATTTAATTAATTGAAAATCTCTGATTTGAATCGTCGTAAGTTGTTTTTTTTTTTACTGTCAGTGGTCTGAATTTTGGGGAGAAAAGACACAATTACCAAATTTGTGAGGAGTAGCAGAGAAGTAATGAAACTAGTAGTGTAACTAATTACTGTTGCAGGGAGTAATAAGTGAAGTTATGTAATAAATTACATTTTCTTTGAGTAACTAGCCCAACACTGACTTGCATTTATTCATTTCTAACTTTTTCCAACTTAACAATTAAAGAGGAATGTTTCCACAAACTTCCTCCAGTTGAAATAAAAGCAGGAATGAAATAAATCAAAGATGGATTCTGCACATTTATCACAATATAGTATTTTAATAATGTCCATTAATGTGGTACGGCTCCATTCTGGCATTTAATGCTGATGTTTCAATACCATTTTTACCTTCCCGATCTCGTTTTATATATTTTATAGGCTCAATAATACATAAATTAATGAAACCCTCAAGAATAGTAAGTCAGATATGTATTTTTAATGATTTTTTGTTGTCTGAACTTTCCATCAAGCTTTGGCAACATTCTCCTGACAGTTTATTGCTGTTTTTGCAGCTGTGAGTCGCTGCTTTCTTCCTTAATTTGCTCTTTCAGTGAATGTTCACCATACCCAAACCCTGGTTAGAATAACTCCATACATACAGTACAGAACTTGGACAGCTCTGCTCATTTTCTTTCCTGCTGTCTAACGAGGAACTGACAGACACCTCGGACTCCAGGTGCATTCAGTTCACCTAACGAACAGGTCCAAAGAGAACCAGCAGGGCTGCAACTGCTGCTACTTTCACACAGTTTCAGTCTCAAGGTATGGGAAATTCTTCAGGGTTTTATTATTGATCAATCTGTCAGTCAGTGTGTTAAATGAACAGGTCCGGTGTTGTGTTTGTAAATGATCAAAAAATAGTGCCTAAAAAGTGCTTATTATGTGTTCCTACAGTCCAAGATGACTGTCTAAAAACTAAAGATTGTTAATTTATGAATATAAAACAGAGAAAAGAAGAACAGTCTCACTTGTAGAAGCAAGACTAATGTTTGGCCTTTTTGCTTGATAAATACATATATATGTATTTGGGCAATTGTTTTGACATTCAATCATTATTTTTGGGTTGTTTAAACATTCACACTTTCATTGTGCAGCCTCCAAGCAGCTAATACTAGCAAGGTAGTAACAACGCTGAATTTGAAGTGCATAATGATTTTATAAGCATGATGAGAAGTTCACCCCTGGAAATCCAACCTTTGACTTTGTCCTTCTCTGACTGGTTAAGACAGCTGAGGCTGGCTGAGAAACTGGCTGAGAAGGGATTATTTCTGTACTGCTGCCAGGCTGTTCATTGAGTCTGGCTTACAGGCGCCTTTGAGGAGCACATTTCAAACCAAAACAAACTAACATACTGCAGCGTTAAACCAGATATATTGAACATTGTCTATCAGAGTCTTAGAAGACTTTTCTTCAGCAAAACAACATTAGAAACCTCCTGCAGCTGGTCCTCTCTTATTAACTGCTCATCACTTTCTCATCACACACTGATGTTTGGAGGATTTTCTGTCATAGAGGCGCCGCTGATGCTGCAGCAACACAGATTTATTCCTCCATCCTGCCCTCTGTCACTAAGCCGCTCCCACTGACCCATATAGGGGTGTTTCTATCACAAAGCCCCCGTGGAGCGTCAGCTGATTATCAGCTGACAGCACCAGAAGGCTTTATCATGCTACGATCAGCGTGTGCCTGTTTTCATATGACGCGTGTCCATGTGCGTTTGCTGCATTTGCGCGTGCATCAGTATGAGTGCTTGTGTGGACGTCAGTGATGTGCACATGCATTCATGCACCTTTTGTGTTGTGCCTTCTATGTGTTTGTGCATGTGTGAACAGAGGATGGTAGAAGCATCGGTCGTGTGTGGGAGGCAGTCAGTGAACTAAATAAAATGCCTCCTATATTCTCTAGCTGACTGATTTTCATCCTGCAGCGCTACTAAGTGGCCTAATATGTCGCCTAAGTCCTTATTCCCAGTTATCCTGCAGATCCAACATAATCCCAGATTACATGAGGGAGATAAGCAATAGATGGATATACAAGATTAGGCTATTACTGATCAGTTGCACTCATAGCTTAGGTAGTAAAACCTGGTGAGCAGCCAAAACACAAACGTAAGCTGTGAGATGATCGCTTATTATTAATTTTTTTTCATTGAAAAAAACTGCAACATCACCAGCGTGGACAGGTATTATGAATGATACTCATTAAGACTACGTTCCATTTAGTTTAACACAGTAGGCCTTCTTGATTGTAAGTTAAAGTTAAGATTATTGTTCAAGATCTAAACTTTGAACACCTGAACACACTCTGTAGTCAGAGAGCCTTCACTTCATTTAAGGGGTCCTTAAAGATAAAGGTCGGGAACCATTGCAGAGTCTTTCCAGTGAGCCGACATACAGCAACACACTGACTCTGTTTGACCTGAATGGATGGTGAGATGAGGGGTATTCAGTTGGTTGCAATCTGCAGTCTCACAACTAGATGCCACTAAATCCTACACATCATCACATCCTGTCAATGGCGCATTTGTGCATGCGTCCGCCCATAGCTGTCATTAACTGACTTTTTATCCAGTGTTAAGCCGCATTTTTACCATCCACTGTTTAGATCTTGGTGGTTTTTAACTCTAAATTTAAACCGGATGAAGGATTCATCTGGATCTTAAGTTATCAGAGAAACAAGCTGAGCTAACGATGACGGAAATGGTGGTAAACAACAACTTCCTAGCAGCAGAAATAACATATTGTACGTTTAAAATCAATCACAGGGAACCACAGTGATAGTGAATGAGCTTGATTTGGATCTATAACACTTGAACCAGCCATCTGTTTCGTTTTGGCGCATTTCAGGCGTTTGAGCATCCTCTCACCCAAAGGTCACAGTTTTGGTGTGTTTACTTCACTGCTGAAGAGCCCTTGAGAAAGACACAGAGGTCCAGATTCAACAACATTGTGTCACAGCAAGTGCACAGTTTTATTTTCTTCCAAAGGAATGTTCTTTGCGATTAGAGACCAAGGTTTCCGTCTTACTCGCTTAGTAGTTTATAGAAATCAAGAGATGAGAGCTGCAGAAGCAAATAGCTTCTTCATCGCCAACTCTGAGTGCAAATTGTGTGCTTCAGCTGTTGGACTGATCCACCGAGGCTGCCCCTCTCGTGCCCTAAAGCCTCTTTATAATTGGAGCGCTCTTTGAACTGATCTGCTCTGAGATTGGAGGATGGAAAAACCCTCTGCTCTGCTTGTTTGACTTGCTGATGACGGCGCCTGCAGCAGATTCTGAGTGACCAGCGTCTTTGTGCGTTTTTATAAGCAGTGGGGATGAGTTGGTGTTATGAAATTGCAGTGTTTGGTATAATCTCGATTTGCATGGCCTCACCTACAGATGACTGATGTGTGAGCCAAATAATGAGCTGTACATATGATTTATGTAAGACTACAACAGGCAGAAACAGGCGTTACTGATATTACACAGCTTGTTATTATAATTTCATCATTCATGTGCCAGTAGAAACATTTTATAGTGCAATAATTTTAACTGAAATGATCTCTGTATATGTTATTAGCTTCTAAGAATATGAAAATGAAGCAGTATCAGGACATACTTGTTCTGTAAATAGCTTCCAAACAGTTTGTGTTTCTTGCACTTTTATTCAATTTTCTTCTGACCCAAAAACTTCCACTATGATAAATGTTTTTATGTAGTTTCTCTTTTGCTTAGTTCACATGTTTTGGGCATTAGACAGACCCCTTATGTTTGTAATTGGTCATTATAAGAGAAACAGACAGTTTTTTTTATAGATAATTGTACTTAACTGTTTCTTATCTTATCCATGTTTGCAACATACAGTTACACACTGGACCTTGAAGCATTACTCATTTGATGACCACAAATGATTGTTCCTAAAAATATCAGAGAAGCAACATTTTTAAATGTTCTTACGATCATAAATTGTAAGTTTGTGTAAATAAATGAAGTTTATTTGTCTTTATTTGTGTACCTGCAGGGCTCCACAGCTCATACGCCGGTCACGGGGGGCAGATAGATCCAGAGCTGAGGGCGGCGTTGTCTCCGGACTGTCACATGACGCCTGTTTTTGATGAGCGCTCCTTCCACAGCCCCCTGTACCACAGCCCTACCCACGACCCCCAGGGCTCCCTCTACAGGAGTAACACAGGTAATACAGCCCCACAAAAGTTTTCTTTACAATTAGCTAATTATAGTATTCACAGCAACTGTGTGGTTTCATTTGGGAATTCAGGCCTTAAAATTGGTAACATTTTAGTTCATAACCTGGGAATTTTTAATTTGAGATCAGTGGAGTGTCAGTGGGCAACATTTAAACAATAAAAACTGATTTTATGATATCAAAAATTCACATGAAAATATATTTTTTGGGGGGAAATTGTTAGAATTGGTCCATACTTTCTAGCAAAACCAGAAACTCTGGCTGGTTCGAAGCAAAGAAGCAAACAAAGTACCAAAAATCTGGATACATTCAGCACAAATACTAGTACAGAAGTACTAGTGGCAGAGCAGGAGTAGTAGTAAGGATTGCGGTGAAAACAGAATAAATAACAGTGATCTTCCAAAACATAACTCAGATACCCTCACATGACTTTTAGCCGCTTTATCACTGTCACTGAAAATGACTCAAACTATTTTTCACATCAGCATCCCAGGCTCAGTTTCACATCTGCTCCGAAGATTATTTCTCTAAAATCTGTGCTGGAAATCAGAGTTTACAGGCACAGGAACTGTTGTTATTATCGCTCCCCGAGGTCAGAACTTAATTAGGCTGAAACCTTTCATGTACTCCGCTGCTGCTTAATTGAAGCCTTTGCAGAATGATTTAGAGCTGAAAGCTCTGTGGAGCTTGATAGTGGGGGATCTAAGGAGCCATTTTAGTTTCGTTTAGTCAAGATTTAAAAAGGTCTGTGGCCTGTGAGACAGCTTGCTGCTTTTTAAATGGTCGACTTTCTCTTTTATGTGACCTTGGATGTATTTTGCATGTGTACAAACTGCCTAGAAAAGAAAACCTGGGTTAGATTCATTTCCAAATCACGTTTTCCTTAAGCGTCCTCATCTCCTTTCCACAGGTATGGGGACGCTCCCTCGGACCACAAGCCACTGCGGCACGCTGCCGTACCAAAGAAGCAGCTACGGGCTGAGCACTGCAGCTCTGTACGTCGACTCCTACAGGGTCCCCGGCGAGCCAGTCTTCTCCCACCGCCACTCTGGACTGATGGACCGGGTGGCCACGCGCACGCCGTCCATCGAGAGCATCCATAAGGACCCCAGGTACTCACACACACGCAGATATAATTAGATATCCGTTATTTGACAAACTGAGATCGGTTTTCACTAAAATCAATACAGAGCACTTTGGAATGAAACCTTATTTATATCCATGTCCGTGCATAAATGTTTATCTTATACAAATATCACAGATATTGATAGTTTGGACACTGTCGAGGTTACATAACTGTTTTGAATGCAGAGCAAAATCTATCTTTAGAATTTGGTTTAGAAATCTGTCAAGTACCAGAAGTACCGTTGAATGCTTGGTCAGATTTTCAGTGTTGTTTGCTTATTATTAAATATTTCAGTGTGTAACATTTAGGAGGATCTATTGGCAGAAAGGTATGTTTAATCAGGATAAATTAATCAGGAGCCCGTCCTGTTGAAACAAGACGAAGGCTACGTTCACACGTAGAGAGTTAAAGCAGAAAGTGAATGAACCCTCCTGAAAGTTTCCTCCTCGTTTTTTCCTCAGGGAGTTCGCTTGGCGTGACCCCGAGCTGCCAGAGGTCATCCACATGCTGCAGCATCACTTCCCCTCTGTCCAGGCCAACGCCGCCGCCTACCTGCAGCACCTGTGTTACGGAGACAACCGGGTCAAGGTGGAGGTAAGGTGACAGGACACGCTGGGCTGTCTGAGTAAAAATAACAAGACGGACGTCACAGTCATGACTCACTCCTCAGGCGGAGGAAAGTGCTGCTGCATTTGAAGTTTCACTCCCAACCAAAGACAGTAATCATTTTTAAAATGTGTGCAGCTCTGGTAGTTTTACTGTTCAAACCATTAGACAAAACGTGTTTAAAATGACCTCCCAGAGGGCAAACAAGAAGTAATTTGTGTAAAGTTTAAATACAGGGTACATTAAATTCTTTAATGCTTATAATTACTAAGAGAAAATTTTGAAATACGGACAGAAATGCCAACAATTGTAATAAACAGTGAAGTAATTTAACCTTTAAAAATGTTAAACATTAGCAGTTCTGTGAGAATGTGCTCTTTTTCTTTCTTATAAATGATTTTTATTTTATTTTTAGACAGTTGTCTAAAAGCAATTTTAAGACATCATATTTGGGAAATCAAAACATTTTTAAATTTTCATTATTTTCTCACATCTTGTTGACTAAATGCTTAAAAAAAAAAAGTTTAACATATAATGTAAAAAATACCAGTTTTCCCCATTTTTTCATTCATTTTTCTGTATTTTTTGCAAAGAATATTGTATTAAACTAAATCATACAATAATACAACAGATATGTTTTTTTTTTTTACTTCCTTTGCCCAGAAACATTTAACTAGTGGATTTAACTGTCCGTTGCTGCAACCTACATTGCCAGCTTACAGGTTTGAATTTTTAAAAAATCCTCGTTGCCAAACTCTGAGCCAAAGCGCCATCTGCTAAAACAAAACTTTAAGCAACGTTGGTGCCAAATGTGCCGGCGCACCGACGCACTGAAACGCCGCACGCTCTTTCTTTGCTCTGCTTCCCGTGCAATAAATAACTCCAACACAATGGCTTCACGCGAGAGCCATTTCAGTGGCGTTTGGTTTGTTTGGTGATGAGCTTTTAATTAGCCTTTGGAGCGGCCTGGACACACGCCTGCTCATTTAGCCAGAAACAAATGTTTTCAGTGACGGTTTGAACACAGAATCAGAGAGAGACTGCGAGCGCTTGCTGCTCTCCTGAGACGGGTTTATTTCGAGATGAAGTGAAGAAAGTTTAGAACGTGCCACAGTGATGCTTCTGCATGTTTCAGCTCAGAGAATCATTGCTACATGAAATTAGTGCAGGTTTGGTTTGGTTTAATTTTCCCTTATTTTGAAAGAAACATTACAAAAACTTAATCAATATGACAGAACAGTTAGTAAAACAGACATATTGCCACAAAACAAATGCTGCTGGTGCCATTTGAATAGAAAAGCTACAACAAAAACACCAAAACCATGTCGATCTTTACTGGAAATTTACGTTTTTGAAATTAGTCACTACAAAAAATACTCTAATACTGCTAATTTAAAAATCTGTAAAACCAGTAATGCATCTAACTATGTAGTGGTCAGTGTACAGTGGCCCAGCAGTCAGCAATACTATATATCTATATATCTATAATTAATACATAAAAAGGGAGCAATTGAACAAAAAAAATGAAATGAAATTGAAAATTCATGAAAATATTGCTGTAAATATCAGAAGGACATGTTGTGGGCATCCATGGAAAATCTGTCCAATAATTTTAACTACTAAACACATTAAAATATTACAAAAACACATAACAGCAGAGAATCCACATGGATAGAAAAAACTACTAATCATTCATAATTAATTCCTACCTTGAATGTATTTGTCAGGGTTAGGTGCTTTCCATTTTCTCCTCTTTGTAAAAATCCCTCATTCAGGGCTCCTTTGAAACGATTATAAACGGTAAACAGTTCAGTATTTTCCTTTGATTTGTCACTGTGTACTGATACACCCTGGAGTACACGTCTACATCACTGCAGAAAAGTGAGAAGTCAACTATTGGAAAACTATTTTCATCTGCAGTTGCTCTTTAAAGACACTTTAATGTGTTTTTTGAGCTGTAAACTAAATTAAATGCCGGTATGGTGATGAAATACATCAATACTGCTGAACTACTACTACTACTAAATCCTCCTGAACCTTACGAGGCCAATCATTTGGGTCTGTGTTGAGGCCACACCCCCTGAAGTTACTCTCCTTTGCAGGTGTCTGATGCATTTTTAAAATTTGCTGAGACGGAGAGAGCTAGAAGATCTGAGGGGTGTCATTCATCCATGGTTTTTTTTTTTTGGTCTTCAGGTGTGTCACCTGGGAGGGATCCAGCACCTGGTGGACCAGCTGGATCACAAGGTAGCTGAGGTTCAGAAGAGTGCCTGCGGGGCTCTGAGGAACCTGGTGTACGGCAAGGCCACCGACAACAACAAGGTGGCGCTGAGGAACTGCGGTGGCGTGCCGGCCCTGCTGCGCCTCCTCAGGAAAACAACCGACAACGAAGTCCGCGAGCTGGTCACTGGTACGTCTAGTTTGGTTTACATTCAGTACATGTTTCAAATGTATGTTAAATGCATTTCCTTAGTTATTTTAAAAATACAAAAGGTGGAGAAAGTTTGCATTTACATCAAAATACACACAGTTATAGAGAATCATAAGATATGTGTCGGCTGTCTTTCAGCTTAGTTTATGAAAAAATAGCAGAAATACTTTAAAAAAGCCCCTTCAAATGTCCTCGAAAGTTAGTTTTTTCTGATCTTTTTTTATTAAAGATTGAGTGACATTTCCTGTGATGATGAAGATACAAAAAAAATAGAAATTCATGTCAGAATTAGGATGTTGTCCACCCACAAAAATCACATTTTCAGGCAGCGCTCATTTCTTATTAAGAGTCCCCTGTAGTTCTCACCCTGGGAGTTTCCTCTTTGTTCGGTAGTTGTCAACTCAGGTCTGTCTTTTTTTTTCCTAAAGGCGAAAAAATTAAGGTGAAAGCACCAGTTTCCAAATGCAAAACATGACACATTGAAATCCCGCTGCGATGTGTGTGGGCGCTCGCCTGCTCGCGAGGTTTGTTGGCTAGCTGGCTTGCTGGCTGAGAGTCGGTCTGTGTCGCCGTCTGACTGGCTGGCTGTGTATTAATCTGTGTATCGGCTGTTCTGTGGGAGGTGAGAGTGGCAGAGGCTTAAACACTCAGCGCGCTGTGTTGACAGCAGATCTAGGCACAGTCCTCGGGACAGATGCTAAGATAATGTGCTTTGGAAACAGGATGCCGCTGACAGCTCTGCAGCCACACCACACATACTGTTTAATACCAGGAGATAGAAAACTGCTAGATGGCTTGGATTCTTGAGGAAAACACAGGGGAGAGTCTTCAGCTGGTGATTAAGTTCTGGGAAAGTTTTTATTTTTACAGCATTATTATAGTTGTACTGTCCAGTTTCTTTATTTCTAATCTACCACATCCCTACATAAGTGTGAACCTATCCTGACGTCACCCTTTGGTGCCATGTTGAAGCCTCCAGTTGGCATTATGACCATCACCATGTTGTTTTTTTGCAGCCGGGGACGGTGACGTACCGCACAATGGTGGCTCCCTAGTCATTACAGATAAACAGTTCACTAAAATATGTTCCTGAATAGACTTTGGGAGAGGAATAGTCAACGCAGTAACGGACTCTTGATTCATATTTGATCAGCACTGCCTAGTTTGACAGTTTGATGTGAGTTTTTAAAAGAAAAGCATACCCTTCTTTATAGTCTAGTTTACTCTAAATTGGACCATAATTTATTAAATGAACGTCATGCTGTATGGAAGAAGACTTGAAACTAGATATTGAGACAATAAACTAATTAGAAAACTGTTTACTGAGCTCATAAATCAAGTGAGACGTAAGGCCATTTCCCCATAAGACTCAATAGTATCAGATTTCTTTTTGAAGCCCACGCTGGCCATTAGAAAAAAATGCAGGTTTAAGTCACTTAAATAGTTGGCTTCACTTCACAGACCCAGAAGCTCTGTCCAAAAAGAAAAGTCTAAAAGAAAAAAGATGAGCCAAAAAGCCGAAGGAGTCTTCTGGCACCCCTCTTCCAGTTTAAGTTTTCCCACCTCACAGCAAATGTACTTCTCCTTTACACTTTGTGATATAAACTAATGTGTATTTATACATAGATTTTGTATCTTGCAGGGTGAAGTGAGGCTGTAACACTGTTGTGGTTTGATTTACACCCACGCTGCTTTGGAAGTTTTTATGTGTTATCTTCATCAGAGTCTTATTTTGCCCTTGTTGTCAAAGCTTTGTTTTTTTGTTATTATATCGTATATGAGCAAACTTCATTAATATAGCTGTTTTCAGAACAGAAGTTACAAAGTGCTTTATAGGAGGAAACCAATGGTAAAGTGGGTGATTAAAGACACAGAACTTAACATATGAAATAAAGGTTATAAAATCAAGAGAGAGCCAGAGAAAAGAAATTGGTTTAAAGAAGTTTTTGTGCCCAATTTTATAATCACCAAAAGCATGATTACTTTTGGCTTTGACCTTCAAGCCAGTAGAATATCTGTAGCTGCTACCTCATCACCAGAATACTATGTGAAACTGTTTGATTCCCCTTAAAGCTACAGCAGGTAACTAAAATATTTCTTTGTCATATTTGCTGAAACTTTGACTATATCCTGACAGTAGGACATGAGACAGATAATCTGTGAAAACATCAGGTTTCTCTGGCTCCTCCTAGTGCTCCTAATAGCAAGAATCGCAGAGGAACCTGATCTTTTCACAGATTATCTGTCTCGTGTACTACTGTCAGGATATAGGAAAACAAATACAGCAAATATGACAAAAAGTTACCTGCTGCAGCTTTAAAATCAGATTTTCAGTGAGCACAGAGAAACTTTCTGCAGATGAATGTGAAAACATCCTTCTAGTGTCAAACTGCACAGTGAAGCTCAAGCATCACACTGTAAGAAGAAACACTGATTTCTGACGTGACATCGTGGCAAACTTTCATTTTTCTGCACCTTGCACCCCCAGGCGTCCTGTGGAACCTCTCTTCATGTGACGCAGTGAAGATGACCATCATCCGCGACGCTCTGACCACGCTGACCAACACGGTCGTCATCCCCCACTCGGGCTGGAGCAGCATCTCGCACCGCGACGAGCACAAAGTCAAGTTCCAGTCCTCCCTGCTGCTGCGTAACACCACCGGCTGCCTGAGGTGAGGAACAAAACAAACACCCCCCCCCCCCCACACACACACACACACACACACACTGCTTAATGGGTCATAAAAAATGTATTGCTTTGTCGATTTTTGTCCTGTGATGATAAAATGATCCTCCGTTTGATAGAAAAATGGAAAAATAACATTTTGGAAAAGACTCCAACTGCTGACGCCCCCATTACTCTTGTTATATATCAATGTTAATCATAATCATCACCACACAGTACACCCTTTACTGTCCTAAAACCACACAAATCTCACTTCTTAATGAAAATAGATCTCACAAAGTGCCTCGCCTCCTAAGCCTGTTGAGTTACCAGGCGTGCCGTCAGCTCATTAGATCGATCCTCGTTTTGAAATGCAAGGATGACTTTTGGATTTATTGTTCGACTCTGCTGCTTTTTCTCCATCTCTGCTTTTCATTTTAATGATTCTGTAAAACCACAGCGCATAATCACAGACGCATAATCGTCAGTGAGAGGCTCTGTAATGAGGATTTTATGCAGGCATGAAATCTCAAGTAGGCATTTGACCACATTAGAGACAAATAACAGCAAAGCGTGTCTTAAAAGTCAAAGCCGAGGTTGAAGATTTAGCTTCATCGTCTGCAAATTTTTTACAGCGATAGTTGCAGAAGAATAGCGTGCAGCTCACGTGTACCAGAAAATAAAACAGCTTAAGTTGGGCTCATTTGAAAGATGTAATTTGATATAGAAGCTCCTTGAATTCCAGATGATTCATTTCACCTCAGCTCAAGATAATAATGCAGACTTTTACATTTTACACAATCCTGTAAAACTTCAAATAGCACAGTTATATTTCCCAACCTAGGCCAGTGTGAGTGATCTTTTATACCCAAGAAAAACAAAAAGAATGAGAAGATAAATATCTAATTGAATGCATTAGTATATCAGTGCTTGAATGAACCCTTTTTGTAAACAACCTAATGGCACTGGAGCACCATCAGTTATTTCATGATATTAATATTCTGGTATCATTGTTATTAGGAATGTAAAAATATATCATGAGCAATTAAATCCGATACAAATATGTGAAGATTCAAATCTGTGAGATGAGAAATTAATCGTGATACTGATGCTTATTTCCAGTGTACTGCCTATATAGAGTACCTGGTCTTTTTTTTACTGTTTCCACCCTGATGTCGAAGACTGTGTGAGATGTGCCAGACTAAATGAAGCCTTTTAATAAAACTTCTCTCTTTAAAAGTGCTTAAAAAAACATTTTTCATCTTCAAGAGCGCCTTAAGATTCCCTGAGCTCGCTACTGGCCAAGCACTTGGCCTCTCTTCCCCCTTTTAAACATATCTAATGAGGTTGAGTCCAACGTCCTCTGGAAGGAGCGCTCGCCCAGTGAGTGGAGAAGATCTAACAACCCAAGAACACTTGATAAAAGACTGGATCGTCCCAGATGAGGCCAGAAACTGCCTGAAGGGCAATTAAACAGGAGGCTTTCCAACCGCTGATGACACGAGGCGACGAGGCTTCATGAAGACGGTGTGAACATGCTGATTTTGAAAAAAAAAAAAAACTAATTTGGCTGCTGCAAGATTTTTCTGCAGTATATATGAATCTGTGTATCACTGACTCTTTCCTTATTCAGTATATAATCTAAAAGCGGAAAACACAATCAGATATTTCATTATTCATTTACGAATCCAACAAGTAAAGACTGAATTTGATTTAATGTGTCCAATTTGTGTGACCAGGAAGTCGAGCTGCTGACTGCTTGTAATGAATATGTGCTTGAACTCAGTATGAGGCAGTATCTTGAAGGATGTTAAAAGTTCCTGTGTGAACAGTATAATGTTGCCATGGATACACTGAGTTTGACTGTGGGTAACCCCACTGCCCAAGTGTGTTTATTGCATGCAATCAAGTGCACCACACAAAGAGGTCAGCAACTTCCACAAATCAGACACATTAAATATCAAAATCATTTTTAATTTTCCTATTTTATGTTTGTGTTGTAATACGGAAATGCCCTTATTAACAATTTACAGTATTTTTAACCCTCATAAGACCAACTTTGTAGCCATACGACCATCTTGAGTGGTCAGATAAAACACAGGATTCTTTCCCATCTCTACCATCCATCAGTTTATGTTGGCAGAGGAGTAACCACTCATTTACTAAGCTAACAGGGAGACCCCTTGAGAGAAGAATCTTTTGAATGAATTTGACTCTGATTGGGCACCATCCTCTCTAAATCAAATGAATTAAACCTGCCTGGTGGAGACTTCCCAGCCCGAATGCCACAAATTGGCCTGATTGGATGGGCGCCAGTCATTGTTCAGTGTCGGGAGCCAATCAAGATCAAGGCCAGGTGTCTTTCCTGAAGTGCTAGCTTGCAAAAATGTTCTTGCTGCAAGTTAATTAATTCCCAAAGCTCACTGAGCATTGTAAGTGATGAGTATGTTGACTGTGAGGTTACATCGATGGACGAGTAATCGGGTCGATAATAACAAGATGAAGATTAGCCACTATAGCCAGTAAAACCAAATACAAGCTGCACTGCAATGCAATAACTTTTATCAAACAAAATGAATTTTATAGGCTTCATTAAACATCTTCTGGTGGTGGTTATTTCCTACAATAGGGCAGCTTTAAGTGACTCTGTGCTGCAGGGAAACTAGTTCTCTGTGCACATCAGCCTCCAGCATTTCTCTGCATTCAGACTGACCGAGACTGTAGATTGATAGTATAGAAATGCATTGTGGGAGCTATGTGCTGTTGTGCAGTCATCTCATGTCAGCTCTCCATTAGCAGCAGCTGAAGGTTCCTATTGGAGGATCAGCTCTTTCCTTTACTGTATCCGGGCAGGTTTTTTAAAGCCACCGTGTGGGGGAATCCACACACTGCACCTCACTCTGAATTAATGTGTGGCTTCATATGTGTGTGTCTGTGTTTGTGTGTGTGTGTGTGTGTGTGTGTGTGTAAGGAACCTGAGCTCAGCAGGAGAGGAGGCGAGGAGTCAGCTGCGTTGCTGTGAAGGTCTCGTCGACTCGCTGCTTCACGTCCTCAAAGCCTGCGTTAACACGTCCGACTACGACAGCAAGGTGCTGCAAAAACACACACTTCTTGTCACAATTTATTCCCAGGAGAATTACCCTCGCCTTAACCTGACCTTGACACAGCCTTACCCAAATTCTTAACCAGGGTACGGGTTATAATCTGAGCTTTGTGGGGTTGTCTCAATAGAGGTGGAGAGAGGAGAGAGAGCTCATTACCTCAGACTGTTGTCATGAACGGGGAAATTTACTATAGAGACCAACACTGTTTTTTGTACCAGGCTGTAAACATGTTTATTTCTACTGGAAAGTATTTTAATATGGGGCCTTATGGGGATTGACTTACTGCTGGAGCCAGCCTCAAGTGGCCGTTAAAGGAACTGCAGTTTTTGTTACGTCCGTGTTGGCTTCACTATGTGGTCACTTTCACACAGCGGCCCACTACAATTGTTCTACAGAAAAGTAGAAGTAAAGCTCATCTCCCCCATAACTCAAACCCAGCTTAACCCTAAAATGTAACAGAAGTATATAATAATTCACACTACCATAAAAAACACTTCAAAGCTCTCCCATTGATCTCTGTTGAGATATTTAGACTTTTATATTTCTCAGATCGTGGAGAACAGCGTCTGCACCCTGAGGAACCTCTCGTACCGGCTGGAGGTGGAGATGCCCTCCTCTCGTCTCCTCGGCAACCAGGAGCTGGACACCCTTCTGGGCTTCTCCTCCCCGGCCAAGGAGCTGGACTACCTCTGCTGGGGCAAGAGGAGGCGTGGCAGGAAGCGGGGCGGCTGGCCCGACGACAAGGTACAAACACATTTTCATCCTTATGTAAGAAGCTGCATAAGGAGTCTACATTGAACAGAAGATGAACGTGCAGAGTTTAAAACACATTTGCTGTGTGTTTCATGCAGTGGGACGGCATTGGGCCGATCCCGGGTTTCTCCCAGTCTCTGAGGGGGGCGGAGCTGCTGTGGCACCCGATGGTGGTGAAGCCGTACCTCAACCTGCTGGCCGAGAGCTCCAACCCCGCCACGCTGGAGGGCGCCGCCGGGTCGCTGCAGAACCTCTCTGCTGGAAACTGGAAGGTGGGACTTCTTACTATACATGCTTTTCTGCAGAAGAATAACATTTTAGCAATATACCAGCACTCATTTAAAAGTATAAAAGTACCCAAAAAAAGAGAAGATAAATAAGTATCTGAGAGCAATATGTACTGTTTGTGTCCAGTTCTCAGCGTACATCAGAGCAGCGGTGCGTAAAGAGAAAGGTCTGCCCATCCTGGTGGAGCTGCTGAGAATGGACAACGACCGGGTCGTCTGCTCCGTCGCCACTGCTCTCCGCAACATGGCGCTGGACAGCCGCAACAAGGAGCTGATAGGTCCAAACACACACTGAAACACACACACAATAACAGACTGATCCCCAGAAACTCAAACTGTGAAAATATCTTCTTCACATGTCAGTCAGGAACATCAACAGCTTGTTTAAACAGATACAGATTTTTGTATCTCATCACAGTCCATTCATTCCAATCAGACTGAGTCTTGAAAGAGTGATAATACATTGCCCCCTTATGGACAACAGCTGTGTTGAAGGTGTTTTTTCCTCTCTGTACAAACATGATGAACTAGGCAAATATCTGGAATTACCAGATAAATTACTAATTAAGAGGTCACTAAACTGACATTTACCAAATCAAACTATTCAGTCAGCTCTGCCTGTAAACAAATTTGGTGCAAACATTAAAACCTTACATACCTACATACCACTAGCTGACAGTCCTCTTCCTCAGCTTGTCATCCTATAAGCAATAGTGGAGTTTTTTTTACAGCCACCGTAGTTACTGCCTGGCATTTAGAAAGAGAGGGTGGAATGATGCAACTACACCGCAACTGGAAGTCTTTATAAAAGAATGAAATCTAACTGAAACAATATTGTGCACTTACAAAACAAACTAAAATAAAATAAAAATGTACATATATATGTAGTTTTTGGCAATTTAGTCAAGTATGTCAACAGAATAAGCATTAGAGAAGGCATTGGTGCACATGTTTATTGAGACAAATACCCCCTAAATTATGATGAAAAAAGCTAAATGCTGAAGCTAATAGAAAACAAACAGTAAAAACTAAACTGAATTGAATATCTGAATGAAGTCCATATTTCCTGCAGGAAAGTACGCCATGCGGGACCTGGTGAACCGGCTACCCGGCGGCAATCCGTCGGTGCTGTCAGACGATACGGTGGCGTCAGTGTGCTGCACGCTGCATGAGGTCACCAGCCGCAACATGGAGAACGCCAAAGCTTTAGCTGACAGCGGAGGCATCGAGAAGCTGGTGGACATCAGCAAAGGACGAGGGAAAGGGTATGAAACCGCAGAGAAACTTCATGTAGACAGCAGCTGCTTTGTACCTGTGATGTAAATGTTTAATTTTTAATAGTATTTTTCCTTTTCTGTTGAATTCTTTATCCCTTATTACCTTAAAATGATTTCACTTTGATGTTGCAGGTACTCGATGAAGGTCGTAAAGGCAGCGGCTCAGGTGTTGAACACACTGTGGCAGTACAGGGAGCTGAGGAGCCTCTACAAACAGGTCGGTACCAGTGCAGACACTCTTCTTTTGACATTTCAGCAATCCAAGAGTTGTAGAAATGTTCTCAACACAAAGAGCAGATCATCTGTTTATCATCTGTTTATCATTCGGGGTAAGACCATAGTACATCATAATAAAAGAACATTCCAGCCAGATAAAGCAAGAAAAACATTCAAGAAATAAAAGATACTTCTAACTAAATTCAGGTTCTCAAGTATGTTTTAAGAAAAGACTGACTCAGCCGACCTGATTTCCTCAGGCAGATTGTTCCAGAGCCTCGGCTGCAAAACGCTGTGTCCCATTTCGTTTTTAACGAGGCCTCTGGAACAGACAGAAGACCTCTGCCTGAGGATCTCAAAGCATGAGCCGGCGCTTACCGTACTAATAGGTCAGAGATAGAAGAAGGAGAGGCCATGAAGATTCTTTAAAGTAATCAGTAAAATCTTGATTGATGTGATCATATTTCTTGGTCCTGGTGAAAAAAAACCTCAATAGAATAGATTTAACTTTATAATGTTGTGGAAAAAAAACTTAACATTGTAACTATGTGTAACTAAACTGAGGTGAACTTTGTGTGTGCAGGACGGCTGGAACTACACTCACTTCGTCACTCCCGTCTCCACTCTGGAGCGAGACCGCTACCTTTCACAGCCGACCCTGCCCACCAGCCCGCTGCAGATGTCCCCCGTCATCCAATCAGGTAAGAGATCCGGTGAGTGAGGTCAAGTTTGACGATCGTGCGGGAAGTTTTTATGCCTTTCTGAAAAAATGTTTTCTTGTTTTGTCTTTTATTTTCTCAGGTGGTAGTGCAACATCCTCGCCGGCGATGCTCGGGATAAGAAGACACAGTACAAACTATCAGAGGGCACAGTCATCTATGCAACTCGACACGTATTATGGAGACAACAGTTTACACAAACGGCAGTACACAGGTTCGTATTGATATTGATTGTTTCTTCATTAACACACAGACTTGCCACCAGATTAACACCAAATTGACTGTTAAAAAGTCGTTTGTTTCACCTTTTCTCCCTTCTGTGCTGTTGCATTTTTCCACTTAAGGGTCTGAGAAGAAAACTCCATATTTCATTGGGACATATTCTTCCCAGTCAGGAGAGGATTTGAGAAGGTCCCAGGTAAGAAATTGTGTAAAATTCAGCAATTGTTAAATTAAAGTATTGAATTTTAGCTTTGATTTCTCTTAAAATGATTATTATTCAGATTATTTAATCAATCAGTAGTATTTTAAATAAGTGCTTAACTGTTTGAATCCTGTTTTAGGCAAAAACTTATATATTTTTTAGGTCCAAACAGTTCCTCAGTTAATTTAAGACAATAATTAACAGATCAATCATAACTGAAAATGTTTAAGTTGAAGCACTACCTCTTAACATGTATACTGTATAATTCCCCATTCAATAAATCCCATCGTTGTCCCTCTCCCAGCACACAGAGCCATTTTACGACGAGCCCGACAGGAAGAACTACAACAGCTACAGAATGTACCTGTCGTCCCCTCAAGGCTACGGAGAGGAGCAGTACGAGGACGAACCGGTCCACCTGACCCCGTCCTCCCCCGACGGCTACGCCAGCCAGTCGCTCCAATTCAAAGCCAACACCAACTACGTGGACTTCTACTCCACCACACGGAGGCCTTCAAACAGGGCGAACAAGTTCACCGGCTCCCCTGACTCCTGGGTGTAAAAGCAAAATGGACACCGTGTACGTCGAGCTTCGCCGTCTGTTTCCGTAGGTGTTTGGGTGGGTGCGTTGTATGGTCGTGTGAAAGGTTGAGGATGCATGTGAATGTGTGTGCATATGTGTTGAACCTGTACTGAATGACCTGGGCTTGGTTTGCTCCGTGCATCTTTTGACTAAGTTAGACCATGTGCACAATAATGCAGATAAATGTGAAGCCTTCCTTTATTCTTTACCTTTTTTTACCATCTCTCGTTGTCGAGATCTCAGGCTTCCGATCGTGAAGTTCAAAGCTGAAACAATTAGTCAATTAATCAATTAGTTAGTCAACAAACACCACACAATAAATCCATTACTTGAGAACATAAAAGTAAAGTTTTTTAGTGCCCAAGAAGAACAGTTGCTTTTAAAAGGAAGGACAAAGCAGTGGTTGGAAACACATTTCTTTTTGCTGATTTTATGGAAATTTGGTTAAAACCTGACTAATGAGTAGGTTGTGTTGTAGGTTGCTGTTCACACCTGCACCCATGTGACTCTGACGACTCTCACATGATGGCATGTGACCTTAACGAGTGTTAAGGTGTTACACACTTCAAGAAACTAAAGTAAGTCCAGTTTACTATTGTTGTGACATTTCAAAAGGGAAAATCTAAAAAAGAAAAATAGCCAGATTGGGCATAAAACCTAAACTTTATCTACATTATTATTATGAACGTGCAGCATCTTTTGCATCCAAGATGGTCTTAGTCAAAAGGTGCTTTTTAAGATTGAACCCAGCCCTAACCTTGTTGTTCACCAGAGTGTTTGTTAAAGTCAACTTGATTTAATTTTTCTCTGCAGTAAAAGTGTGCAGTGTGTTGGCATAATTATTGTTTGCCAGCATCATCATGAAGAACCTACTGAAGTTGAGACCACACCTGGGACAAACACTATTTACTCTGTCTAGGGATTGACCATATTAGCGGTAAATAAATCAGAGCAAAAGTCGCTCTAAAACATTGTTGTTAAATATTATTTGACCCAGGTTTGGAGAAGAGAAACTTACCGAAGAACTTTTAAAGACTCAGAGAACCGGGGTTACATCGATAACCCTTTGCTTTTCTGTATGTTGGCCCAAAGTGCAGTATATCATAAAGTATGTGAAATATGTGATAAAAACATGTGAAAATCTATTTGTACAGATACAATGGTTTAACTGTCCTGTTACATTGTTGTATTCAATATGTAGAACTTTATATGTGATTGTGTGAAGAAGATTTTTCTATTATTTATTATTTTTATTAATTTACTTGTGACCTGACCAAAATACCCCCATCTGTCTGTTCTGTCCAAAACTGATGATAATGTGCAATGTTACAGAGGGAAATATATGTATAGGGATTAAAGATTATATCATGACAAGACAACTGAAAGTCTTTCATCTTATTAAAAATGACAAAAAAATGAAAGTTAAATATCTTTATTAGCTTTAATTGCATCAGTAGTAGGTATATTCAGAGATATGATTCCACAGCCAAAAGAAACAAGGGAACTAAAAAACATTTTGCAAACTCAAAATGTACATCATGATGAATGCACCGTGTATACAAATATCCTCAGTTTGTCCTCCCTGAGCATGCCTTTAACACAAGCTCTAGTCCATGCAGTTACATTCATTTATTGGTCATGTACAGTGCGACTGCAGCCGTCCCGCTCACTCAAAACAGCCACAAACGTCAAATAACGAAGCTGATAATGGAGTTTAGAGTTGTGATATTCATTGGCAACATCCAGGGCAATGAAAGCAACAATGCTGACGCTCTGTTGCCTAAAAAGTTGCCCTTTGTATCATCGCTCTGTGCCACAAAAGTATCACCTGACCATATGGACTTGGAATAGTGTGCATTCAAAAACATGCTAAACTGGCAGCACGAAGGAAAGCAGCAGACGTTTAAATATATATCGAGGGTAAAGGGGTCTCATCGATTACAATCTTTTGCTTTAATTTTTTTAAAAGAGGTGAAGTTACTCTCATAAATCTGAAGATGCTGAACTAAGGTAATTCAGTGGAAGTCTGTTATTCTGGTGATTCAGGTGTTTCTAAAGGCACAAGGTGTGGCAGAGTGAAAAACAGACTTTTTAAGGATTGTTCGGGATTAAATTAATAATTATTTTTGGTGTTTATCTCCATGTTTTAAAAAGGTCTCTGACTGGCTGATCAGGAGCCTTACGGAGATCTTCCTCTTCCTGCTGTTATAACAAACCAGACTGTAGTACTGTACTGAGTCCCGGGGAACGCCTGATTGGCTGGTCAGTGTCTCTTCAGGACTACAGTACGATACACCAATCCTTTCGACTCAACAGCAGAATCCTACAACTCAGAATATTCAGCTATAACCTGGGACACACTTTTAGAAGTGTTTTTTTTTTGTGATTGTCACCTGTAGGGAGACAAAAGAGGTGACAGTAACTTCAAAGACAACAACAAGGTTTTAGTACAGAAATGCAACCAGGGGGCTTTTCAGCGAGGGAACAAACACTCGGCAATTTAACAAGCTGTGTGTCAGTATGTTTTCGCTGCAAGTGTGTTTTTGCCTGTAACTCGAGCTTCAACTTTAAGGTCAGTTTTCAAGGTGAGAAACTCAAAAGGTGTTAGCTGCAATGGCACTGGCTGTTAATCCCCAACCCCCCTCAACCCCCCAAAAACATGACATCTTTAAAGATTGACAAGAAGATTGACACCACTCTCATGTCTGTACATTAAATATGAAGCTAGAAGCCAGCAGAAGAGCTGCTGGTTGTAGCTTCTTACTGAATGGACAAAGATGAAAGTGGTATCAGTCTTCTCATTCTTTAAACTACTCATTTAAATGCATGAATGCTGGTTTAAGATGAAATTATAAATCTACAGGCCTTTCCTTCCCTTCCTGACGCTTCAAGCTTTGTCTAGGTGACTCACACTTTCAATTTAATCCTTCACAAAGAAACTCAGGGCCTCATTTATAAATGTTACGCTTTATTTATTCTGTTGCATAAATGAAAAATCTATAATAATTTTGATTGGTCAGTTTTTAAGAAGTAAAGCAAAAACATTTCCTAAATGAGGCCACTGATGTTCAGCAAATTAAATATGTTGTATCTCTTATCGGTATATACACAGTATGGATGATTGGATGGTGGTGACAGTCTGTCGTGATGGCCTCCTATTGGTGCTCCAACAGGAGGGGCGGGGCTTGTGGTTCCAGGTGGGGCGGTGGGCATGCGTCGAGTTGTTTATGGTCAATCTGCAGGAAGAAACAAAGAGAGTTTAAGATAAAAATAAAAAGTATTAAAAGGGTGTCAAACACCAAGTGGAATAAAAAGGATTGCTCACAGTTAAGTTGCAGTTGTGGTTTTAGTTGTGGGTGTAGATGCCTCCGGCCCTGATGGAGGTGCTGATGGGGGATGACAGTGGATGATGGCCTGGCCGGATTGGCTTTGCTGAGGCACAAAGATTTATTATTTATTATTATTATTTGGTAGTTTTATTCTCCCTTTTGTCAAAGTTTTAAAATGTCTGACAGTCAGCTCACCAATCTGTGCAGAGTAACCCCTCCTGGCCATGTTCTTGGCCCGGACGGCCTCCTTGATGCGGTCCACCTCCTGCTGGTAGCGCTTGCGGTCCCTCATGGCGTTCTCCTTGGCCTCCTTCAGGGCGTTCTCCAGGGCTTTGACTCGCTCTGCCGTGGCACGAAGACGCTTCTCCAGCTTCGGCAGCTCGCAGCGAAGGTCTGCGTTGTCTCGAACCAGCTGAGGGCAGTGGAGGAAAAGTTCATATTTCTCTATTTTATTTAATTTAAAACTCTTTTTTTTTGGGTTACTTTACCTGCTTGTGGACCTTGGTGAGCTGCTCCAAGTTGTTCTCCAGGAAGGAGATCTTCTGCTTCTGGGCCACGTTGCCAAGTCCCTCTTCACAGTCCAGCTCTGCACTCTGCAAACACAGAGCACATGTCAAACATACAGAAAAATAAATACTAAATGAGCTAAACAACCAGAGGAAGGTGATGTACCTTCTTGACACGTGTGGTGAGGTCCTGAACGAACAGTTTGCGCAGGTTGTGGAGAGTCTGCAGCTCTTTGGCCTGAGAGAAAGAAAAAAGAAAATGATAATGATGGTTAGAATTGGATCTTAGACACGATTAATCAACGTTTCTCCTGCTCAACACAATCCATAGGTCAGGTGTGGACACATTATTTAAACTTGGAAGGGGGACATGCAGTGGGAATATTTTGCAATTAAATTATTAGTTTTTTTTTTTTTTTTTTTATAAACAATCAATCAATCAATCAATCAATCAATCAATCACACACACACACACACACACACACACACACACACACACACACACACACACACACACACACACACACACACACACACACACACACACACACACACACACACACACACACACACACACCACTCTCTCTCTCTCTCTCTCTCTCTCTCTCTCTCTCTCTCTCTCTCTCTCTCTCTCTCTCTCTCTCTCTCTCTCTCCTCTCTCTCTCTCTCTCACTCACTCACTCACTCACTCACTCACTCACTCACTCACTCACTCACTCACTCACTCACTCACTCACTCACTCACTCACTCACTCACTCACTCACTCACTCACTCACTCACTCACTCACTCACTCACTCACTCACTCACTCACTCACTCACTCACTCACTCACTCACTCCAGTTAAAGTCTTAAATATCACTTTTTAAAATTTATTTAAAAAATAAAAATTTTGCCGTAAAAGGCAAGCCAGTGCTGGCATTCCAGTTCATAACCCCCTCTTTTTACCACTGCAGAAACTCGGGAGGGGGACGTAGCCCCACTCATTTTCCCCTGCAGTGGGACCGAGGCTTCAGAAACCCTGCACCGCATGGGCCGCGAACCGGGCTCTGTGTCCCATTGGTAACGACCAACCCACCACGCCACCGAGCTACTTCCACACTTGAGCTCCTCTCCGGGCACTTTTATCTTCTTACTTCAGCTCCTGGACCACAAAACCGACTCGGCCGCTAAAGGGAATTGAACACATAACTTCAGAGATTCTCCTCAGTTCTCTAACCTACTTGCCACTGAGCACCACACTGGAATGTTTTCTCCAGGCGCTTTTATCTTTTCACATCGGCCTCTGCACCACAAAACCTACCCGTTCTCATAAGAGACTCGAACACACAACCACTTGTCACTGGGCCACACTTTGAACCCACTGCACCATTTCACCTCACACTTTATCTGTATTTCTAACATCTTTTCACTTGTTTCTATGAACCTCTGACCTCAAAATTTACACAGTTGAACAAGGCTCAAACCAACATCCTACAACACACTCTGGGTTTGAACCCTCAACCTTAGACTCTCACTTAGCATCATCTCATCTCACTGAGTTACACCTGAAGCTGGAAATATGTGTTTTCATAGTCGTATTTGTTGTTCACATTACCGAGGAGACGGCTTTGAAAATGTTAGAAGAGGTGAGTTTGGGATTTGAACCCTCAATCTCATGTATCAACAGCAACAACTGCTCATCTCACTGAGCTATTCCTGCTGACGGTGCTCTTGTTATGTCCAACTTTGTCAGATTTGAACCCAGAACCTGACTGAGCTAACAACTCACACTGGTTCAACTCTTTCTCTCAGAATCTTTAAATCAGATCCTGTTGGCTTTTAAAACTTAAACTTGACATCAGTTTTGAACCCACAACCTTAAAGTTTGGGGTCACATGTGCCTCTTCTTTAGCAACCCATATTCACTTCTCACAACAACTAAAGGAGGCTCGAACCTCAGACAATTGATTTAGAGAACTTAAAGCTTGATGTTGGTGTTTAAAAACTACAAATTTAGTAGTTCATCTCGCCACTGATCTACTGTAAGTCAACAACTATTACCTACATGAACCAGTAGTTGCTGTATAAATGCTATATTTGAGCCTAAACTGTTGGGTAATTACCAATAATTCTCAGTTTTGCTTCAATGAACATTGAATATGTACGTGCTTTATGAGCATTAGCAGAGGCAAGACTTCCCCTACAAAAGGCTCATAGTTTATCCTGCTGGGAAATCTCACTAGTTGTTTGACATATTGACCGAAATACAACATAGAATTCAGATATTTTAATTCATAACACAATTTCTGGAGGACCTGCAGCTCGGCAGGAAGGAGGCTCAACCTCTAGTTCCAAGGCTACTGACTCATTTTTCTGAAGCCCTCTCCAGCACCGAGTTTCTTTCAGTTGCTCCTCCAACAGTCTGCTGCTCTTGGTCCCTGTGGGTTCCCTCAGTTTACAGACTCTGCTGCATCAGACTGACTGAGGCTGAGACTGAGGCCGGTGCATTCATCTTCTGTGTTGCAGGAAACAAGCTCGATGTCCTTCTTCATCACAGTTACTCGTTCCTGCAGCAGTTTCACACCGAGATCCATCTTGTTCAACCATTTTCTGTATGGTTCAAACTGGACTTTATGTGTTGTTTGTTTCCAAAAGTGTCATCATTGTCCTTCCATTTACTCTCAGAATCAGTGAGGGCCGACATCGATCAGCTACCTTACAGCACCTCTGGAACAAAAACCACAGACTGGCTCTGGCTGGAAGCCACAACCTTAAAACTTGAAAGCAAAAGGGCCCTTTCCTTTAACTTTTCATATATATATATATATATATATATACATATAAAGAGACACTCACCACAGTCTCCTCCAGGCCCTTCAGGTCCTCTCTGGCCTGCTCGCTCTGTTCATTCAGCAGTCTGCAGAGAAAGACCAACATTTACTAAACATATAAAGTATTTTAAAATCATTTTTGCACCACAATTTTCATTTTCACTGAAAAAACAACAACAATTAAATGATGATCATGAGGATGTGACATTTGTTTGAGGCTCTGTCCCAAACAAAACATCTTTTCTTACATCTGGAGAACAAGATTTATGGGCCAGAGTGTCTCTGCAAGGCTGGCGTACTTCATTACAATGCCGTTTGTCACATTGTACCTTTGCATATTGCAATAATATTTCCACTGATTTTGCCGACAGACGCCGGTGTTCGCTGGTACCTACATGAGTTTCTGGAGCTTTGCATCCTTCTCCTGCTCTTCAGCCTTCAGTTTGTCGTAGTCCGTCATGAGTCTCTCCTGCTCCAATAACAGACCCTGGTTCAGACTGCGGACAAAAGATGATCAATAAATATGTACAAAAGAAAAACTAAGATTATTAAATACATATTTTAATCTGTAAATAAAGGAATATTTCAGAATGTTTGGATTTATTTATACACTGATAAACACATCTGCTTTCATCCTCCATACTGACTGACCTACAGTCACACAGAGAGCTCCGTCTGTGGCTCCTCTGGCTACTGAACTAATTCCCAGAGGTCCTCACAGTCTCTGGCTGATCTTGAATCTTTGAAAACTCAAAGAGTGAAAACTGACTTTGAACCCACGAGTTACCGACTTTATTGGCTGAGCTTCACTTCACACACTCATGCTCTCTGAGCTTCTTTCTTCTCCTCAACAGTCTCTCTTCGAGTGGAAATCGGGCTGAAGTTAAACCTTGAACCATGTGTAATAAATCCTCTGCACTGAATGGAGGGCTTGCAAAACCCAAGATGGATGACACCGGATTTCACCATTTTTAAAATATTATTCCGCACACGACCAACATTTGTGGAAAAAAAGCTCTAATTTCACAGAATGGGTTCATGTTTTCCAGACTTTTTCAGAAACATTGCATCACGAAGAATATTATTTCATTTGTGAGTTGAAACCTACCTACCAACTTCCACTTTATACTTCACTGAGTGACAACTAACTAGAAGAAAACTTTTGACGTTATAAGGTCATACATTTGTGAGAAAGAAACTCAGTATGTTGTTTTCCTTTGCAATGTCTCTCCACTGTCTGGATGCTTATGATAATATGGTGAGGCAATGTGGTTCCTTGACAAGAAGATGGATAAATATAATTTTTTTCTTGTAAATCTACCACTTTTATATCAGAAATTCTGCTCTGTAATAAGGTAATGACCTACAAGGGCCCTAATACGCCGTTACAGAAAGCTCCACCAAAAGTATTTTGATCCGAAACAAAACCTTAAAAATTAAATTTTGCAAACAAAAAAGGTTTTTTAGTGTTTTTCTAAAGCTATTTGATAGATCTGGACCTGCTGTGCTTCTACGTCGCCGGTGCTTCGTGTGTGTTTACTGGTGTGTCCTCACTCTGAGAGCTCGTCCAGCATCCTCTGCTTGTCTTCGATCTCGTCTCGGAGGCGACTGAGCTGCTTCTGGTGGGCCTCCCTGTGGCTCTCCAGCTGCTCCTCCAGCGTTTTCTAGAGAGAGGAACTCATTAGAGCTGCAGTCATTTAACAGTTGGACTGCTGCAGTTTCCAGCTGCGAACAGACGGTTGTGGTTTTCAGGTTCACCTCTCCTCACCTTGATGTCATCGTCTCCATCCAGCCTGCCGATGTCCTCCTTCTCCTTCTCCTCCCCCGATACTTCATGTCTTTTCTCTGAGAGCAAACAAAGAAGACATATACGGCTCTGTTAGCAGGTGTTTCACTGACAAGAAAGAAGTTTGTGGAGTATTCTGGGTGTTCGTCTTGCCGTGTACCGACCCTGAGCGTGCAGTTTGGCGAGCTCCTCGGTCAGAGCATCCTGACTCTCCTCCAGCTGCCTCTTCTTCTGCTCCATGTTCTGCATGTAGTCAGTCAGAGACTTGATCTTGGCCTGGTGCTGAACACAGAGGGGGACGACACAAAACATGGCAAGAGAGAAGTTCTGTCGTTTATCCAGAGTGACTTTAAATAAGTATAACAAGAACAAGAAGTCCTTTTCTCAGTTTTCTCCAGTCACAGGGCACCAATTTAATAAATAATTGCATATTTCTACAACAGGCAAACATATAAAGTAGTTGTGCAGAGAAACAAATTTTAGCCTGGACACTGAGACTGAGATTTATAATACAAATGTATAATCTCCAGTGAGGTCAAATGTTGTCCCAGAGTTTCCACAGACACCAAGTACAATGAATTATGGAGAAATACAATATAATAATATAACAATATATCTTTATTTTTAAATGTAAAGGTGCAATTATAACAAAAAATGGCCTCTTGGGTTTGATTGTTTGACTTTAATTGTATTAAAGGTCCAGTGTGTAAGATTTAGTGGCACCTAGTGGTGTAGTTGCAGATTACAACCCCCTTGCCTCACCGTGTCTCTGGACCATGGTTACCTGGGAGATGAGCAGCTGACAGGACGCCAGCTCCTTCTCATTGGCCTGTATCTTGCGGTGGGCGTCGGCCTGAGCGCTCTCCAGCTGCTTGCTGCGGTTCACCAGAGATTTGACCTCGGACTTCATCTTGCTGATGTAGAGGCGAGCCACGGTGAACTCCTCCTCCACCGCCGAGCCGTTCCCCTTCGCCTCTGAGGACTGAACGGAGGAGGGAGGTTGTCAGGGTGTGAAAGATGACGTGTGTGTGTGTGTGTGTGTGTACACAGTATGTGCATGTCAGTCCTCACCGCGGCGGTCTTGGCGTCGCTGTTGCCGATGATGGCACCAATGTCGCTGAGGTCTCGCAGCAGCAGGTTGAGGACCTCGCCAGCTCTCTTCCTCTGCAGGCCGTTGAGCTCCTGCAGCTGATTCAGCTCCCTCTGCACGGCTGACAGCAACGCCTGCACACACACACATAAAGTTTAACTGATTCCTTAAAATAATGATAATAATAATAATAATAATAATAATATATGTTGTTTAGGGTCCTTCTGCATGATGAGTAGTTTTACTTTTAAATCAAATAAATGTATATTTTGATGTAAATTTAAGTATTTAATTTATATTTTTACACTGTTGCATTGTTACTTTTACTTAAATAAAAGATTTTAAGTATTTGTTACCACTAATAAACTGTAATTATCTCCTGGTTTAGAAAACTCACCCTCTTGTGCTGCAGCTCCTCGGCCAGCTGCAGGTTATCTTGCTCTCTCTCGTCCACCTCTCGGCTCTTCTGGTCGTAGTTGACGGCCAGCTCCTCCAGGGCCTGCAGCACCTCCTTCACCTCCTCCTTGGCCAGCTCGTTCTCCGTCTGCAGCCGGCACAGCTCCTCCTGGATCTTCTCGTAGTCGCGCCGCGTCGACGCCAGAAGCTGAGGGGGGACGTCGGTGAATAGATGAAAAATACGCTGACATTCACACATTGATATCAACATATATGAAACACTAAATGTAGTTTTATTGGACTGGGAGACAAACCTCTTCCTGGTCCAGCATCTGCTCCTTGAGTTTCTCAGCCAGCTGACTGTGTTGGTTAATCTCATCATCCTGCAGAAATATATAGAAATAGATAGAAAGAAGAGATTATTAAGTCTCTAATTAGTAGTTTGAATAATGCAGAAAGATGACATGTTTATTAGCCAGAGCTATGATTGAAAATATAATGCAATAAGGTCTAAAAACACTTGCAGTTGTCTCACCTTGTCATCCAGCTGTTTGTACAGGTTGCTGATGTCCTCCTCGTATTTGCTCTTCTCGTCGCCGGCGACCGAGACGCCTCCTCCGGCCGGCAGCAGGTTGTCGATGATGGGAGTGTTGTCGCACGGCTCGACGTTCTTCTGATCTTTGGAGCTCAGCTGCTCCTCCTCAGGAACGTCCTCTCCTGGAACATGGACTCATCTGTCATATCTTTTCATTCATTCATCCTTTAAATAAACACATTTTGGTCTTTGTATCGGCACGGCAAAATTAAAAAAGTTTTGACAAAATGATTGTTGGTACGTGCATCTATCGTACACTTAACATGTCTAATAAGAGTCCCGAGCTGATCACATCTACAATATTCATACTCATACTGCCACCTACAGGAAACAGAGAGTAAGCTTTGTGTAGCACTTCCCTGCATGAAGAATTGATGCTGTAATACGTATTGACCTTTTAATTGAGGTTTGCTTCAACTGAGATGAAAGCAATCAGCAAATTAGAAGACGGAGAAGAGGACAGACTGAAAAGGTGAAGAGCTGCTTCGTTTAAATGGCTCGGCATGGAGCCAGCGGCTGACTCATGTCAGAAGCACTGCATCAGCACAGTGTGTGTGTGTGTGTGTGTGTGTGTGTGTGTGTGTGTGTGTGTGTGTGTGTGTGTGTGTGTGTGTGTGTGTGTGTGTGTGTGTGTGTGTGGGTGCCTGTGTGTGTGTGTGGGGAGCGGAAGCAGAGCTGATTTGTTGCTAAGGAGGGGGAGTGTTATCAGCATCCGCAAGGGAATTAAAAGATTAAAAACAACAATGGCCAGAAAGGGAGAGAGAGCGGAATCGAGGGAGAGAGACATTAGAGGAAAGAGGAAAATGGGGAGAGAGAGAGAGAGAGAGAGAGAGAGGTGGGGTTTGACTGGTTACCATGCAACAGGGATGGAAAGAAGGGCAAGGATGCTGTGGAGGAGACACTGCAGTCTCAGAAGAGAGGATGATAGTGTGAAGTAGAAACAAAACAACACGCAGTGCAATGCCCTCGGTAGTGTTTTTAAATACAACCTGTAAGCACTGTCATGTGATTGATCTACTGACATTAAAGGAAAAACCTGCATGAATGAGTAGAGAAACATAAAGAAAAAACACTAAATGAAGGAATATCTTTAAGAAAAATGGTGTCCATGCTTCCATTAGAGTTCCAGTAACTCGGTGAATCATGTTTCTTTCTCTTTCAAAGATCCAGTGTGAAACATTTAGGAGAATCTATGAGCAGAAACTGAATATAATTAATCATAGGTATGTTTTTTATTAATGTATAATTACCTGAAAATAGTAATAGTTACCTTAGAATGAGCTGTTTTTATCTACATAGGTAGCAGGTCCATGTTTCTACAGTAGCCCAGAAGGGACTAAACCAAACACTGGCTCTAGATACAGCCTGGTTGCAACCATTAAATCGCACACGCTGTTCTTTTAACTCACCATTCCTCCAGCGGTTGAGTTCAGCCTCCAGCCTCTGGATGATGTTTTTCAGGCTCTTGTTCTTCTCTTTCTCCTTCTCGTATTTCTTCTTCCACTCCTCGGCCGTCAGCTCCAGGTTCACAGACACCGTGTTCTTGATGGTCTTGGCTCTAAACAGACGCAGACGGTACAGAGTGAAGTTTAGATATTCTAACGGGCAGACGCCGAAAGACAACACTCCTCTCTGAAGACGAGGACACACATTTAAATGCCTCTTCCTATTTTTGTTGACAAAACATCTGCTGCAAAAACTTCCACTCAAAAATGTCCAAAAAGGAGCCACAAATAGTGCAATTTGTAAATAAGACATTACACTACAAGTAGTTGAAATACTCATTCTACACACTTCAATATTCTGTGTTTCTGTGGCACTAAAGCTCACTTGTTTATCTCTTTCTGTTTCTGTATTGAATGTAAACCTATAATAATTCTATTATTATTATAATTAATAATTATAACAACAAATAACAATGAATTAAAATGAAAAAATCTGATGTTCCAGTATGTTAAAACAAAGATTCATCGATCACTTTTTATTAATAAACTGATGTATTTGTCCATATAATGCACTGAAACACCTCCTAGGTTTCCACTAGTGCTTTCTGGTTAAATAAAACGTCACTGCAACGGGCAGTCCACTTTAAATGGACATAAACTGTGTGAGTCTGACATGTTGTTTTCCTCTAATGGTGGTAATGTCATTTTGGACTGTACCTCTTCATTTCCTCTCAGTTCATCCTCAGCAGAGGGCAGATGGCTGCACAGTAATCAGTCATCTGCCCGTCACTGCTGCAACTCTCTGGTTTATTACATTTGCAGCCTGGTCACACAACATGTCATTAAAGCTGTAATATGAAACATTTATGCATTAAGATATCTCTAACGTCTAGAGCTATGGTCTATATGTAGTTGAGTTGTTTCCAACAATGTTCAAACTCTGTGGATCTGTCTTTTTATTCAGGTAACGCTGCGTTTCTCCAGTCACGTTGACAGCGTTGTGGTTGTCTGCCAGAAGCTGTCACACATTGACTGTTTATCCAGTCTGAAGCCACATTTTTACCATCCACTGTTTAGATCTTTTTAACTCTAGTTTTGAACCGGATGAAGGATTTTAGTCATCCGACGTTCAGTGTTTTTAGCAGTTTTAATCAGCGGGTCTGTTTGTTTTGGAGAGGAGGAGACCTCTGTGAATAACTGGGCTCCCGGTAGAAACCTCCTGAACCATGAACATTTTGATGTGAGAGACCCCCTAGAACATACTCACATCTCATTTAATAATGAGAGAAAGGAAAAGGAGAAAAGACAGGATATTGTGGCTTACTCTTCATTTTACAATTAACATGAAGGCAACATGAGCCTGGACTGCTGTGCCACAACAAAACAAAAACATAACAAGTGTGGAGGGATCTATAAATAGAAAAAAAGCCAGATGCACAGTGGGAAACTCAATGCCATCTGGTTGTTAGTTCTCAGCACTGACGTCAGTGAGTCAACGTTCACATTCAGACCTCTGTAGGGCTTTGACTCACTGCTGTCCTCAGTGACAAACTCATTACTGGACTGTACAATTTGTTAAGATCAGTTAGCGCCTTCCTCACGAGGAACGTGTCACAACTCTAGCCTCTGAAAACCTGCATCAATCTGTGATGCTGGAAAAGGTCAGTGGTGCAACAGATTTTAAATTTTCCATCCAGCTGCTTTTATGCACATTTTCGATTTACACATAAAAAAAAAACGTGAATGGAAACAGCCTTATTAGACCTGACTGACTCAATCTTGACATAAAAAGGATGAAAAAGCACATCCTAAAGTCCACAAACGTCACTAGCTAATAAAACTGGGAGCTACTACTATCAGTTTCAACTCTGAATTAATCATGACATATGAAGCCTGTGACAAAAACATCAGATGTGTGGAGCTCTCGGTATTCGTGGATGGAAACGCACTTAAATTTGCATTTTCTTCTGCTGATTTTCCTAAAATTCGGTTAGAATTACTAACATACTACATTTGAACGGAAACCTGTGCGGGTGTTCCTCTTTAAAGAACTGTTCTGTACTGTTTTGTTCTACTGTCACAGGATATTAACAACTTTTAACTGCCTTCAATTTCCAAAAAGTGAGAGCTGATATTTTTTCAATTCCAAGAAAGTTAATTCTCTCAAAATGTGGCTGAAAAATGTAGAAAAAAATCTAATTTGTGGAGTTAAGACTTTTTCTCTTTTCTCTCAGCCCATCAACCTTACCTCTGCCCGAACATGAGCGTGGACTTGGTCTCGGCCTCGTTGTAGATGGACGGCGAGCAGCAGATGATGATGGTGGTGCGACAGTTTCCCCCAGAGAGTCCTGCAGGATCCGTGTCATCTTGCTGTCTCTGTACGGCACGTGGGTTTTCTGAAAAATAAAATGTATCACTGTCACGCCTTCATCCTCAAATGTGCGGAGGTAGAGGTGACTGTGAGTAACGTACCGTTCCCTCGGCTAGAGCTGAGATGACGTTTCCCAGCGCTGACAGAGATTTGTTGATGTTCTTCGCCTCGTCCAGCACGGCTCCCTCTGCTCCCGTCTTACTGACCTGTTCAAACAGCCAGCAAGCACATCACACATTAGCTTAATAATTCATTAAACTCTACAGTAAATATGGATTCCATCTTTATGCTCTTAACTAAGACTGACCTTCTCGCTGCCCGCGAGGTCGACCAGGTAGAGCTTCCCCGACAGCTTCTTCTCCGTCTCTATGTTTTCCTGCTTGATGTTGATGAGGAAGATGCTGTGGCTGCGGGAGCTGTGCTCATTCATGTCTAGAAGATAATTAAACAAAAAAAAAAAAAACAACGAATTACTGTTACTTACTTAAATATTGCACTTTTTAATCCACTACATGTATCTGACAGCTTTAGTTAAGATCCTCTTCAGACATTTATAAAGAAATATATACAAATATTCTGCTTGGACTAATAATGACTGTATTAAGTGTGTCTGATATGTTTATTTCTGCAAACAATAATATATAATTTTCACATTAAAATGCTTAAAAGGGTATCTACTACTTTCAAAATTTCAGAGTTTATGAATAAAGGTTTTCCTGCTGGACACAAGATGTCTCCTACTTCGCTGTGAAGTCCATTCTCAGTGTCTGTGCACTGGTGGTTTCAAGTTTATACATCACACTTGTAGAAGCTGCATACTGGACCAGACAGAAAATTGTATAAAAAGTTCCCTAAACCGCAAATAATCTGCTCAAAATTCCTCCAAATCAACCAAACTTCATTGTACATTTTTAATTATGATATAAAATATCTATAAAATACGACACTTAGTCAGTCAGATGATAGAAAACGGGCCCCTTAAATAAAAGGTTGGGAACCACTGCTTTAAATTACGATTCCCTTAGAGAATCCAGAATATGATTTTAGTATCAGAATTTTGTTTTCTTCTGTCCTCTCTCAGTAATCATGTCACAACCCCTCAGATCGATCCTGTGACCCCTTTGGACGGGCCCGACCCCTAGGTTGGGAACCACTGGACTAAGCTATAAAGTATTTAAAACTTATAATGTCACATAGAATCATATATTAGTCAAAGGGGGACTTTATTCTGCAGGAAAAATGATTTTATACATTTCTGCTTGAGCAGGATTTAGTCTGCAGTGGTTTAACTTGTAATCGAGTAGTTTTACATTATTGTTTGACTACTTTTACTTCAGGATCTTTACAGATAAGATACATACTAGTCACTGCCACGTGCCGATTGGCTTTGCCCTCATCGATGACGTCCATCACCTCCTCTGGACTGGACACGAAGCGCTCAGTGCAACCCTGACACAGAAAAAGATCAGGACCTTGTGTTTAACTGTTGTAATTATTCCAATTTATAACACTTCTTTAATCTTTTTGTATAGAAAAAATCATCCACATCCACCAAACACCTGTGAAAACCATAACCTACCCACCGACTGAAATAAACTGTTGAAACTGATTTCTGGATCCTGTGTTTGAATGTGCACACCACATCGGATGTTCAGTGAGCCAACGCCACCAACGCAATAGCTTTTTCAAGCAGGATAATGGTGGATGTTAAAACAAAGTGTAATAGAAGCACAACTAAAGAGGAGTAGACACAGGATAAATAAGGCATAATGGACACCAACGGCCATTATCCCTAACGTATGCTGTGTTTTTGAGTTAGGGTTAAAAGCTCCTGAAAAAGCGAGCAAGAGGAGCTTCTGTTGAAATTGTTCTGTTAACTGAATCACTCATATTTCCCAGTTGTCCACAGTCTATAATGCATTATATGTTGTGATGAATGAAAACCACAAGTAAATCACAGTGATAGCATTACTGTGTAATCTCATCTGCTGCCGATTAGCTGGCAGGAAGAGTTCTGATGATTATTACAGATACCAGAGGATATTAAATCCATGAATTTATATCAAAGTCTTGTGCAGTTCACCAACCTTGACATAGGGCACTCTGTTTTTGTCTTCGTGCACAGCGAGGTTCGTCTTCGACACTTCAAACAGAACAAAGATTCAAGTCAAAAATTCCTTTTTATTGAAATATTCATCAGGCAGAACCCTCCACTGATCCCTTAAATTTACCTTAAATGCTATAAACCTGAGATAAATGGTCTTTCTTACCGTCCAGCAGGTCTCTGATCTTGTCCAAGTAGATTTCGAAATAGGAAACCTGCAGAGAGAAACTCCAAACTTAAGTCATCAACAGAGGAAATCCAAATTTTAATGAATACTTCAATTAACAGACTAATTGGGATCCTGCTTTTAATTGTTTTACCGGTATGCATGTACTTGTCGCAGTGTTTGCTATAAATACAGGTGTATATGTTTATTTGAGATGTTAAATAAATAAAATCAATATCAATTATCTCAATCTTTGCATAAGCATAAATTAGTTAAATGTGAAAAACATCACTTAAATGTTCTAATTTTCTAAATTGCAGATTTTGTTGTGTGGGACCTACAAGAAATTTGGGATATTTAATTTATTTATTCATGTAAAAATGTGTCAGCAACACACCGAAATGTCTCTTTGTCACTCTGTGAAGTGGGTGAAGATCTTCAATACAACTCAAACTCCATCATTTTGTACATTTTCCAATGAAACCACACAAGTTTCATGAATTTGGTAACTATTCCATCTTTAATTCATCATTAGAAACCAGTAAAATTACAGGAGAATGTTTTTAAACTGTTGAAAGACTTGACTTGATCGAGACTTGAGATTTCCAAGGCCCAACAGGTGAATTAGGAATCAGTATTACAGCTGCTGCAGTTGTTTGTTTTTCTGAGGCTTAAACTTGTTTAGTTTTTTTACCTTGATGTGAAACTCGAGGTTCTCATCCATGGAGTAGATGTGGTCAAAGATGTCGTGGGAGATGCGAGGGATGATCCCCATCAGCTGGGGGTCGTGCAGTTTGCCCTGAACACAGCAACGGATATTGACATTTTAATGCTTTTCAGTGTTTGCTGAACTTTGAAAGCTGCTCGAGGGGAGTTTTCAGGGGAAAATCAGGGCTCAAAGGTGGAATTAAAACTTCATATAAAGAATTCTTTTCATCAGACACTCACAGATCACATCGGGGAATTAAAAAGAGGCTTTAGGCTGCTGTCTTGCTTGGATTAGTGAAGTAATGATGCCAAATCCTGATCTCCTGTGAGTGCTGTTGCAGATTCCGCCTGTGCCAAGAATTCTACTTTTTCCACTCGAAATGTACGACACAAACAGTCTTTGAACGCATCAGTGTTTGCAGGAGTTTAACCTTCCTGGTACAAGACGCTGTCTGCTATCTCGCTGACTCCTTGAATCTCAGCCGGCGTACGAGCAGGACTGGGTTTAGAGTTTGTGGTAAGTCTGTTACACAATGCCTGCCGAGCTCTAATCCTCTGATTGGAGCTCAGAATAAAGGTCACAGGCAGCCTTTAGACAGGATTTATCGATTGGTGGATGAGAGTCAAAAGTCAGCGGTAGATGGACTGAATGAGCCTCTCACCTCCATGGTGTGCGTCTTCCCAGAGGACGTCTGTCCGTAGGCGAAGATGGTCCCGTTGTAACCGCCCAGCACATCTGGAACATCACAAAAACACATTTATTTGTGAAAGCAAATATCTAATGTGTATAAATAACTCCTATAAATGCTACTGCTATTAATATCGCAGTATTTATTTCTCCCCTATAAGTATTAATGTTGCTTCCAATAAAATTATTGCTTTTATTATCAGAGCCAATACTGCTATCACAGAACAAGTCCTCAAATAAAGTCCAAGTCAAGTCTCAAGTCTTCAAATCAGGTCCAAGTCAAAGATTTTTACATAGCTGGCACCGAGTCATCTCAACACAGAGGCCTGATGATAAAATATTCGGTCTGTTTATTACATTTTCTGAGATTTTACCAGGGCAGGGCGACGCTGACACTAATGTTTCTGCTTTGGAATTCAGGTGCAGAGAATCGGGTCTCAAGTAAGTCAAGTTTCAGAGCAGTCAAGCCAACATTAATGTCACTAAACAGATTCAGGCACTTTATTTAGCAGTTATTTGTCCCTGACATGCAACTGAATTTGATGATGTAACAATATCATCATTATTAAATCAATATTTCCACTTTTAGCTTTTATTTATTTCTTGGCTGTGAAGGACCTGGGGGTGTATACAGTTCAGCTTCACAAGCAACACAAACTATTAGTCTTTGAAAGCAGCATTTTCAGAATAAAGTCTCCTCAAAACATCGTAAATACTTCAGGATTTGTCAGGTTTTCTCTGTGAGCAGACGTGTTGAATTGCAGACACTACAGATAGAGAACCTGAGGCAATCCCCCAGTCAAAGTTATGTTTCCCACTGAAACTGAGACAGCTTCATTTAGGATCCCACCTGTAGCCTTTCAAACGTCTGTGTCTCCCAGGATATCTCTAATCTACAGCTCTGACTTCTACCATCACTCCTGCTGCTATCTCTAATCTAAAATCTGTTAAATAACCAACATCAAGCAACTCAAACGTCACAGACAACAGATGAAGTGTGTGTGCAGTGCATACAGACACACAACAGACCACGGTTACAGAACGACATCCATACCTTTCACTATCTGTTTGGCACACTGGTCGTACACTTGCTCCTGTGACGTGTTGGGAGGCAGCACGCGGTCGAACGCGTAGGGTTTATTCTGTTTCAAACAGACACAGGACACATTAGAGACTGCAGTACATCACATACAAAGCACACAAATAAACTGAAACTAAGCAGAATGGGGCGAACCTTTGCACTACAGTTGAGTTTCTTTCTGTATTGCATGCAGGATCTGACACTTTCTCATGTTCAGACAATATTAGATGCTTGTTTCTATCACTACGGTGTTTTAAAATTGCTCCAGTAGCTTCCAGGACCTTCGGGTGTGACCATCCATCACTCCTGCTGCCCTTGTCCAAACCACTGACTCTGTCTCTCGGGGGGGTAAAAGCCTCATTGCTGTGAAAAGCCGCTCTCAGCACTTGGAGGCAGCAGCAGCAGCAGCAGCTCTCTCGCTCTCTCTGAACTCTGAGATAAAGCAGAGAAACCACTGACACGAACAGTATCGGAGCGTACGGCCACAGTTGGGGCGGCTCAGTAATCTGTTTCTGCAGTTTGATTGATGGCACGAGGCGGTGACGAGCAGTTTGTGTTTCTGGGCAATAATGCAGCTGAATGAATAATGCAGGACGTGCAGGCCGCTGATGGTGAAACTGTACAGAACATTTTACAGATTTTAGGTGCTGAGCCCGACCAAGGACTTCTATTTTTATGCCATGACTTTGCTTTTCTTGTTTTTTTCAGTTGTAATTATTGTGCTGTGTTCAAGGACGGGTGGGGAAATGCAGCATCGAGCACTTTATAAAACATTACTTCCCGTTGCTCTAAAGCAAGTGGCCTCATATCTGTGTGGTTCACACTGTGGTTGAACACAGTATTGACGCTCCTGAATCAGCACATTTCATAATGGTGAGTCAGTGTAAGTGTAACCTTTGACCCCTTAACCTCCAGATGATTACTTCCTTAAAGCATCAAGAAAAGAAAGTCTCTCTGTTATCAATATATTTTCTCTTTTTCTTCAACACACACGTTTATGACGGTGTTAAAGTTTAATTTTAAGGTTTTTTTTAACTAAATGTTTATATCATCATCACAGGAAACGCATCACAGCTGAGCTGGCTCCTGATTGGCTCGTTAAGAACGACTTAAATCTGAAATAAACGTCCTTTTTTTAATCCTTTGTGCTGTGTTTATCTCCTGTGGTTCCTGTAATATGATGGTATTTAATAAAAAGTATATTATAGACTTGTGTGTCTCTAACTTTTACATAAAATATATGTAAACACATACCAATATCCATGTTATTGTTTGTCTCTGGACAGTTTTATATGATTATTATTAATCTATTATAAATAACGCATCACTAGTAGCAGCAGCCTGTCCTGCAGTAGCTATATGAAGCAGGAGTTTGTGTTATATTCTGTTTTAACTCGTTTATTTCCATAACTTTGCGTCCACTGACGGCCTGTAGTTTCAGCCTTTATATGAGCTGTGTGGAGCTTTATGGGGAATCGGATGTTCTCTCTCTCTCTCTGGCTCACTGCGCACTTGGCACCCGAGCCTGCCTGCAGAGCTTCAGGTGACTTTCTTCCTCTAAACACTGCGGTGTTTGTGTTTTCAGCTCCACACAGACATCATCGTCAACAACAACAACAACAACAACAACAACAAAAGGAGAGGACAGACTTGCCGTTATGACCACGGTGTCGTCGTCTTTGAATTTGGGGATGTATTTGTCTCCTCGGTTGATTTCGGCCTCGTTCAGCGGCCTGAAGCGACACATCACTCTCACCCCGCACTCCGACGCATCCATCATGTCTGCCGCTGGCACTGTTCACACCAAATACTGCGGGGAGGGCGCGCACAGCAGGCTGGGAGACAGGCGATGGAGCAGTCTATTGTAAGCAAGGGTGGTGCCCAAAGTGAGGTTCGGGGATCACCAGTGCGGCCTTGATGAGTGTCCCTGCGTCCCGGGCCAAGTGAGAGTTCAGAATGGACTAAAACAGGGAGTCAAACCATTATTGGCAACCGACCCGGTTCCTGGGGGGGTGAGACGTCGGGGTTTCCTGGTTTTATCCACGCAGGAAAGTTTAGGGACGTCCGATGCGCAACGCGTCCTTCATCCGAGCCGAATATCTCCGGGATTCTTCGGCTGCGCCATGGCCAAACCGGATCAACCGCAGCGCTGCGTCCCGGTGCGGAGCTCAGACGTCGGTGTGCGGGTCTCCCTCTGCAGCGGCGGCACCGACAGTCGAGCACACGGTTGGACTGATGTGTGTGTTCCTCAGCGGCGGGGGGAGACTCGGAGGGTGCTGCCCGGTTTGCGGAGAGAGAGAGCCCGGAGAGGATGCGCAGAGACAAACCGCATCGTCCTGACTTGCAATAAAAGCGCGCTCCCGGCACGATGCTGCGGCGCGCGCCCGTGCCCTGCATCAGCACCATCGCTGAGCTGCTGCTCCTGTGCACGCGCACAAAAAACCCCTGCATTCATTACTGATGAACCCTTCTTCTAATAAACGACTTAATGCTTCTGCTCTCACATGATCAATACAACATAAATAAATAATAGTGTTTTATTATAAAGCTGCAACATTAAAGTCATGCTTTAGTCTAATTATACACCCAATATAAAACTACATTATTCTGAATCACTTTAACTGAAATATTTCGACACTAAAAGGACTTTTATTCTGAAAAGTAAAAGAATATTCACTGGTTCAACACTACTTAGGTGTATTGCAGCTTTTTAAGGCGAGGTATCAGGTACAAATGGCAGTAAGTGGTTGAATTAGTTGATTAGGATGATATATTGTCTTATTATAACAACTGCACTTTCAGAAATGACTCGTTTTATAAACGATAAAAATGATTAAACTGTCAAAAAGCTGCTTGTGTCCTGCTTTGATGGCTCTCTCTCTCTCACACACACACACACACACACTGAGTCAGGAGTGTGTGCCGTGTTGCATTTTGAGGTTCAAAGTTCATTCTTAACCTTTGAAACAAGCAATCTCACCATGACATCCATTTAGCAGCTGTTCTGGAGCTTTCCACCCTCTCACATGACCTTCATCAGCAGAGTGAAACCTTCATTTTGGACAGCAACATGGACGAAGTGTATCATTTTATTGGCTTTATTTTTTTTATTATGACAAATCGGCACAACTTTGACTTCCTCCTGTAAAATAAACGAGAGCTCTAACGGCTACTAAAGGGACCCAGTGGCTGGATGTATAACGCTGATATAAAAACAAAGAAAAGCCATGTATATTTCTATTTTATTCTGTAGGAAATTCAGGCTTTTGTTTCCAGCAGGAGGCACGAGAGAGAGAGAGAGTCTGAGCTTATTTAAGTTTTATGAAAAACTTAATAATATGATGCATTACTTCACAATTCAGTATCCACATTGAATAATATCTGTACCACCTTTCCAACCATTATATCGTCCTTTTATTCTCCGTATTCCCAGGTTGAGGATGCTGTGTGCTCTCCCATTTGCCCACTAGAGGTCAGTGTGCAACAAGAAACACAGGCTTTAAGCTGTTCACATCTTTAACTCTACACTTTGGTCCCTTTTAATCAGATTTATAACTCGATAAACCAACTTTTTAAAATGCAGAATAAATAATAAAGTGAGAAACACAACGAGGAAACAAGAAAGAGGGAGCATAAACACACGTTACACAGTTAAGTTATTCAAGTAAGAGTGACCATGTTTTTAATATCTTAAACATCTTGTGCAACATTGTTCAAAATGTTACATCACTGCATGACCTGTAATGTTTCACAATATTTACAAAAAAAATGCTGCTTACATCAAACCATTAAAAAAAGTCCAAACAATCTCAAAATAATGGACTCTGACAAACTATCCCTAGCCCACATTAATGCAAAAAGAAAAGAAATAAACAAGAGAAATCAAGTGCACATCATACTTCACGCAAGTCTATTTTTTGTAAAGTATATATTAGTGAGAAAATATATACTTAATTACAAGTTGAAAAAATAAAATACTGACAACTAAAGGGTGGAAGAGGAAGAGGGAAATTAGATTCAAAAAGCAGAAACAAACAAGTTCACCGGGGGTAAAAAAAAAAAAAAAAAAAGATCACACTCACACCTCAAACACACACACACACACACACACACACACACACACACGGGAGGAGGAGAAAATAGACTGCACAGACCATCTCAAACACAAAAATGCTTTGAACTCTTGACCACAAATAACATGAAACTGATAGAACAGATTCATAACACATGGGTTCCCAACCTGAGACCGGGTTCCTGCATGTCATTGCACAAAAAAAACGAGGGGGGGTGTTTTGGGGGGGTCGGGGGTTTGTGGGAGGAAGAGGCAGAATGAACTTTACCAAAAAAAAGAGCTCACGTGTTCTCGACACCGAACGTCACATTTCGGAAAAACGGAGGATTTTCCTTGCCACAGATTACACCGACAACTCTGAGGTTCTTAAAAAGTGTGTGCACTGAAAAAGGGCAGGAGATATTATAGACATTTAAACAGACGTTGCCGTAACTTGACTCGAAATCTTTTGGAAATCTGGTCCTTGAACAGGTTGGATGTGAAAGGACGCTCCCATAAAGTCTCATATTTACCTTTAAATACTGATATTGTTTGACGTTGCTACATGTTTAGGGACTTTTTTTTTTTAATTTCAAAATGTCCTTGAGTTTTTCAGTAAGCACACAGCAACAAAAAAAGGTAAGAAATGTTTTGAAATTAGTGAGATCTCTTCAGAAGTGTGCACACATTAACAAAAATAAGATGAAATTGTTTACTTGGCTGTAATTGTTAGTTTGAGGCTCCTCCTTTAGGATATCAGGTACATATATATGGTAGTGTTTTCATGTTTTACAGAGTGAGAAAGAAGATAATCTCTTTATAAAGTAGTGTTTTATTGGGTCTTTCTTGCTATAAATGCAGAAAAGTTCAAGTAATTTAGCGGTATTTTAGTAGAACTTTATTCATGGAGGTTTAGTGTGTGCATCAGATGTTCTGATAAGGGTGAATTACAAATTAAAATGAAATTTGTAAAAAAAAACAAAAAGGTAAAGCTACAAATAAATTACTACTTCATGGCTCTTAGGTTAGGACATCTGAAAAAAAGATGAATATTGTTCCCAAAGAACTTTTTTTTTGTTGTTTTGAGGTTGAAAAACAGGCAACAAACGACAGCACGAGCTGTTGAAGGTGTGTACACAAAGAAAAAAAGGTCTCAAACAATCAAGAGATGCAGCGCTGCTAAGCTGTTGATCTTTGCCATCAATTGGTATATTGCACTTGATAATTGTGTAGTTAATTCAGCTTGTTGTTGGTTTTGATTCGGAGGTGAAGCTGCGTGTGCGTTTCACCCCAGAGTTTCCAATACTGTGAGCATCACTGTCGATTTTAAGACGGTTTTGAAACTTCGTAGTTAGTAGTGTTAAAACTGCATTTATTACCGAACATAAACGCTTTCTCAAGATGTGCATATTCATAAATAGTGTGGTCCTGTAGGCAGACGTTATGACATCCATGACACATTGTGTAACAAAAATAAGTAGATCAGAAAGCCTCGCTGTAAAAAAAAAAAAAAAAAGTGTTATCTGTAATGCTCACTTTTTAAATAAAAGGGAACACGACCTTAATGAATACATGATCTATTCACTGTTAAAAAACATACATATACACATATAAGGCTTGAGTTCTCAACTCTTGGTAGTATTATTGCCATCTAGCATATTTGTAAAGCTTAAAATAAATATGGAGTACTGTACATAAATAATTTACATCAAAAAGGCAAAAACAAACAAACAAAAAACAAACAAACAAGGCCCCTAAATGAGAAATGCTTTCACCGCTCTTGAAAACCGAGTTAGTGTTTCCTCATGATGATCTAGACTGCGCCTCTGAGGTTGGTTACTCTACCTAAAGCTATAGTTGTGGCAAAAAACCGACTACAGTCCAAAAAAATAAAGAAAATCACTGTACAAACGAGCACGAGAACATAATCACAACAACCAAATGACATAATTCATCAATGCAGCCTGTGATTCTTGGTTGTAGTTGAAGGAGAAATCCACCCAAACACTCTTTGTACTGGTTTATGTTGCATTGTGGGTGCTCAGTGTTAAGTGTAGTCTTTCTAAGAGAGGGGCGGTATTTTTAAAATCATCATTTAATACTGACATTTAACAGTAACAAAGGGAGAAATCCATCATATTCTACACCCAAAGGAGCAGGAAATAAGACCAGAATCCTCATATTATGCAAACTTTAACCAAGGGATTTCAAGGTTTTCAAGGATGAGCTGGTTATGAAAATATTCCTCTTTATTCTCCCGTCGTTTCACTAACGGTTGCGGCTGTTGTGGAAAGTCGTTCTGGGAAATATTTACCTAAAACTGTAAATTATTACGACACAAAAGTGACTTAACAGTGTGAAAGTGCCTGAAGGTGGATTTTTCTTTCAAAAACACGGCAGGTAAGCAACTTCTTTTTACGACGATTGGTAACCCCCCCCCCCCAAAAACAAAATCACCTGCCAACCAGAAAACTGATTCTCCAAATGTCATGATTTTTAGATTTTCCTGTCACTGCGACTGGCAGAGCAGATGAAGATTAACCAACACTGGCCCCAGCCGCTCGTTACTTCCGTTGAACACTTTCTGCTGGTAAAGTTCATTCTGGTTTTTTCCATCTCTCTCTCTCTCCCCCCGCCCACCCCCCCACCTCCCCCATACAAATGAACACTTAACTGGTTTGAAATTGACTTTCATAATGGAGAACTCATATACTCATGCATGTTCCACTGCTGTTCCCTTACAAAAAAAAAAAAAACAAAACAAAACAAACAGAAAAACAGCACGTCTTACAGTTCCTCATATAAAAGCTTTAGGCTGTATTCTTATTTAATCTATGCATGCGGCCGTATGCAACCGCATTTCTGAATAGAAACCAAGACATTGGTACACTTCTGCTTTGTTTTTGTACAATAAAAGATAAAATGTGCATTAGGTATGCTTGTACATGACATTGTACAATATTTACATACAATTCTTAATAGCATGAAATTTCAGGATTATCTATATACATATTGAAAATGTATCAGAAATATTTGGACTGTCTATTTTTCTTAAATATGTAAGGTAATGCTTGTAGCTTTTTTTTTTTTGTTTTACTATCTTATACTAGAAAAAAATAGTTAATTCAGTGAGCTGTAGACAAATTGCAACTGTTTTTGACGTTTTTCTCCATTTTTTCCTTTCATTATTTTTTTCTACAGTTAAAACTGTATCGGGAATCTCCAGCACCTTCTGTGGTCAGTCATTAAGTCAAGTTGAGATCATGGAACAACGATGTACCACTGAAAGTCCATGTGTAGCACCTGTTAGAGAGCTCAGATCGCATCAAGGCTGAACGGACGAAGTCTCCGAAGGCTTTGAGGACGTTCTTGGGCCGACACATTCAATGTTATCTGGATATCTTCCTCCTCTTGGGCTTGGGGAGCTTCACCTGACGATCCCTCGATGGGATCTGATGGCAGACGGACAGAAGCGTTACGCTGACGGCTGACAGGTAGACGGATTAAAAGCAATACTTTCTGTGTAAATACTCACTGTGCCCGACATCTTATCCAGCTCGCTCATGGCCTCGTGGATAGCAGCTTCCAAGTGATTATTCAGTTTCCCCGGTCTGTTGGACGACATTTATGTTTTACATTATTGGCATATAAGCTGATGTTGTGACGTCTGGTTGCTGCAGGGACCAAAACACTAATGTTTCAAGATCCTAACCACTAGGTGTCAGTGCTACCGTGGACAAACACCAACAAATTAATCATGCATCTGGTCATTCGCTAAACCCCTTCTCCAAACAGCAATTACCCAATCACAGCTCAGTGACCCTAACATGGAACGACTGGTCTGCAGAGCTGTTAAAGTTACGTTAACATTACGCCATTGGTCGATCAAGTGTTAGAGGTTTCTCATTGGCTGTTGCTTCTTCAAAATGAACGAACCTGGCTGCTCTCTGCACAGCTCAATGACTATTTCTTCTCCTCTGCTTATTTCTAATCCCACATACAGCTGATCTTTACAATAACCTCTTGAATTTATATCGTACAGCCTTTTATGTGTTCCTGTCGGGCGTCGCCTCTTCTGCAACTCTGCAACTTTAAAAAGGAGATGTGTGTCTGGAGCTGGTGCAACACTGGATCTGTCCTGCTCTCTATTGGATTTGGGGAAGTTTCCCGGAGATGATATCATGTATTTTGAGTTTGAACGAGCTCACAGAATTTGTTTCATCCTCATTATCTAGCTAGCTACAGCTGATAAATGTCATTTCAACAGACAAAACTGTTTCCAACACATTTTGAATAGTAAATCTACCACGGATAGCATTATAAACCGGAAAGCTTAATAGGTGTAGCAGTATGAGCAAGGCAGAAACCATGCAACCTGTAACTTTTCAGCATAAATCACAGACCCTTGTCGTTTACTGAAGCAACAATAAGGTGGGCGGGTTTACTTACTTCAGGCCTCTTTTGGCGGCTCGGTCAAGTGCCTCTAAGTCGTGAGTTAGTGTTTTTAGCTTCTCTGGTTCTACCTGGATGGAGACAAAACAAAACATCTGAGTACATTCAAGACTGGTTTGCTAGCAGATTGAGAATTTCCCACCAACCACCGATAAATGATGGTGAATTTGTTGTACTGTCTACCAGTTATTTGGCAGTCGTCCGTAGTAAGACCTCTTCTATTCTGAAATTTTGATTTGGCAGGTAGGATGGTGTAAGTGTTTGGAGCATTTTGAAATCCATCTGCCGCAATGGCCAGTGGACAAAAACGCTTGCTTCTTTCCTTCTGACTTTTCAGAGTTGCAATAGGTTTCCAGCTGGGGAAAACTTGGTTACAGTCAAATACAATTTATTCCGTCAACTTTACTTTCTGGCAGAATAATTTGCTGGAACCGAAAAACTCTATAAAACCTTTAATATGGTTTTATAGGGAACATTTCTGGCTGGTAAGTTTATTGATTCTACTGTACTAGCCACTGAAATCAGCCGTCACACTGCAGCCTCGTCTAGTCTGAAAATCCAAGTTGGCTGGTAAAATACTGACAGGTGGTCACAGACGGGTTCCTCACCTTGGCCTGCTCCCGCAGCTGCATAGCAGCGCTGTGCACTTGTTCGTCCCCGGCCAGCTTGGCAGGCCAAGGCGGGAAGCCCTTTAGCTGGCCCCAGACCAGCTCTCCCATGTTGAAAGTCCTGGACCGGTAGTGGAGCAGCTCTGAGGAGGGCGAGTCCGGCTGCCGCAGGTCCTCCTCGCTGCTCAGGCTCTTTGTGTCCGAAGGGCTGGGCGCCATACCGTTGAAGTGGCCGTTGTAGTGGCTGTAGTCTTTGGCTGTGGCCAGAGGTCCCTCTAGGCTAGTGGAGGAGCTTGGAGACTGGTCGTCCCCCGTGAGCTCCTGCCGTGGGGGGCCCAGGACTTCTCCGTAACCCCGGGTGTTAAAGTGAGGCGTGGCGCCGTTGATGTGGGCGCAGCGCTCCACCGTTTGCTCCAGACGCTCCTTGTAGTTAGCTGGTGTCCGGCTGCAGTTGTTGAAGCGATAGCCATCATCGAGAAACCCCTTATCGTGAGCCATGGCCAGACCGTGGTCGTTGGATCCCTCGGCGGGGCAGGGTGCGGCGGGGGCCAGGCTGACGGGTCGCTCCATGCAGGGACTACTCCTCACTTGGGTCGAGCACTCCAGAAACTCCTCACCTCCCCAGGCGCTGTTGTTGCTGTGAGTGTCGAAGCCGCCTCCGTGCTGCGCCTCCCCGTCCCACTGCCCTCTTGGAGTCCCACAGCCAGGCGAACGGAAGTAGTCGTTGGCCTCGTGGCTGTCTGGAGTTCTCTTCCCTGGATCCATGTTCTTCTGACCACGTCCCAGCCTCACCTGCCTCGGTCTGGATTGCTGGGGTAACGGCTCCCCTTCCTGGTGCCCGTGCAGGACTGTGCTAACTGCTTTCGGGAGGCTGACCGGCTCCCCTATAGAGGCAGTGAAGGCACTCATGGCGCTGAGGGCAGGCACCGGACTCGCCTGCGTGGTCCCGCTCACTGTGGTTGTTATGGTAACATGCATGCCCTTACTGGCGGCGTCCACCACGGCTCTGTAGATGGCGTCCACCGACTCTGGGCCTCCGCCAGGGCCTCTGTCAGGGCCCGCTGGAAGCCCCTCGCCCTGGGGCTGTGGGTGCGACAACATCCCCTGCTGTGGAAACAACAGCAAGGTCACAACATGACGAAAAATGTTTTTGTGAAACTATCTGAAATGTTAAAAATGTAATGTAAATGCACACCTGGTAGTTCTGGTAGAGGCAGGCCATGGAGCCAGCGTTGGCGTTGTTGCTGTCTGTGTATGGTGGGTTGTCAGAGAAGTGCTGCTGTCCCTGGTAGGCTGAGTGGGACACCACCCCCTGCTGCATGCCCTGGTGGACCTGCTGCTGGTACATCTGACCTCCGCCGGCGTTGACGTGTGGCTGCAGGCCGCCCATACCACAGCCAATAGATGAGGGATTTCCTGCAAAACAATGTACAATGTATGTCAAATGAATGTCAACTGGTGGACAGTAGAGAGGGAAAGGAATGATTGGGCTCACCGGGCCAAATACAAAGAATTATATATTCTATCACACACACACACACACACTATATGATTACTACCTAGTCTGTATTTGAGCTCAAACCACAACACAAACACTTTCACCTTTCCTGCAACAAACATCTCCCATAATTCATATTTGTTGAGTCACTAATTCCCTGAATGAAACAACTGTAAAAGAACATCAACGCACAATTCTGCTGCATTTCCATTCAAGCAATATACTGCATAAAAATACCAGAAAAATCTAAATTCATTACATGGGAAACTTGGGAAATAAATAATCGGACCAACAGGATTTACATCCCTGAGTGTGAATATTATGAAATTAGAAGTATTGATAAAATACTCCGCTCCAGTATTTAGTTTGTGGTGCTAAACTAAAGTCATATAAGTTCCAATGTTGAACACAAAAGGCGCAAAAAGTAGCGCATAGATCTCCAAGACAAAGTTGACTGATCTCAGTATCACCAGTTTATTCTGGCCACGTGAAACAAACATGCTAGTGGCCTTCTTATAGAGACTTTTACAATAAAAGAAAAAGTTGCACATTAACAATCTGTTGCACTTACTGACAGACACACGAGCCGCCCCGATGCGTGGTACAGATAAGACTTGTTAGCAAAGCGTACAAGGGCAGAACATGTACAACATATATCAAGGCCACAGATGTATCAATGAATGGAGAGAAAGCCCAGCAGCAATGTTATGCAGACAAAGCCGAAGCAACAAAATCTGTGAGGCCTAACGCTGTGTTTAGTGGGTGTGTGTGGACGAGTGGCGACTGGAGCAGCTGGTGAGATGCTACGTAGCTGAAGGGCAGCTGTGTGTGCTCTCCATTTTTTTTCTCCTCTTTTCTTTCTTCCCCTCTCTCTCTCTCTCTCTCCTCTCTAAAGCTGAGAGCCACGACTCGGCCAACCCCCTCCCCTCCCCTCCCCCCTTCCTCCGCTACTGCTATGATATAGTGACGGCTGTTGCCGGGGGACGTTGCCATGGGAACCGAGTGATGATTGGTGGTGCTGTCCACTGCCAGGAAGCTTGCTGGGGGAGTTGGGTGGGTGGATGAGGGGAGTTACGAGGGTCGGGTGGTGTGATTTTAGCCTGCTGGGGGATGGGGGGCGGTCAGCTGGGTGGCAGGATGTCTGGGGGCGGTTACAATGAACTTTGGGGTATTTGTTGATGGGGGGGGGGTCGCTAACTGTCTAGAAACAGATGGTTAAAGGCTAATGCTAAAAAGCCACTTTCAAAGAGCTTTCAGTGCTCTTAAGATCCCCAACATGTCATCCAAATTAGCTTCAAGTATGGGAAAATCTACAGAGGCACAACATCTGCTGTCTGGTGACAGAATATTCTTTAAATCCAAGAACCTGTGAGTTTATTCACTGCATTTGTCATCTGTGAGATTATCGAGATTTTTTATTTATTTCAAAAACACACTGGTGAGTTTTTTTTCCACTAGAGGCACCAAAGAGCAATAGTTTGATAATTGTTTGTATCACATGTTCATCAATCACAACAGGAGTATGTAGAAGCATGAGCACATTTAGTCCAGCTACTGCCGGGTGGTAGCTTTAGGCCTGATTTATACTTCTGCGTCAAATGTAGCCTCCCCAGAAACGTAACTACACGTCACAGCAACACAGGCTTCAACTACTGTGATCAGTCCGTTTGGTGTGTGTGTGCATTGTCTGACAATGGGAGGCGACTCATGCAAAACCCAGATGAGTTAATAATGCTGTTTGAGAATCCCTCTTTAAACACACACACACACACACACACAAACACACTCTGAGACAAGTGTGTCCTCACACAGACAAACAGGCACACGTGGGACGCTGCCTCGCTGCATGACATGTTCTTGTCTGTCTCCTCGTATTCCCTCGTCCTTTCGTTTCACGGGCAGCGGGGGGGAAAAGGAAACAAGGAAAATACAAGATAGATTGAGAGAGGGAGAGAGACGAGGGAGAGTTTCAGTTCCAGTCGCCATTGTTTGAAGTGCACGAAGAAACTGAACACAGTGGCGTAGAAACCCCAACGCCAACTAGTGCTTTGGTGGTGTTATTTGCAAATTAACGCAGACACAGCAGCACAGTATAAATGCTCTTTATACGTGGTTATCTACAGCCCAACCAGGCCAATGTTGGGAGTTTCGCAGTGACCAAATCCTGGCACAAAGAAATTAGCCATTTAAAATTTGCAAAAAAACACAGTAATATAGTAAAACTGGGCAACATAACTCGGAATAATAAAACAGGCGACAGAAGGAGGCAACAGGTTGCTTCAGTTCTTCCTCAGTATTAAATTCCTTATAGTGTTGAGTCAGACGTGCCTTCATGTTGGTTTCATTTATAATTCGCCATGGCTGTGTTTACTTTCTTTCTTTACTTTCAGTCAGTCTTCAAAATGAAGTCAAAATGAAGGCCACAGCTCGAACTAAAAGAAGGCAGGTGATGATCTTCATCAGTGTGTCGTTGTTTTGTTTGAGCCCAGCACTTGTTTTATTCTCTGTGCGCACAGAAAAAACAACACATGCTTCAATTATGCTGATTTAAAATGAGGATGTGGACAACTGTTTTCTTCCCATCCCTACAGAACTGGTGACAAACCTTCATACGCCACCTCCTGACCAACACAGGACCACCTGAATTTCAATGACCTGACGTAGGAGAAATACAGAATAACGGGGCACCTGGAGATAAGAACAGGTGCCCTGCAGCAGACCTTGGTGATATCTCCATTAGAAACCATACGAGGACACAGACAGACGCACAATGAATACATAAACTTGTAGTCCAGTCCAACAGCAGGCAAGAAAGGGAAAAAAAAAAACAAGATCTAGGGCTTTTCATTGCTTTCAAAACAAACCCTAACATGAACGCGCGTACACACAAAAACAGCATACAGTCACACACAAAGTCATTCACATGCACACAAATAAACAGAAGCACACACACTGTAATACACAAGTAGTCATAGGCAGGCACACACAGTCATTCAAACACACACACACACACAACAGCCTAAACCGTCATCAAAGGGTTCACTCCGATCTCTATTCAGGGTCTATCGTTACTATAGCGACAAGCTAGCTGGGAGAAGCTCTTTAGAGTGCCCTATCTGGGCCGCTTCCCTTAAAGCGTGATCCAGATCCCATTTCCATCTTCTTACACCATTGACTGATGCTAGCATACAAATAAAACAAAGAGAAACACTGGCTGACTGACAATTAGCTAAGGCTTCCAAAGATGAGGGGCCTGCTCATTAGCTCAGAGATACTGGAGGAGCCCGACTGTCTAGGCTCGGGGCCTATCACCTAAATCCTTTGGTTTTAGTTCACTCATAACCATAGAAACCACGTCTTCATCCAGCCATTAGCTTATCACGAGGAAGGGAGGGGAGGGGGACATTCATTAACTGATATCAACACCATCATCCAGCCCGAGGGAGGTCAGCTTGGACTGTGGTTGCTTACTTTGTGTCCTGTCAGTCGTTTTTAAATTCCACCAAATCATTATTTCTCTAAAGATTTTTAGAAATGGAACTAGTGGGATTAATAAATCTGCCATGTAATGCAGCTGAAACAATGATTATACCTGTTCAGGATCACTATCATTAATGATCTGACTGATTGATCGTCAAAGGCTGATTCTACATCCGTCCACTGCTGATGATCTTATCATTATTTTAGTGTTTACTCACAAACTCAGCTGGTGAGTCGCATGTGGAGGAGATTGTTCTTACTGACGTAGGCTACGGATACCAACGTGGTCCCAATAGACACCAACCACTGTGTCCACTTGCTTTACCTGGTCCGTGCCTGTAAAATATACATTGTGTCCATGGTCTGCCGTTGCAATACACAAACACCTTATTACAAAGACGGGTCAGTCCAAATAATCCTGAGTTACTGGTAAAATGTTTATGATTCTAGTGATATCCATCTCCACTGTCTCTCTACATATCACACAGTTACTGAGCAGAGTCGATGTGTTGATGGCTCACCTGTATCAGAGATGGTCTGTGTACAGCTTCCATCACCACCTCCATGTGCCATCACCACCATGTTAGTCCGCCCCATACTGTGAAGGAGGTTCTGCTGTGAGGGGTGAGGGCCAGGATGAGACAGCGGTGGGGGGTTAGTGTTGGGGCGTCCCAGCGGCATGCCATCAGGACCCACCGGTCCACCACCTGGCCCCATAGGCCCACAGTTACTCATGGAGGAGGCCTGCATTTGGGCCATCATGTCAGTGAACTGGCCTGGACGAGAGCCCAGATGGCCCCCAGAGGTGTCCATGTTCTGGCAGTGCTGCATGGCATCTCCTGGACCCCGCAGCCTCTGCTGAGCTAGCAGGTTCTGCTGAGGGCCACCAGGGACCATACCTGTGCTGTCGTTGTAGTGCAGCTGTGCAGCTCCTTGAGGACCAGACCCTGGGCCGGGGCTAAGACCTGGATGATGGCTGTTGCCAGCCAGGTTGTGGGAGCTCTGGCAGCTCATGGACTGGAGGAGCTGAGCCATGGAGGTGTTTGGGGGAAGGTTTCCAAGACGACCCACTTTTCGCAGCTGCTCAGTGACACTGGGTCCTGGCATGTGGGGTCCTCCCATGCCTCGTTTGTTAAGCATGTTGTAGACCATGTTGTTACTGTTGTCGTGGTTGACAGCAGCACTGCCTGACGACTGCCTCCGTTTGCGCATGGGGTCCCTCTGGGCCATGAGCTTGTCTCTAAGAGCCGCCCGACCACTCTGGCCCTCAGGAGTGTTGAGCAGCATGGTGGAGTTTGGCGGGAGCATTGAGTTTAAAGTGCTGTGTCCTTCCATGCCTCGAGGGCCGCTCATAGAGCCAGGGTGCCCGCCACCTCCTCCATTACCTCCTCCACCTGCCCCCATGCCTGCCATACCAACACCACCACCAGCCATGCCAGCAGTGCTGTTGCCAGCAGCGCTGAGTTTGTTTTGATTTGCTAGCTGTGCTTTGGCTGCGGCTGACAAGAGACTGCTGGCGGGGAAGGAAGCAGCATTTTGTTGGTTGAGGATCTGATTGAGGGGCATCCCCAGAAGTCCTGGGTGGCCTTTCTGGGACGTGCTGGGGGTCGTCAGAGAAGAGGATGATGAGGAGGAAGAGGTGGGTGAGTACATGGGGTTGCTGTGCTGCTGGGCGACAATTGAGTTTCCCATCCCAGGCAGCAGCTGGGAGTCTTTGTACTGGTGGAGTGCGTCAGTTTTGTTGGTGGAGGGGCTGGAGGGCATGGCTGGCCTGGGAGACCCCATAGCAGACCTGGGGGACCGAGGAGGGACCTTCATGGTGCCACATGGGGCCTGGTGCCCCGAGGGCATTGCAAAGTTCCCATGGTCAGAGGAGGTGGAGGATGAGCGTGAGCGATGTGGGGAGGCCTCCATTCTCCCAAGGGCAGGCCCAGCCATGTGGACAGGGGACGTGACAGGAGAGGGGGACATGGAGGAAGCCGGACCACCCTGTTGAGTCCTTTGAACATGGCCACCGTGACCCACAGGCCCAGGCTTCACTGTGGGTAAAGGTAAGTTGCTTGGCAAGGGAACGATGGCGGGAGGGGGTATGTTTACATTCATCATTGGTACCTGAGAGTGGATGTTAGGCTGGAAATTGGAGGGGTTTGGGGTGTTGGTGGGGGCCTGGCTGACTAGCTTGCTGGGGATGGGGTCCAGGATGCCTAAGGGGTCTTTTTCACAGGTCAACTGCCTTTTTTGAAGGGCACAGGATGGTGGTATGGATGGAGGAGGTGGTACGGGATGCACAGGGGGCTGTGTTTTATGGTGAAATGCTGCACGGGGCAAATCCATACCAGGGGGGAAGTTCCCCCGTGGCATGTTCATGTTCATGACAGGGCTTTTGGCAGTGGCCGTCGGAGAGAGGGGCGTGCTAGTCCTCCCTGTCATGGCGCAGGATGGCTGGCCCACAGGGGAGCCATGGAGCAATACACTGGGTGGGGAAAGAGGAGTCCTAGTGTTCCCATGGATGGAGGCGGAGCCAGGACTGCCGGCTCCTGGAAACCCACAAGGATTGGTCCTTGGAAAGCCCTCAGGGCTGCCTAGGGTGTCTGCACTGGGAGACTGTGAGCCATCTCCATACAGCTTAACACTGGAGGGAGGTGGGCTCAGCATGCCCCCATACCCAACCCGGTAAGGGGATTTGGGGCTCGGCTCCCCACTGCCCAGTCTCTGCGGCCTGGGGTAGCCAGGGTAGAGCTCTGGCTGCTGGGCTCCACCCATCTCTTGGGGTGGATACAGCCTCTGTTGCTGCTGTTGTCCAGCTGCCATCATCATCTTGAAAGGATTCTTGCAGTCTGGGCCAACAGCATTGGGCAGGCCATCGTGGGGTTTAGTCCTTATTGCTCGTTGATTTGTGGAATGCGCAGTGACCACAGATGATGTACCTTGAAGCCAAACAAAGCACATTTAAGTTAAATCAACACCAAACACTAAACTAAACAACTTAACAAACCAAAATTTGTATATAAAGTCTTGAATAAAGCCCAAATCCCTTGCTACATTGAGATTTCTGATCAAACTGGCTGCTATTATGGACTAAATTAAACCAACATTTACCTGATTGCTAAGGACCCGCAACCGGCTGTGCTTACCTCTGCACACTGAGTGTCAGAGGGATGCTATCAAACTGAAACATTGATTTTTTTGAGTTCAACTGGCCTGAAATAATTGGATTTACATGTACTCGTACCTCCCCCTGGACTGGTGAGTGTCAGAGGTGGGTGCGTCTCCATGCTCTTGTGCAGCGTAGCCACAGCAAGAAGCTTCCTCTTGTGAATGCAGAGTTTGGTGACGTCTTCATCTGCCTTCACATCCTCCGCTGTCCTCTGCTTGACGGCCGCCCCTGGGTCGAAGTTGAACACCTGAGGATAAAGATATGGTGATTTGAACCCATATAGATATAATATCAGATCCACCCATCCTTAATTATCTTTAATTATATATGAAGATATCGGTTTAGATGAGGGGTGAACATAACAGAGAGTGCATCTTGGAGTGATATCCCACATCTTAATGTAGCTAAGATTTCTATACACTTGACGTCTCAGAGCAGCAAAGAATCAACCTCCGTTTACACATACAGAGAGCCAGCAACGAGGTCAAACCAGCAACTGTATCAAACCATCAAACTTTTGTACCATCATTTCATTTTCTGTCGAGAGAAGAGGAATGTGGAAATATTGGACGGAGGAGAATGTTTTGGGGTTTGAGGATTTTATATCTGCTTCATCAAAACATAAATAATAGAGCAGGGAAGTGAACATTTTCACAGACGATACAGCCTGATAATGGCCTGATCCAACGGCCATGGTGTGTTGGGGACAAATTTAGCTTCAAGAAGGATAATCGGTCGGATTACCCCCCGTGTAACGTGATACAGTGGATGCCTCACAACACCCCGACATTTGTAGTTTGGTCCCTTCGCAGAGATCAGTGGAAGTGGTCTGCCTGAATTCATTTCATACATGCTGAGCATATGGGATGGGAGCAGAGAAGTTGGATTATACTGCAGGAGTGGTGTGAGAGCTTTCTCTGGACATTCTTATACAATTTTCCACCATGGAAACTGGTCACTATTGGAATTCATGGCAACTGACATTAATTTAGGCTGACCACAACCCACTGTGCTTCCCTGAAGGACAAAACTACAAACTTTTTTTTACGGCCACCTTTCAAGCTGACAGGGGTGACTTTTTGATACTCAAAAGAACATCTCCAACAAAAACAAAAGCATCACTTTAACAATAGGCCTGTCAGAAGTTGTTTTCACCTTGGTTTGAGTAGTGTGACACCATTTCCTCCTCACAGACATGTTTACTTACTCTTACCCTCTATCACTTTCCCTCCTTCCTAGCTGCAGTAACAAATGTCAGATAAGTAAATGTGTCCTATCTTGAGGCCAGGACATGTAGAGAGCGGATTGTCTACTCTGAATTAAAACGATCATGTACTCTAAAGCATTTAGCCAACACTGGATTGTGTTTTAGCCGGTTGCAGCAGTGTCAAACAGGTAATATAAGGACTACAGTATGCGATGGAAGAATGCATTAAGGATGTTATCTTTTATGAACATGTTTTTGTTTCCTTAGAAAGAGCCTTTTATAGCTACAGACACCACAGGCCGCCCTCTATGGAGTCTGCCATGTTGAGCTGCCATGTTTCTACAGTAGCCCTGGACTGTAGTAGACTGGATCTTTTCTGGCTAACAATAATTTAGGTCAGCAACCAACCCATCTGTCCTTTTACAAATCTCTTCACTGTTACCACTGAAATAAGGAGGAAACAAACCTGCCTGACGCTGGTGAACTCCTCTTGATGTAGCTATATATTAACTAGCATTTTGCTGACATTCACTACCTTAAAATGTGATTTCTTCAAGTTTTTAAAGAAATTTTAACCATCTTCTAAATTTGGTTTCCCTTTCCTCACTGATGAGCCTAGCCTGTAGCATATCTAAGTACAGGAAGCAGGTTTATTTAGGGTTATTGGAGCACAGAGCAAAAAAGGAAACAACTTAGGACAGTTAAATTCTTGGCAAAGAAATTAAACGTTTCAATAATTAAACCATGAAATTATATGATGCTCATGGAAGTTTTTCCCATTTCTGTTCAGTCAGCACTGAAATGGACCAATCAATCGTATTGGCATTAACTTCTCTAAGAGCAACTATCAGGAAATATGCTCACAAAACCAAAAATATTCTCCTTACAAATCTAACTTTTTTTTAGTGTTACACTTCATTGTCTCCGAAACAGCAGTGACAGGATCAGACACACGATTCCCCAAACTAAACCAAAATCCTGTTTGACGTCATCTGCTATTGCACGCTTGGAATCACATCACATCTTTTCCCCTTTTTCTTTTTTTTTTTACATTCCAGTGAACAGTTGATGAATAAAGCCAAGAATACCATTTCTAGTACAGAAATGCCACCTGCTAATGCAACTGATTGATTGACAGAAGCCCCCCACCCCCCCCGCTAGAGACCCTTGTTTAGCTGTAATTTTTAAACAACATTTTAAATTTCATTTGCAGACTGGGACCTCCATCTTCTGAAGCACCAGCTAAGAGGCAGCTGTAAAATCTCTGCACGGCTGCTGCGTTTTAAATGAACCGGGACAAAAAAAAAAAAATACCTTGTGGAGGATGAGTGGGCACTCCAGGCCGCATTTGCAGGTTCCATCTGTCAGCAGGTAGGTCTTCACCTGCTCCAAGCTGGACAGCAACGAGCCACTGGGACTGCACACGGAAAACAACAACAACCACATTAGAGGAGACTTCAGCTACAGTACAAATACCCTTCTAAAGATATTACATGCGGCAGCACTTATTTGCGTTGTTTAAAATGGGTTTTTGCATAGCATTCAATATTTTTGGACTGAAAAAACGATAATGTTACTTAACTAAACATTCTGCATTATTGTGCAGAAATTTGTGTTTAATGTTTATTTATTTATATTATACGGGTTGAGTGATCCCACCACAAATTTATTCCTGATTCAAAAGAAGAAAATAAACCATCGCACACACTGACAGACACACAAATGATGTTTTTAGGTGGGTTAGCCACTCCTCGAGGCAGCTTTTGGTGCAGGTTTCACAGGCTTGCAACCATGAAATCAAACAGTAAAAACCTCCCACTTCATAGCGCTACACTACAGTGGAATTCTACCATCCATATGAATTAAAAACAATAATTGAAAATGTGCCATGTGAAGAAGGAGGAACCTGTATCATACTGGCAGCAGACAACTGGGCAGTAGGCCTATAATTTTTAATAAAAAGTCCACACAGGTCTAGTTTATTATCTAATCAATATATTGCTCTAATGCATATTTAAATGCAGACAGTAGCTAATACATGGAACTGTCAGCTTGGACATTCAGCTGGAAAATTAAGAAATGAGAGGGAGCTTTGTGCCCAAAAATAGAGGAAATCCTGAAGGATACCTCCTGTGAAACATTTCAAACTTGCCACCACTGAAATAAGAACAGCGTGTACCAGTGTTTGATCCTATGAAACATATACACTGATAAGTCGACGTAACAACCAGTGGCTGAATCATCAGTCAAAAGCTGCTTTTTTTGAAAATATCTACTGTGAGGATCTACAACTGCACATCCCTGAAGCAAATGTACGCTTTCAATGTAAAAGAACATGAGCAAATACAAGTGTGCGGTGACAGTATCAGGCCACGGTCACAGAAGTAGACAGGATTCTTTCCAACACCAAAAATAAACCTGACACCAGCCAACTGCTTTAGTTCATTGTGGCTGATAAATACACGTGCTGGCGTTCATATGCCGGGAAGGACACCAACTTCCAGTCCAGATGACACAAGGACTGGTAAAGGATCCAACTCATTAGTCAAAGTCCCCCGTTGCACGAGTGGATTTTTGTAAACGAATGATATTGAATGGTTTCTTAAAAAAGGAGGAAAAAAGGCTTGTGAAATTTGCCAGTCACATTTAAAATCTACCAGAATTTGGAGGTTATTTTCCTCGTCCACGCAATTTTGTGGGCTGTAGTTTAACTGCGTCAAGGGATCGCTTACTGCAATGTTACCACACGTCTCCCAGCAAACAAATCTGCTGGGTGCTCTTTGATTGATTGACAGCAGAATCTACTTTTGGTCACATTACGCACTAGTGATGAAACAATTAGTTGATATTTCTGACAACAATTTCAGGAACCGATCAATCGCTTAAGTCATTTATTGTACAAAAACAATCTCTGGTTTCAGCTTCTCATATGTGAGGATTTGCTTCTTGTCCCCGTTTTATATCAATATAAACTGAGTATCTTTCTGGACGTCACAAGGATGTAAAGTTATTAACAGAACATCAAAGAGATCATTTCAAATTTAAAGTTAACTTTATTGGCATATATTCAGATTTTCCTTAAAAAAAATATAAAAATGTTGCCTAATTTGCTTTGTCCAAACTCACAGCCTCACTAAGTGCCCACAGTTGGTCGAGCTAAAATGATTAATTGACGAGTTGTTTTTAAAGCAGAAAAGTCCGAAAGTCTCCGATTCCAGTTTCTTCAATGTGACTTTATATTTAATTAAATATGGGTATCTATTAATCAAACTGCTCATCTGTAATTTATCTCCAACCCTGGGAAGCAGACTTGCTTGCACTCAAATCTGCTTGATGGATTTGTTGATGAATTTTTTTCTTACCTTATGTATATGACCCCGCCGCCGTGCTCCGCCTTGCGCCGCCAGCCAATGGGGACCTGGACAGGGACGGCCTGCCTCTCATCTCCCGCCTCACAGTCCTTTCCTCCATTCATTGCTCCACTGGTTTTGCGCTCGACACCTCAGAGGTACATATATCAGACATCAACCAGTGTCTTCGCAATGCACGTCATGTTCGTCTTCCAAAGCCGTGGTGGTGGTGGAGGTGGTGGGAGGGTTTGCGGAGACGGGTGGAGCTGCAGGATTTATGCTTGAATGTAGGACTCTGCTCTCAGGTGGAGCTGATGAGGTGGTGGGTGGGTGGGTGGGTGGTCGGGTAGGGTGAGGCGAGCTCACAGCAGACCCTACCCTTTGGTTCTCATGGCTACAGTGCTGAACGGTATGTGGACTTCCATTACTGCATCTTGTCATTCAGAGCCATCCGACTCAGGAAGATGCCGGTTCAGTCGGGAGTCGGCGTGAGCTGTGCTTTTTTAACGGGGAAAATCTTTTATTATCAATTCTTTACCATTTGTCTTTTGCCGCCCAGGATACAGTCCCTCAGTCGGAGTAGAGTGTGTTCAGCATATTGGCTCCCAAACGCAGTTGGGTAATGGTATTCCCATGGTTCCTGTGTGGGCAAAAAAGAAGGGGAATGCACATAAATTAATGGTCAATAAGGTCCTTTTCTTTTGCATTAGTAGAAGTCTATAATTGAATCTGCTCTGGGAATGGAAGACATAAAAGCCTGTTTAATTTTTGATGTCTTTTAATTTACAACCAGTTATTTACATTGTTCAATCAAAATGCAAAAGGATTGTTAGAAAAGCTATTTTTAAAATGTTTTATCACAACAGCAGATCCTAAGTCAGAAAAACACTGTCTAGCTAAAAATGAGGAATCCAAAACTTCAATCCCTTCATTATTTACAGTCTTTATACTGGTCAGTTTCTTGCTGACACATTCTGACAATTACATTGACTTTGCCTGAGTCACACTATTGATTAGCTGCCTGTCATGCTACACCACACAAAGAAAGCATTTTTTGGACCAGTTATTAGAGACATATAAATTGAGTTTCACAATAGTCATTGTAGTAGATTTTAATGGTACGATAACCACTATAAACACTAAAACACATGTACATTAAACAATAAACATACATTTTTATACCATGGTATTCTGTGGTATCAGTATATCACTGCAATCCTGGTCGATTAACTGATTAGTTGATTGGCAGCTTATCAAATAAAAAAAAAATACAGCACTTTCTGGTAGAGCACTTTGTTATTATAACATATTATATATTTTGGGATGTCACGATTAGGTTGTTTTTTTTGGCCTAGACTTTAGGAAGTCAAACACAGAAACAGCATAGAGAATCTGGAGAATTTAGTTTGAAAATAAAATGCCGTGTGCAGACTCCAGATCAAATTTCACCAGGCGAGAAGTCAATCAGTCAAAGACTTTAGGCAGAGAAACAAACTATTTTCTTTCCTTTTAAAGGATAAAATAAGACAAGTAAACGTTGGGCAGGCAGTGCGCTGTGAAGATGCTCCGCTTTGTGGCGACTTTATTGGGCTGAAAGTTGCCAGTTAACAGGGTCACAGACCCAGGAGGAGGCACTGAGATGAAACATTATCCCACCGTACCTTTTACAAAATAATTGGCAAAACAAAAAACGGTGAACAGGTAAATTCCTTAACCATGACAGCCTTATTTTATTGTATGAGCCAATCTGAAATGTATTATTAATATTTCATTATCTGTTTAGGAATAGCTTCTACTGTTCTAAGTCAAGAGGGTTGTTTTTTGAGAGTGCAATGTTTTACAATAAACTAGAAGATCAGTAGCAGACCGGGCTCTTTATATTGCCAACACTGATCAATTTAATCTGTCCAAATACTGATCTTACAGGTCAGCTCAGGATATCACTGCATACATTCAAATGCCTTCTTATCTCACGGTACAAATACTGCTGGTTGAACACTTGAATTGGACATCATAAAGGTGTCATAAAGGATTATTTAACATCAAAACAGTACGCAACAGACAAACAGCAAATAATATCCAATAATACTACGAACAGTTTGTCCTCCGGTCTCAGATAGTGAATTTCAAACACTAGAAGAAACCCATCAAAGCTGGTATATCAAGCTGAATTCAGTATGTGAGTGATGGAGCTCCATGTAAAGCCTCCTCTCAGCAGCCGGTGCTGCTGACTCATAACTGCCCTGTGAGCTGCTGAGACCAAACCCAGTGACACTACCACAGAGGACGAGAGGTACGGAGGGGTGGTGCTGCCCGTGGCACAGGCAGAACCAGGCAGCAGATACGTATACGCTGTTTATCTGGAACTACGCAGCAGCAACAGTCGGACCTCATCGTCTCAGGAGAGGTGGTACGCACCTCCCCGATCTGAGAAACTACCACATCGTTAAAATCTAATTTCCCAGAACTCCATGTTTGGAAAATGCAGAGGTAACTGAGAGAGCATAATGTCTATTGTTGTGGCCACACTAGAGGAAAAAAAACATATATTTTCCAACAAGAGCTTTGAGTTTAATGTTTAACCTCCGTTTTTAAAAAGGTTTCTATTTGGTATTTTGTCTTTTTTTGTTTGCTCGAATCAGAAAGAGATGATTTTAAGTGTCTTAGCCAAATGTTTTCATCTCAACCTTTTGGCAAAGCAACACTCCTTAAAATATACCCCCCTTGCCTAATGTGAAAGCACAAATTTAAAATCTCAACTATACCCATTTTACTGTCCACCTCTCCCCAACCATTTCCTGACTTCCAATGAACTACCACGTCCAAATTACACACGGCACCTGCTAATCTGTAACCTTTTACTGCAGGCTGATCTTTTTTTAAGATTACGTTTTTGGCCTTTTCACATTTATTGTTCACAGACAGATAGATAGACGGAGGAAAGACTCACAAGCCCGTCTCTAAATGCTTCAGTCAAGTAGTCGTGTGCTTGTTAAACACATGAAGCAGTTTGTTTTCAATATGGAGGAGCAACTGGGGAAGAGCATCGTATGTTAGCAGTTCAAATCTATTAATTGCTTCAAGTAATTTGCCATGCAAGAGTTGTGCTTTCCTCTGTTTTATATCATATTAAACTGACAACACAAGACATGAACACATAATATAAAGACATCGCCTTGGCATTTTTATACTAATACCGAGCAGCCAGCGTCAAGCTCACTGCTACTTCTTAATAAAAGTAGTAATCAAAGAGCAGAAAATCTACTCTGCTCTCTTTCTCCAGGTATTTCGCCACTGAAACCCAGTTCGTAATACTTTCATCGTGGCCAGAGCTTCCGGGTCTGTGAAGTGAAGCCAACCGAAGTGTCCTAAAGAGGCAGTGAGCTGTTGTCAGAAACATATTTTAGTGTACCATTTAGTTGACTGTTAACTACACGTGAACGTCTCGCAGTGCTCACGTGGTCGAGAGCCAGTTGAAGACAGTAACGTAATATTTATCAGAGCTTTATGAGTGCACAATGTTAGCCACCATGGACCGTGTATGTGTTAGGTTGTGCGCCAGGACAGCATAAAAGCAATTAGAAGAGATACAATAATTTAAAGCGATGACGTGAAGTGCGATTGATCCGGCTGCAGCAAAAAGAAATAAGAAAGGATAAGTGGATCCTGAATGTAATCCTTTAATAAAATGCCCCCCCCCCCAAAAAAAATGGAAACGATTTCCTATTTTCCTCCCCAATATAATATTAAGAGACACTTTACTTTTTTTAGTGAGGAAAGAACAAATTTTGGCACAAAACCGTCTTGTATGTGACGGGAATCCTACACAGTTTGGCCTTAATCCAGCTTCAAAACTTCATACGAGCAGTATGGGACAAGGGAAGGACACGGGGAAAAAGTTGCTGCAGAAAAAAGAAAAAGACATAAATACAAGAGACTTACAGCAATGCAGTCTCAGAAAGAAAGAAAAAAATGTTTTCGATAAGAAATTGCATCAAAATGACAAGTGGAACCAGAGCCAAAGATTGAGTAACTGAGTTTGCGGTCCATTAAGATTGGCAGCTTATGTAAATGAAAGTCTCAGTGTCCAAATTTTAAAGGATACTATCAGACAAAGTAGCTCGTGTGCATTTCATTAAATGGTTAAGATGCGGTTTTCTTTCTCTCATGCCTTGCTGGTATCATTAAAGTGGTTGTTATTGTGATATTTGGTGTTATTTTACAGCAAATTGAACGCATCCTACCCGCTCTTTATCTACTGTAGATCATTTCAGCTTTACGTCTGACTTTCCCTGTCAAAAAAAAAAGGTCTATCGAACCCACAAATCACTAACACTTCTAATTATCCTGACTCACTCGGACCAGAAAATAAAACAAACTTTTCTTTATCTACTAGCTGGTACAGCAGACGATAAAGGTTTACGCCGACTCATTATTCAGTTAAATAAAAAAGATTTTAAAGGAGATAAAGATTGTTACACAAACCAGAAGCCTTAATTCTTTTACTTAAGGCGAATTATAAACGATAAGGAGCGATGACAGCCTTTTTTTTTAGACCTGTTAAATCAAAGGGAACCCTGAATATGCCTCATAACAGCCCCTTTCCCCAACATGATTTATGGTCTGGTTAATTTATCACATACTAGGTAAAGCCAGGGGTAAATTACACCTTAAACACAGACAGCGTTATCATGTCACACGCACAATAATAGGAGTTTTAGTACATATAAACTGAGGGCAATGATGTTGGAAGTTACAGCGACACTGATAAATACAAATGCAGATCACACTGTTCTGGTGGCATTAAAGAGATTAAACCTTTTTGTTTAAAAGAAGTCGCAATACATCGCAATATACTGAATCACCACCTCGTAATTGTACCGCCAGACTCTTGCCAGTACACAGCACTAGTCACAAATGCCACCTCTGAGCATTTGGTGCATTTCCATCTGCATTTAGAGTCCACTTGTGATCAGATCTCTCTCTTTAAAAGAAATAAATAAAATATGCATTTAGTGCAAAGTGAAGATATGTTGTCAAATAAAGCAAGAGTGGAGAGAATAGGCAGCAATGCAAGGTACCTGCACAAAGCATGAAGTGTGTGTGTGGAGAATAATCCCAGGCATGATTTAAAATATATATATATATATATATATATTTATTTTAAAGGGTATAGGACAAACTGTGCAACACCAAAATGCTCCAACAAGCCTCTCACTGAAGCAAATCCATTAATTCTCAACCTAGCATTTAAATCTTGCTGTAACCCCATGGAGTTAGCTACGGCTAGCTTCAGGGATCAAACCAGCCACACAGTCCCTGCAGCAGCCCTCAAAGTTGACAGCGAGATGACAAGACTTTTTCTCCCCCCCCAAAAAAACCCACCCACCCTCCCTACAACCGGAGAGCAACCCACCCCCACGCTGGTGTGCGTTAACCAACCATACCTGCTTTAACCGTTAGATAATAGCCCATTAGCTCGTTAGCCTCGGACTGCCCATCAACTGAGTGTTGCTTTTATTATAAAAAAAAAAAAAAAAAAAAAAGGTTTAAAAAAAGCGACAACCGTGCGGCGTTCACGGGTTGCTTCAAAATAAATAAAATAAATAAACAAAACTCCTCCGTCTCCGCGTTAAAGTAGATTAAATTAAAACACATAATGGCCGTGTCAACAAGCCAAATCAACCCGGAGCTTCACGAAGCATAGCGGAGCGTCTGGAGCTAGCCGTTGGTTAGCCGGCCGTTGGTTAGCCGGCCGTTGGTTAGCCGGCCGTTGGTTAGCCGGCCGTTGGTTAGCCAGCCTGCTAGCTCGTTGTAACGATAATGAATTAGAGGGCGAGCTCGGCTACGCTAATTAACGTTTTAGCATTTAATTATCGAACCGTAGCCGGGAGTGCACCAACCGGATCCCGACTTTAAATTGTCGAAGTAAAAAAAAAAAAAAATAAAGCAGCTAGGCCCGCGTTAGGTTTTCTTTTTTTTTTTTTTTTTTGAGCTAGGCTAAGCTAGGCTAGGCTAGGCTAGGCTAGGCTAGGCTAGGCTAGGCTAGGCCAGGGCCAGGCCGAGTTAGCACGGATTAGCCTAGCATTGCTGGCTAACAGCCGTGCAAAGCCCGTTGCGTTCGCAGAGAGAGGGATAGATGGACAGAGGGAGAGAGAGAGAGAGGAGGGGGAGAGAGAGAAGCGAGAAGAGAGAGGCGCTTTTTAAGGCACTAACGCTTCTGTCTGCGTCAAATCAACCCGTAAACAGTCCCTCATTACCCGGGCATCCCGGCGACCGCGTACCGGCGCCGAAACAGTGCAAAAAAAAAAGGACGAGCAACAGAGCGTTTTGTGAGCTTTGTTTCAAATAAAAAAAAATAAAATAAGAATAAGAAGAATAAGAAGAAGAAGCCTACCCATTAGTTCTCTCTGCCTCTGCTGGTTCTCCTACACTGGGATATTGGAAATGATGGAGAGCCGCACTGCGCATGCGCGGCAGGAGCAGCCAGCAGATGGGAGAGGTGATGCACCTCCAGTGCTCTGGATGCACGGAGCTCTGGCGGGGGCAGAAGTTGGGGATGAGATGTATCAGCACGTAAAAGAGTGGAGAACAACTGGATGTGTGGGTTGTTTGTGTCAAGTGATAGGGTATAAGATTGTGAAGCCTCTGATTACCAGGTTGTAGCCTTGTTGTTGTTGTTGTTGTTGTTGTTGTGAGGCACTGATTGTGTGAGGGAAACAAGCGCAGATAATTTCTGCATTTAAAAAGCTGCTGAAGCCCAAAAATGGTGCAGAATTACGGATATTAATGGTATTTCTGCCAGGGTTAAACAAGGCGTGGGAAGCAGCATTTAAATTAAATTAATTCGTGTTAAACTTGAAGTAATTATGGATGGTGTAATGATTTAGAAAGCGGCTGACAGATATATATAAATTTGCTGGCATCTGTATAAAACAAGGTACAACAAGATTATTATTATAATTTGTCAAGGATAAAAACATGGTGTGATCTTTGCTCTGATGTATCTCTATCAAAAGCTATTTTCAAGTATGCATATTTAATATATTGTCTGGAGATGAATAGAAACGAATGTCCGCATGGAAGAAAGGGGGTTAAAAATGAAAAGAGGGTATTCTTTAAAGCACACAAACCTCAGTATGAAGCAGAAATTTCACCTGATTATCTCGTACTCAAAGTAAATATTCATTATCAAGGTTAAAGAGAGAAATCACCCTCTCGTTAGTGTAACAAAATGCACTAATAATGACCCCATTAACAGTAAAATAGTTATTTTACTAATAGCTTGGAGGTAGTGTGTCGTATTAATGAGGCATATTGTGTTAATGAGATTATTACACTGTTAGGCTGCAAATTGTTGTAATGTTAATAATTAATTACATTGATTGGAAGGTTCCACATTAAAACTTTTATCACCGGCTGAATCGTCACTTATCGCCATGATGAAACATCCAAGAGCAGGAGACAAAAAACTACAATTCTTAAGCCAAACAAACACCCCAATCACCGGAACAGCTGGTGGGATTATTGAACAGAAAACACCAGTAAGGTGCTCTTGAGCAACATTGTTTTATTGTGTTGATTTCCCAGTTAAGACTAAGTGAAAATCTGCAGATATAAAACATGGCACAGTGGTAAATACAAATAAAAAGGTCACAACAGCAAAAGAAAAAGGAAGATTCAGTCTCCTGAAGTGAAAAGAAGATGCTGCTCAGGGTGCAAATGCTTGAGTTTTGTCTGAAGGTCAAACCCGAGGAGACATTAAATTAATTCAGTGTACGGCTGCTGTAAAAGGAACGCTTCATGTATTTTTAAGGGCAAACACAGAGCTGAATGTGCGAGCGGAGAGTTGTATTTTAGAATAATGTGACAGGCTAAATGTGAGCGGAGACTGGGAGACGATTTGCGAGATATCTGGTGCCTTTCATTTTCATCAGTCAACCCAAAAGCCACAGGAAGCGTTTAAGTATCTCCAGAGCTTCATCATCATTGTGAATGAGTAAAAGATGTTTGTTATGCAGGCAACCAGCGAGCCATTCAGATGAACCACTCCTCTTTATTTGATCAAAATCAGAGCGCAAGGGCAGTTATTGCTTCACAGATTTAAAAAATAATCTGTTTATAATTATATATAATTGCCTCTGTTAAGGGCAATCAGTGTCATGAAATGCTACGCACCTCCAAATGTAGTCATAATTAAGAAAGAAGACAATATTTAATGTAGGTTAACTATAAACCTGAGTGTTATTGATTTTATTTTACATAATATTTTTGCTTATTATTGGTAAAACGCCATTAATTAATCTAAAATTTGGTTTATTTACTTGATTACAGTATATAAAGTAAGTGTATACGTGTATAGTTTCATCTGTTTTAAAGAAAAAAGGCTCAGTCATTTCCTAAAACAGCTGGGTAATGTAGTTTTTAGTGTTACTCAAGCAGCAGGATTTGTTGGGGACTATTTTCAGCTGCGGATTAATACACATCTGGTGAGTATTTTGGGGCCGCAGGACAGTTATGTTTTCATGCAATAGTGTGGCTCCTTGATATGTTATTATAGTTTTAATACAACAGTGACATGTGTGAGATATATCCAGCTTTGGAGACACAGGCAATGATTATTAATTAGATCAATTAATTGTATTTTAATGCGATTTGTTGACAGTAAGAAAAATACAGAACATCACCAATCTTTTGTTTTAAGGAGGAGAGACATAATAATGTTAAATTTTAATTTTTACAAACGTGTAACAGCTTAAAACACCCTCACAAATAGCAGTTAATAATAATAATAATAATAATAATAATAATAATAATAATAATAAGTGATTAGTCTGAGCCTCAGCCAATCAGAGCCGCGGAATCAGTCAAAGCCGGAAGTCGTCACCGCTGGCAGAGCAGTATTCCCGCGAAGATTGAGACCTCTCCCTGGCCCAGTTTCCTGGTTTCTCCTGGTAAGTCTTGTTATTGTAGTATCGGAAAACTTTGCTGATGTTAAATTAAACCAGTTTTACCTCGCTGAGACAAAATGCTGCCAGTTAGCACGCTGCTAACGAGCCCCGGTTTACTTACAACGTGGGGGGAGATAGTGACACCAGACTCCATTCTTAAATTATAGCAGATTAGTGCATCCTTCCTTGCCGGCAAATATTAATACAGTGTTCGGTACAACCTGCGATCAATTCTGACTATTTATGAGTCAATTTATAATTCGGCGTATAAATCATCCACTTAGGCTTTAGGAAAATTATTATAAATATAAACACATCAAGAGGGAGGATTAGGGATTAAGGTGGAAATTGTATTCAAATAGATGTTTCTACTTGCATTAGCTGTATGCCGAATTTAAATTTGGGGTTGCCTTCATTTAATTATAGTGCTTGATTAATGTTACAACATTAATGCATATGTCACAGAGCGAGATCATTTTTGTTTTGACGGATTATGAATTGGAGTTTGGCGTATAAGTCAAAAGACTGTCAGATATCTGGTTTAAGGCTGTGGAAGCCACTGTTGGGGCATTTATTTGACACATGAGTAACATTTCTCAAGGTTTCACATCTACATGAGATTAAATACAGAATCGTTGCGAAGCAGAAAGTAATTTGGATCTATTTACTCTCAATTACCCTTGGAAGTCCCTGCAGACAGCACATTTTGGGCACTACAGATGTCACCCATTCTAACCAATGAAACACGTGTGTTTCAGTAACAGCACCATGAGTAAGAGGAAGCTGACAGATGCTCATTTGCCAGTAGGAGAATGCATCACACAGGTTTGTGTCAGCCTAATTTGTTTATATGACTGTTCGTCACAATTATTGACATTAATTTGAGCAACAGGCTGGAAAGCATGTTATAATTTGTACACTTGCATGATAATATCTGACTGTGATGTCTGTATTCGTCTTCGTTTTCAGGTTCAGGAGATTTTAAGGGAGCGACTTTGCTGTCAGAAGCTCCCCGACAGGCCGGAGGGAGTGGAAGCTCAACACAAGTAGGTTTATTTCATCAATGCTGCTTTAAAAAGTCTGAAACCTTTTTTTTTATTATTATTTTGTTGTGTTCTTAAGATGACTTTTCATATTTTATTGGCTCAAATTAAATAATTTCCTGACCTGAAATTGATTTTCAAGTGTTCTTATCAAAATTAGAAGAGCTGTAAATGAGGCAACAAAGCAAAAACAAAGAGTAGGGAATGGATTTATTGTTTCAGCTGTAGTTTAGATGGAGATTGAGGTCATTTCCAGGTCTTGATTAGTTTAAAAGTACACATCAAATGTTACATAATCACAGACATTTGTTACTGTAAAGAAAAATCCTGTAGTTGGAAGGGGGCAAGATGAATATAATACGCACAAAATGAAAGAGAAATACCTGAATTTTTAAATGGAAACTGTAGTAGGATCGTCAGTGTGAGTTTCAGTGACCCAGTTCAGTCTCACCTGGCTGACAGCACTGTCCCAGTTTGTGGGCTGGAAAAGCTCCAGGTCCCAGCTGACTTGGAAACAACACATCCCAGGTGTTGCTCTCCGGAGCAGGTAGAGAAATCCACCTCCAACACTGAGGGTTTAATCGTTAGCACTCATTAGACGGACCTGTTAGTGCGGGGGGGTTTACTGGCTCAAAGTCAGGAAAAAGAAATTTCAAAAGTGTCTAATTTATCTATGGAACTCATTATTTTCCACAACTGGAGGAGAATTATGGGTATTGTAGTGTAAACACTGTGTTTTCAGACACCTCCTGGAGCTGCTGAAGCGGACGGCCGTCCACGGGGAGAGTAACTCGGTGCTAATCGTCGGCCCCAGGGGAGCCGGAAAAACAATGGTGAGCCTCCGCAGCCAGAACCAAGCTTAAAATGGGCTCATGGTGTAAAAGATGATAAATTGTGTTTTAAATCCTCGGAGGGTTGAGTTGTCTGATGGTGTCTGTGTTTTTGTGTCTGCAGCTGCTGAAGTGTGTGTTGAGAGATCTGCTAGAGGACAAAGAAGTTCAGAAAAACCTGCTGCAGGTCCATCTCAACGGTACTGACTCCACACCAAACCTCATGTTATTTATCCAGGATTTAAGGACCTGAATACTTAACAGATCTCTGGGTGTTCTTTCCTATGGCCACGGAAGATATTCAACCAGGGTTCATACAGAAACTAGAAATAAACTTGTTATTATTTAAAAGAAAAAGACCAGATAAATAGATGCATTTCTTTTTGCTGTAGGTCTCCTCCAGACGGATGACAGAATAGCGCTTAAAGAAATAACGCGGCAGCTCCACCTGGAGAACGCTGTCGGTGACAAAGTGTTTGTAAGTATTTGGAAACAGTTTTATTGACAGTTTTTGTGATAAATGATTATTAAAAATGCTCCAAAAACCAGTTTCTGTATACATGTTTAGGGCAGCTTTGCAGAGAATCTGGCTTTCCTGCTGGAGGCATTGAAGAAAGGTTTGATTTATTTATTGCTTTTTGAATCGAGTCATCTGAATTTAAGGCCATAAAAGGTGTGGTTTATTGTTTGGGAGTGTGACACACGGTTGATGTTTCACGCCAGGTGATCGCAGCAGCAGCCGCCCGGTGTTGTTCGTCCTGGATGAGTTCGACCTGTTCGCCCACCACAAGAACCAGACGCTGCTCTACAACCTGTTCGACGTCTCCCAGTCTGCCCAGGCTCCCATCGCTGTGGTCGGCATCACCTGCAGACTGGTGAGCCTCTTTAAAACTTTACAAGACGATACTGCTTTGTTTTTTCCCCCCATAATCTAGTGTTAATGAATCTGCGGCGGTTCATTTCCCTCCAGGATGTTTTGGAGCTGTTGGAGAAGCGGGTGAAGTCGCGGTTCTCCCACCGTCAGATCCACCTGCTGAGCAGCCTGACGTTCCCTCAGTACCTGGAGCGGGTCCGGACCCAACTCAGCCTGCCGGACGACTTCCCCGACGGCAAGTTCGCCGAGGACTGGAACGCCAGCGTGAAGGTGAAGCGAGGAATTAATGGCGGCTTTGTCCAAACATTGTAAATCAAATCTGAGCCTGGTAATGTTTTGTGTCCTGGTTGTTGCATTACTTTGACCTCGAGGGGGCGCTGGTGGGATTTTACAGGAACTAGGAAGGCAGATTGAAGCATCTGTTTGTTTTCTGTCTTCAGACTCTGTGTGAAGACAAATCGGTTGAGGACGTTTTACAGAGACACTTCAACTCCAGCAAAGACGCCCGCTCAATGCACATGCTGCTGGTACAACAGCTTCACGTTGTGTCTCCTGTTTCCTCCTCTCCTCTTTCCTCCTCTCCTCAACTCTCCCGTCCTCTGTCTACTTTCCTGTTAGCCTCTCCATTTTCTCCTTCTTTCCTCCTCTCTCCTTTTTTCTCATTGTTATTCCTTTCCTATCTCCTTCTCCCTTCTTTCCTTGTAGCTTCTCCCATTTTCTTCTTTCATCCTCTCATATCCTCACAGCCTCTACAGTTATCCTCCTCTCTTTTTTGTCATCTTTCTCATCATCCCTCCTTTTGCCCTTTTCATCTAGTATATTTGTGTCTTTTCCTTTACCAGATGTTTTGTCTGAGTCGTGTGTCTGTATCCAGACCTGCCATCAAACCTGCAGACCTGCTGGAGGCCAGCAGACTGTGTTTTGCTGACGCCAAGGCCAACATGCTCCACGGTATTAACAAAAGAACCAGAATGAAGAGAGAAACGACTTTCACACGTGAAGCGCTGCAGTCATTTCACCTCTGTTACACTTGTTTTTTTCTACAGGTCTGTCCATCTTGGAGCTGTGCCTGATCATCGCCATGAAGCACCTCAACGACGTCTACGAAGGAGAGCCGTTCAACCTCCAAATGGTTCACAACGGTACGACGGAGGAGCTGTGATAGCGACGCAAAGTGTCATTTACAGGAGAGCTGTTCAACCCTCACACCGAATCTGGCTTTTAGTTTTTATAAGCAACTGCAATAAAAGCAGGAATTTATCTCTCTCATCAAATACCTCTTTCGAATTTAAAGATCGGCAGTGCTTCAGCAGATAAAACACAGACTAATTATTTTGGATACAGAAAACCAATATTATACAGTGATAAAGATAAAACCGACATCATTTTACCTGTATGTGATTTTTCCTGTTTTTTAGAGTTTAAGAAGTTCCTACAGAGGAAGTCGAACTCCATGTACAACTTCGACCAGCCTGTCATCATGAAGGTGTGTATATTATATTTTATAGGCTGTTTCAGAAGCGACATACTCACTACGTGAACGTGGATATAAATGTAAAGACAGTACACGAGCACTTTCCAGAGCAACCCTGACTCTCGTCCGTCCTCAGGCCTTCGAGCACTTGCAGCAGCTGGAGCTGATCCGACCCGTCGACAGCTCCTCGGCCAAAATTCAGAGGGAATACCAGCTCATGAGGCTCATGATAGACCACAGTCAGATCATGGAGGCGCTGCAGAAGTACCCACAATGCCCCACTGACGTCAAGCAGTGGGCCATGTCGGCGTTCGGCTAGCGTACATGTGGACACTGAAAGTGGAAACAAGCGCTACAGCTCGAACCGAGGGCCAAAATTAAAACTATCCGAACTGAACCAGGGAAAAAACATGGTTGTTTCACGTCAGGATTATTTTACTCAAGAGTATTAAGTTTGTTGTGGAGCAGAGTTAAATTATCAGGAAATAAAAGGTGAGATTTGTACTTTTTGTGTACTTTTTTTTTTTTTCTTTCTTGATCCATTTCACCCAAAGAAATCAGTTTGTGTAAAGCAATTCACTTGCAGACTTACTTTTTTAAATTATCTACAACAAAACTTTAATAATCCATCAGATCATCAACATTTCACAATATCCAGCTGTGGATGTATGTTTTCTAAAAACTATTAAAGTCATATTTATGTTACAAACTTTCTGTAAGCCTTTAAACAAAAAGGGATTTTATAAACTAAAGATTTGGAAAAATAGTATATTCTGTTAAAACGATATGGTTCTGAGTAAAACAAGAAATCTGTTTGGAAATAGGCTGGTGTCTACACTTCCAGCTGCTGAATGCTGCCACCTAGTGGTGTAAGTCTGCAGGAAAACATAAGCCTGGACAGGAGGTACACAAACCCTCATTAGATGAAAGAATGCAATTTTAATTTCTGGCTATAAGCCTGAACATTTCTCGTCAGTGAAACAGGCGTTCCTCGGTCCTGCAAATTAGTTTTCATTCAAAAGCATGCAACAATAAATACACTTGTTTTTAAATTCCATTTACTAAATAAGTTATCTCCGACTTGTGTCCCTCTGGTACGTTTTTAAAAGTCTTGCTCAAGGACACATGGAGGAAAATCTCATTCCTCTCTTCAAAGAAGTTTCCGAGCAAACCTGATTACATAAAGGCTAATGGAAGTTTTGTAATATTCCTTGAATGTAAAAGTACACTTCAGAAGAACATATCAAAAGAACTAATTTTCCTTTCTTGTTCACATGAAAATGCAGTTTCAATGTTGTAGCTGGCCTAAATACTCATTGGGTTAGATTTTATTTAGTCATTGTATAATTTGTACACCAAATAATTACCTAATACGTTTCCTGGAAAGGAAATATAACTTGGTACTTTCTGCAGGGAAGACTCATTAATTAACACCAATTAATTGCTAATGTAACCTAGAGTCTTTTAGTTGGTCGTAGTATGGAATTTGTCAACAGGCAAGCAATTCAACATATATAAACAAAGTTATAAATAATAAATGAATATGAACTTAAACTCGGGTTTAAATTGAGTTCTTTTTCAAGAAACCTCCCAGGAAAATTAGAAACCTGTCAAATAAAGGGCTTCTAACTTCGATTAGGAATGAAGGAAAGAGAAACATCAGCATTCACAATCTAAAAACACATTTATTTACATCACATGGATCACTTCAGCTGATAAAAACCATTAGCCGAGAGTCGCAGCGCTGATCGGGGATCAATGTAGTGTCCTCTGTGATAATGTACCCAGGGTTTCTGACGGGTTCTTTCTGCTATAATACTTACTGAAGAGAATTCTCTGTTCTCCAATCCTCCCTTGTCCCTTCACTGGGAGGTCAGAGGTCAGGGTGAGAAACCCTGGAGCTGGCAAAAACTCACTCTGTCTCAAGAACACATAGTGGGATGCTTTTGTTGTACTTCCTACACATTTTCCAGTTTGAAATTCCAGACCTTGTCCTACTTTCACATTTTCTGTCAGTAACATCAAACGTACAGTCACGTTTATCAGGAATAAAGAAACAAGGCATTTTCATCATTTTAGAGACTTGTTTTTTTTTTTTTTTATATATGCAACCCACTAAAGTTTCAGGACCAAAAATGATCAGATGTATCACTTTCTTCCAGCTTTGAAAACCAGAAACCATGTGAGCATCACTACCATTAGAGGCTGCGTTGGCAGATCCTGGATGAGCGCTGTAACTCGAGAGCCTCGAGAAATGTGGGGTCAAAAATGCTTGTAGTGTTTTGTTTTTTGTTTTTTTTTTGTAGAAATTTCAGGCCTGGCAACCAAACTAATCCTGCTGCCAAGACAGTCTTGGCGGCGAGGTCATTGGAGTTCAATGTTTCCTCTAAAATTCTTACCAACAGTGGGGAAAAAAGCAGGAGATTGAGATGCTGGAATGAAATACCTGTAGTGGGTGATTGAATTATCACGTATGGAGTATTGCAATTGCTCTTAAAGAGCTTTGGGGATTCTTCAAAATTCAACTATCAGGGGACCCGCGTAGGCTCCCTGAGGAACGCCCTGGGTCGAAATGTTCGTCACTCGTCGTGTATTTTCTGCTGAAGAACCCTTAAGTGCTTTCTTAGACACCGTACAAAGTACTCCAATGAGCCTCTAGCTTTTAGCTTACACAAGAGCTCAACTTACTTGTTTTTTTCGCATAGTGAAGGACAATTTTTATGCAGCCAGGCCTCGCTGCTGAGTCAACACACAAGAAAAAGTATAAATGAATGTAGAGGAAACACTGAAGTTCAACACGCACTTATAAAGATTCAGCTCAGAGTATATAGTTAATACAGGTATTTATGTTCTCATGTCTGTACAGAGCCTAGGCTGCTTAAAATAGTGGGGGGGGGGAGGGGGGGGCAACAAGACACAAATGTTTCACTGGTAGTTTATATGCACAGCAATGTGAGGTGCTGGGCTGGAGGAAGTCGAGATAGAGAACCACAAAGCCTGCAAGCCGAGACAACCCATTCATACACCTTTAAATGACCATTTTCGGAGCATGTTTTTAAACCATAGTTGAGTCGAGATAGGTTTGCTATGATAGCCAAGACCTGAGGGGGGAAGAGGAGGCTCAGATCATCAGATTCAGATTGTCTCCCAGTGCTCTGGATGCAGGTTTAGACAAACAGCCCCCAGGAATTTATTTTGGATGAACTGAAATGCTTCTTGAAGATTTAGGAGTCCATGTAAAGTGTCGTCTTGGAAACTGGGCCAGGAAGGCCAGAACATGATGGTACCTTTTTGACAGTTCATTATAAAGCTCTCAGAGGATTGAACAATCAAACAATGCACAAAATCTTCCCATAAAAAAGGTCCACTCGCTAATTCACTGCCCTTTAGAGTAGGTTCCCATCTTCAGCGGGTAACCGTCAAACCAAGAGGTGTATGAATGGATCTCCCGCGTGCGTTGGTTTTACTAGTTTCTACGGCGACAGGGCACAATCACACGAAACCAGCCAAACGCAAAGCCCTCTAAAAGTTACACAGGGCCGGGCTCACTCCATCAAAGTACACACAATACTGGAATCCAGGAGTCTGAAGAACATTCATTCTCGGTCGTTTTGTCCATTAGACTGAATAGAAAGAAGCATGTTACAGTTAATATCTTTTCTTTTTGAATTAATGAAAGTATTTCCTGAATTACAACCGAACACCCATCGCCCCCCAACCCCTCCCACCCCCCTCCCCCCGAACAACAACAACCGTAAATCGTGCCAACTCTGACAGTTTTATTCTGAGTTGCACCTGAGCTCTGATCCCCAAAAACCTCAGGCCTGTAAATTAAAAAATAAATACAACATATTAATATGCAATATTTAAAAAAAAAAAAAAAAAAAAAAAAAAATGCTACAAGTTATTTGTGTGTGTGTTTGTGTGTATATTGAAAGTCACTCCTGCAGCTGATCCTACAGAAGTGTAGGGTAAGTTTGCGGCACTGGTTGCATATAACTTGCGAAAACTTAGAAAAGCATAGTACTGAATCCCTGAATGGTATTTGTCGGTTTGGTGTCGGTTTCTCGAGCGCAGTTTAAAGTCAAGCCGTCAAACACTGGAAACATTTTCCACCATCTATCTACAGTACTGGGATGCGACCGCCAACCATAGGTTTTGTCGCCACTTTGGCAGGTAACCAACCAACATTTGGAGGCAGTTTTTTAAAATTCACTTGGCTGCTGAAATACTGGTGAGTTCTGTATTTGAGGACATATACTCGGGAGGGAAAAAAGGGGTAATACTGGTGTTTAAATGGCAAGGATGCTTTTCTTTTTTTTTTAAATAAGAAGCTTTCTGCTGCTGTTCAGTTATGGAACATTTTCACAGAATGAAATACTGCATCACAGTAAAAATGAGGGACTTCTTTTTAGCCTTATTTTTCCTCGTCATCTCAAACTTATGGTGGAGAAATTGGAGTTTACTCCAAGCAACAAGCCCCCAAACTGAAACTTTCCTCCCACTTCAAGAACCTTATTTTAAAGAACGTGGGACTTTTAATACTTTCTCTACTGGAGGAACCTGGTCACGGTTTTGGTTTTTATTTGCCACACTTCCTACCCCAAAGAAATCCCTGCGAGTGAGGTAGTACTTATTGAAGGGCTGCTGGGGTTCGCAGTACTGATCGTCCCTGACTGTTAATGCTTCATGAGGATCGTGATAATGGCTGTTATTTTTATTTTTTTTTGAATAGCAGTTGATTGAAAAACAGCAGCAGCAAAAGGAAGCAACACCGATATCGTACTCATGCTACAGTAAGTAAATAAGATGATGGCTTCAACTTCCTTCAGGTTTGCGTTGTTGTTGCAGTACTTTTGAAATGCTGAAATCTCAAACTTGTCGTACTTCTACTGTCACTTCCTCCTGATTTACCAATTCTTCTCCATTTTAGAGGTGTAGTGGGAAAACTAAATCTTGCTTCTTTACTTTTTAGTTCTTCTCGTTCTCGAGTTATTTTGGTGGAAAACTGCCTTGTGTTAGTTTGGCTTTATAAAGTCTGTAGCTTGGAAATACAGTTAGAAAAACGTAGTTAAAATAAGTGCTCACAACAAATATTTAGCTTAATTTTATACTTTACTGTATGTAGTGCAGAATGGGAGGGTTTTCTTTAACTCCCCTGTCCAATAATCATCACAAATACCATTTCATTTGTTAGTGTTTCACTTGTGTCTTGAGCACTAAAGTGTTTACTACGGTGTTTGCTGAAAATGCTGAGTGTGTTATACAGAAAGAATAATTGCGTATTGCCTTGAATGTGAAATGGATTTGGTAAGAAAGAAGTTTCTTAATGTTTGAAGTATTTCCAACCGCAAAATCTTAAAATGCTTGATTTTAAACTGCATCTGTGAAACCGTCCAAAGCTTGAGGAGAGACTGCAGGTCTGCCGGCACCAGTTTTTCAATGTCCCTCAGAGGAAATAAAGACTCAAAAATGTCATTGCTGCCTTCGCAAGCAATGACAGATACATCCGTTTTGCCTGACATCTACAAGAGTTAACTAATATGGATACGTAGAAATGGCACCAGGATGAAAGAGAAAGAGAGATTCCTCGTCTCAACTCGTCTAACTGCAGTTAGCCGTGCAATCTTTTGGTTAGTGTCAGCAGGGTTAGGGTTAGCCCCAAACCATTTATTTTAGGCCTGTGTGAGGAACATAAAACTGTACCTTATCTTGTGAAACTGCTGAATCTGTTAAGCTTCGAGAAGGTTGTGTCTGACGCTGAAGAAAGACATCCAGCTGCTTGTAGAGAGATAGAAAGGTCTCGACAAATGACCCCCAGATGTCCACCAACACAGGCAAGCTGAATCTCAACAACTAGGTGACCAGACTTGTGAGTAATGTTTGGGCAACATTTGACTTAACAAAAGTGGAAACACGGGCAAACTAACCAGCTCTAAGGGGTAAGGCCAGACCAGATATTTGGTTCTAGAGGGATGATACATAAACACCTGTATATGGATGGGCATTGTTTGACAAGAACAGATGAGAACTTACTGTCAGGGCTTGGTGTTAAGATCTGGACTGCTCCTAAAGACAATAGAGACACTGTTTTTGAGCATGACGGCACGGCTAAACCCTGACAAGTCGAGGTGAGGCAAGAAAGAGAGAGAGAGAGAGAGAGAGGAAACGTAAGAATCAGCGAGAGAGGAGGTACTGCAGTCTGAGACGGGTGAGGATGAAGAGAAGGAGGTGGAGGAGGTGGTGAGTAGCAAAGATTCCTGAGGTGTATCAAAAGAGAGCAGAAAACTCTTGATAGTAATCCAAAAAAGATGTGTGCAATCAAATCAAAAGCAAGCTGGCTCAGCTAAATACAGGTATTATTCCAAAGTAGGGCTGGGTACCCCCCGGGGAAAACCTCCTCACAACTGCACCTCAAATCTGATACCTCTACACATCGGATTATCTATTTTGTTAATCAGCTTCTTCTAAATAGAATCAGACCACACATAAACTGATCGCACAAAATAATAAGAACAAGAAGAATATGAGAATCCTGAATACCTTCTGATTTGGTACCGACACCAGGCATCAAAAGGCATCGTTAGTTGGTACCCAGCACTAATCCAGAGAGATATAAATACATATACTGTATACCCAGATCTCACGGCCAAAATTAGGCTTGTCAGCGATAGATAGCCTATTATTACTCCGTTGACAATTGACACGGCAAACCAAAAAAAACGGAAAAGAAAATCACTTTAAACGACAACGTCATCATGGGGGTTTGCTTATTTTCCATCATCAGAATAAAAATCTTGAAAGGAGGAAAAAAAATAAACAAAAAAAGGAGAGAAAGTTGTTATTCAGTCAAAAATCAAAGTGGAGGAAAACGTGAGACTGAGAAAAGGGAGGGGAAAAAAAGGGAGAAACACTTGTGTTTATGGTGTGTATGGCCATGTATAATCGAGGCTTCGCTGACTACAATACCCATGAGTGTCACGGCTGACAGCAGGTTGGTTTGGATGTCAAGTTTGTGGGTAGTGTGAGCAATGACTGAACAGGGAGAGGGACTAATTTAAACTGTGTCCATCTGAAGTGAGGTATACCTGGTTGAAGGAGGTTTATGGTTTTTTTATCGTCGTAATGCTTGAAAATGGACCCCCCCATCCCCCTCACCCCCTTTAAAATAAGCTTGATTACCAAGTTGTCTGGGTCCCTAATACACTATGTACAGCAGCATTACACTATAAACATTCAGAAGCCGTTGCTTATTGGCAGAACGATAGTCGTTTCTTCAAAAAAACGCACACGAGAAAAACAGCAAATGTATCCAGAGCCAGGTGCTCGTCTTTTTTCTTTTTTTTTTTTACACTAAAATGCACCACCGAGAGTCCTGTGAAATTTCTCTGCCAGATCTTCTCTCTCCGTAGAAAACCGAGCAGAAGAGGTCGCCACCTGTCCCCCCCCCCCCCGATGTGAGTGTATGTGTATAAAAACAATACATGATAAAAGTGTTTTGTCCCAGCACATCAGCACTATCACTCATCGTTATGTCGTCCTAATATCCTGAATCGTTTTCGCTCGGGATGTGAGAGTTTCGACCGTTAAAATGTTAAAATCCTCAGGCACACATATCAAAATGAGGTGGATATCAACTGATGTGGTGAGGTGGGTGCAGGGTGTTTCCTGAACGCGAGTAGCGACCCGCACTTAAAGGAACAAAAAAACAAAAAAAGATAAAAACGTAAAAGAAAGAAGAAAAAACGTCGCCAACCAACCAGGGTCGGCTGCTCATCCCCTCGTGTTGATCCGTGTTTCTGCGAGCTCATCCGGTGTCGGTCGATAGGCCGATCATAAGCTGGACTCCTTGGGCGGGAGGTCCACGTTGGTCACCATGGTAACGACGGTGACGATCTCCTCTGGGCCGATGATGGGGGCTTGACGCTGCATTTGGCCGATGCGTTCCTCGACGCATCCGGCGGACAGGCGAGCCTCGGCCTCGTGGTCCCAGCAGTCCTCGATGGTTTCGCAAAGCATAGCCAGACCCTGAGAGAGAGCAGGTCAACGTTACTGCCCGTCAGAGCTCCACTGGTGAGCTGAGCTTGATGAATATGTTCCAGAGATACTCAAAACTAAACAACATTTTGTTCTCTTCTGTGTCTTGCTATAAAACACTATATAAATACAATCTAACTACTTCTGATTTGCCTCAACACAACTTAAAACACGACTATAATGACCATATTTAAGTTTTCAACAGCGACGTCGGACTGCTCACCGCGTGTTTCTGCCAGCAGTCTCGCAGACAGGGCCTCAGTTTCTTATGAACGACAACCTCCTGCATGTCCTCCAGAGACGGATGCTGACCCACCTCTTCCTCAAACGGAAGCATGTACTCATCTACTGGACCTGTTAACACACATCCACGTCCGAAATTAGAAGGAATCGGGGGGTAACAAAACAAAAACAATGACAAATTGATTGCATTTTTTTTATGATGCATCAGACTCACCGTCAGCGGCCGTGCACCGCGCCGCGAGCTCCCAGAGGACGAGGCCGAAGGCGTACATGTCGATACGAAGGAAGGAGTCTCGCTGAAAGTTGATGGCGCCCTCCAGGACTTCAGGAGCCATGTAGCGCCTCGTTCCCACCTATAGGTTCAAAGGAAAACAGCTCGAGAGGTCAAAGGCAGAAACAAGAACAGAAATTCAAGCAGGAAGTCACGACGCAGCTCACAGATGGGCTGAGAAGGGGACTCGAGGGGTGTTATAGTTGCTTAGTTGGCAGATACGTCAAACCGAAACAGTGAATCAGTTCACATGACGTGAATTCAGAATGTTTTTGTTTTTTAAACAATAAAAATATTCAAATAAAATGAAGCTTGTGTGAGTTTGGCTCTTTTTTACTCAAACAGACACAAACAAACAGATAAGATTTAACTGAGGGGAGAAGATTCGAAGAACTGATAAACTGGGAACCGGCGAAATCTGTGATCACCTACATTTATTTCAAACTGTTGAGCAGTATTTTCTGGACCTCCCAGTACGTCCCCATTACTACATTGTTGGCCCACACTGCCACCTGTAGGCACTGTCAGGTATTTTCACAAATCACTGATGATAATAGTGACCCAGTATTATTCCCAACAGTACACAGACTCAAAACAGGACATTAAAAGTGCCACCATTACAACCAATTTCACATGTTTGAGCGCCTTCCAACTCAAATCAGCAGGAAACATAATGAAGAAGTGAATGAGAAGTGAATATTTGAACCTGTAACTGTAAACTGTACCTGTCCATGTGTGTCTCCTGCTGATTTTCCCGTTTCAAACTGCAGGGCAAGGCCAAAGTCAGCTATGCAGGCTGTCAGGTTACTCTTCAACAGCACATTCTTACTCTTGATGTCCCTAAGACACAAAAAGAAACCAGGGAAATAAGAATGTAGAACTCAAGATGAGCCTGATGTCTTGATAAAAGCTCATCAATTCAAAAGATATTTAGATATTTAGTACCTGTGAGCGATGGAGGGCTTGTGTCCGTCCTTGTGTCCCGGGATGTCTTCGTGGAGGTAGGCCAGGCCGCGGGCTGCTGTCTGAGTGATGTGGCAGAGCTCGTTCCACGACACCACGTTGGCCTTCAGGTAGTCTGTCAGCGAACCCTGAGGGAAAATGGGGTAAGGAGGAAAAACAAAACAAAAAAAAGGTCAATTTTCCAAAATACATTTTTAATAACCCTGGCAGGCTGTAAGCTCAGCCAGCCAGCTACGACTAAATAGACGGAATAAATGGAAGATTTATCAGTCCAAGAATAAAACAAAAACAGTAAGTAACATCAGAAAAAGTCTAAATTGAATCTGACACTTTAATACAAAAGATTATTCTGATAGAGGATAAAACAAATAAAAAAATATGCTAAGACTAAAAGGCCCCTAAATCATTTTCTGTATTTATTTGTTATTTTAATCACTTCAACAGATGTGTGCGATTCAAACAATAAAACCAAAAGAACTGCAAAAATAAATAATACTAAATAACAGTATCAGTGATGGCTGGAGTGGGTAACGTTTCCATGGGAACAGCAATATGCCTAATGGATAGAAATTCACTGATGCTTGTGGGTTAGTATTTCACCAGGGACTCTGCAAGAAGATCATTTCTTTACAACACGGGTTGAATCAGCTAAACTGACATCCAAGTTTTTCTACATTGCACAATTCAATATTGAAACTTTAGGGTTGATTATCGCAGGAAGAAACTGGAAGCGACTTCTGGAGTTTCATATTTCAATCCAATTTACTACTGACCAAGTGTCCTCTTAAAACCACAGTGGAGTCCTTTGGTCACCCCCTGTCACCAAGCCCCTACAAGTTTATTGTTCCTGGTGCATAACAGAGATCTGATAAATACATTTAATTTATCTACTCTGTGTGGTGTTGGATCATTGTTCTTTAATCTCCATTAATCAAAGGGAGGTTTTCTGAGCACGCAGGCTCTTTATCAGCAAAGACCTGCTTCAATTTCCAGAGGGATTTTGTACTATTTTTATTTTGCAGAGATACATCTTTCATCATCTGACAGCGGCCAAAAAATTCTCTGCACGCATGGTGAGCATCTTTAGATACCGGTCCGCATCTAAAAGACATTTATGGTGAATATTGCAGTAAAAAGAAAAATAGAATTGGCTCCAAAAAAAACATTTATGGCCATGACTTCAACCCTAATGCATCTGGTTGATTCCTTATCCTTAACACAACATTCTTACATAATGTATGACAATGATATACAAGGTCACTTTTGGTGAGACCAAAGGCAGATGTAGTAGGCACAGCGACCACCAGAGGGCAGGCAGCTCCAACAGATGCACAAAAAAAATAATTCAACTGGTTCAGTTCAGTTTTGGATAAATGCTTTCCAGGGTGTGTGTGTACACCTGGGTTCCTTCAGTGTTTTCAATGCTGTGTTAACTGCTGTTAAATTATGAAAATGCAAGAGATCAAATAGACATTATCCCTCTGACAGACACATCGACAGCTATTAATATCTATCCGCTGTCCAAGACCTGAAAAGATTTTTAAAGTTTTGGAGTTGCTTGTATCCTTCAAAGCAAGCCCCTGCATGCTGCGGATAGTAGAGCCGCTCGGATGCATCAAACATCGAAGGCATAAATCAGCTGTCAAGGAGACGCTGAACTCTGTAATCACTGTTCCAGCTGTGTTACACAAGCTGAGGTTCAGTCCAAACTGACTTTGACACCTGCTCTCAAAATCTGGCCAGAAGGAAAAGGTTTTTGTAGGGTAAAGTTTAAGTTACACATACTCTAAAGACGTTTGCTTACAAAATAATTACAGCCCATGCTTGACAAGGCACTAAACAGGGCTTCTGATATTATTGGCAGTATGACCTTTTTGTAAAAAATCCTTTTAAAAAAAGTCCTTGAATGTTATTTCTACTTGGAGAGCTTCTACAAATCAAGAGTAGCACTTGTAGAGCTGCTGCAGAGTTAAGTGGCTTACTAAGAATTGTATTGTCGGGTTCATTTTTTTTTTTCACCTTTATTCACGCAGGGAAGGTTTCTTAAATCACAGCAATTCAAATTGTTTGCCTTGGTGGGATATTCAAGCAAGTGAAGCGTACGAGAACCACTCTCCACTTCGTTGGTAATGACCCTCAAAACACAGAGACACTTAAAGACTGGGTGAGTGAAGCACAACGGGGCCAACAGAGTCCAGCTTCTCTGGATAAACAAGGCTTTTACAAGAAAAAAACCAGCATGAAGTGTATTGTAATGATGGATCAACTCTTAAGGCACCAAACAGAATCAATACAACGTGGAGGTTTCATGAATGTTTTTCTCTTCCCAGTTCTGCAGCCCGTCCTGGACCTTTTTAGATCTGTTTAAAGTAAGCATGAGACGACACACTAAAAAGTTTATAGACATAATCAATGTGAGAAAAAGCCTTTAGCAGTGTTGGTATTCCTCAACATATTAGCAGGCAGTAGCCTCGTGTTCTAGAACAAAATAAAGAATAAATCTAGTAGTTTGCTGGTGCTGTATCTCCATCCCGGACAGCGTACCTTGTCGTGGTAGGCGGTGATGAGCCACAGCTCCAGGTCCAGGTTGTTGTTCCTCTTCTCCACGCCGATGAAGTGGAGGATGTTGTCGTGCTTCATGCCGCTCACGCTGTAGATCTCATACTCGTTCTGCCAAGACAGCTTGTCCTATACAAGAGCAGAGACCCAGATACAGATGTTACTTAATGTAAGTATCAAATACAGCCTGTGGAAGAAATGTACAGTGATAAGTAGAGTTAGAATGATTGAATATAACAAAATAAAAGTACTACTTTATGTGTTTTGGAGCTCTCTGTCTTTATTTAATTGCCCAGTATTATACCTGGATGGGGAAGATCTTCACGGCCACGTAATCGTTCAGCAGCTGGGCCTTCCACACACATCCAAAGCGCCCCCTGGCTTTCACCTCGATCAGCTGCAGCGGTTTGTGTCCCAAAATGGGGGACGGGGGTGAGGGTCCGGGATCCTGTGGAAAAAAGAAAGAAAAAAAGAGAGAGACAGAGAGGACAGTGTTATTCTTTATTCTTTTTTTGTAGTGCATTAAAATAGCATTGGCTTACACTGAAGGTGACCGGGCTTTTGGCTCAGCAACAATGTGCCTGAGGAGCTTAGGCCAGCAGAACCACTATCATCTTCACATCTTAAATCACATCTTATAAATTACATTTATAGACTCGCTTTTATGTGATGATACTCTCCTATAATTCTTTTGCCAACATGCTTTTTTTGGTTTCTTTCTTTATCTTTTATGCTGTGGTGCCTCATTGCTTTTTTTTCTTGCTTTATTTATTTTATGGGTCTGTTGTTTGCTTTATTTGATTGTTAAAGCACTTTGGAAAGTTGGGTTAGGAAGTGCTGCATATTTAAGTTTAGTATTATTATTACTTTGATAGTGAGGACACAGCATACCAAGCAACATTTGGATTATTTCAATTTCATTCAAACCCCTCAGGGCAGCACTTGCTTGGGTTTAGAGATGCAGGATTGTAACTGGAAGGTTGCCAGTTTGAATCCAATGAGCAGCTGAGGAAAAGTGGGTGGGGAAAGATCTAAAACCTTGATTACCACTGAGCAAGGCACACAAAGAACAGACGAGGCTTTGACGTGAATGAATATGAAGCAGGGGCGGATGAAAATGGTTCAGTGAAAACATTCGGGAGCCGTCGTGTCAAACCCTGGCAGGTCAAACCTCATGCGTGCGCTCGTGTGTGTTCATGCTAATCCCATTTAAACAACAGTAAACGCACGGAAGCCAAGTGTTCCACATCTAAAGTAGGTTAAACACAGCTGGTGATCAGGATTAAGCTGATCACTTTCACATGTGACCTCACAGAGAAGGACAGAGGGCGAGCGAGGATAGGACACAGAGAGAGAGAGAGAGAGAGAGGAGAAGGTTAAAAAAGAAGCGTGCGATGGGGGGAGTCACATTTCTAAAAAGGATAAAAGGTAGAGGAGAAAGTCTAGCACATGACTGATGGCCTTTGATGAAACTAGATACGCTGCTGTAAAATCTCGACTTTACTTCCATGCCTCTGTGTCGCTGCTGTCAGTGAAAAGAAAAAAGCTTTCCCCCTGCAACGCCGCCAATGTTCATGTTTTTACCTGAACTGAAGGCTTACAAGGTTCTCGATAAGCTGGAGCAAGTTTCAAGACCCTGAGGCCCACAGGATCCACACTGACAATATATCAAAAGCGCTTGTCAATCCCAGTCTGGTTTTTTCCAGCTTCTCATAAAAGTGTGAGTTACGAGATTTGCTACCGATACGAGATGGAAGCAACGCTCACACCAATGAGCTCTCTTTGGTCGTGTGAGGGATTTAAAAACGGTACACTTCAGCACACACGCACGTTAGTGCTGCTTAATTCACTGTAGAGGTTTTGGCACCCGACCGTTCTTCAAGACAAATATTGGTGATATCCAAGTCGTGAAAAATGAGCTAAAGCGGAGCTACAAGGCCAAGCCAAAAAGCATTTAACCGCATAAGTAGTAAAACAGGGAGAAGTGGCTTCAGCTTTTACCGCCTCTTCTGACAAGATCATTGTGGTCTACAGAAGCAAACTGTATATCATTTAGTAGCATTTATTGGTTTGATTTGTAACAATTGGGAATCTCATGCCAGGTCATGAAAAAGAAGGTGCTATTGTTTGACTGAAAAGAGAAAAATGTCTTCAATGCAGAGAGATTTCACCGTTTTACGCTTAGATTTGTGCAAATCTGTTTACACTTATATTTAAATCAATGAGTTCTTATTTATGTCTGCTCAAAAAAAATACGGGAATATGAAACAAAATTAACCTTTGCTTGCTAGAAGTGCCTTCTACCACATCAGAAGTAAAAGAATAAAGTCATTTAAACACTTTGCATAAGTAATGTTCAAATGCTTCGCCAAAAAAAAAAAAACTAAAAACATGTTCACCTGTTGTATAAAACAGTTTGTAACTGTTAAAATGTTTGTTCTTTTATTGGAGGAAACCTACCCCCTCTTCTTGTACCACCATGAGGTTAACATTTTAGGATAGATTGCCACGACACTTGGATGAATAGTAATAACTTTGGTGATCCTCTGACTTTTCATGTAATGCCACCATCAGGTCAAAAACTTAAAAACTAATGATATTCCCATCAGCTTCAGCTGTAGTTTGAATTTATTAGCAAATGTTAGACTGCTAACACACTAATCTATGAAGAACAGGGTATAAATTATACCTGCATTGCCACTGTGAGCATGCTAGCAAGCTTAAGTAAAGTACTGGAAGGCCTCACAGAGGTGCTAGCACGGCTGTAGACTCTGAGCCTTGTTAATACCTAATAATAATTTATAAAGTATTATTTGCTCCTGAAATGCTCTAATTGCTCCCCAGGGATGATAAAGTTTCACCCAGTCTATAAGTGAGTGCAGGCTGTAGTACTGCTTATTACTGTAGTAGCAGCTGCACCTCTCTGCCCATTTAACAAGAAGCTTTTTGAGAATAAAAGACATTTTTTTTTGCTGTTTTTGGTAGAAATACGGCACAGGGCGTCCTTGCCTTTCACTGGTGGGAACTGGTGTGTTTACTTAAAGCTTGTTCCCTCTAACACAGAGCTGTGAGGCAGACCTGCTGTCTCTACACACTGCTTTCACACCAAATGCCAGCCAAATGATGGGGAAAATTACCCACAATGGTGCTGAGGTTGGATTACAGAGTGGGCCCAAATGGTCCCTAGTTGGCACCTCGAAAAACATCTTCAAGAACACATTGTACAAACCAACGTAACGAATCAACAGTTTCACAGAAATGCTTCTCTACATCTGTTTTCAAATGTTGTCTTGCATATAAACGAGAATGTACAAGGATTCATTTAATTAAAAACGTGCTGGTGCGTTGAATATCATGTTTCAGCTACCATTTAGGTAGTTAACCATCGACACAGCAAACAAGTTAGCGCAGGACTCTTTGCTTTCTTTGTGTCTGCATTGTTTCTGGAAACTCTTGTCTGTCTTCCGGTCTTTTTGGCCTGACGAGGCGGCCCAGCCCGGCCCGCCCTCCCTCGGGAGTCACCGGATCCCTTGTCCGATCACAGGGCGCCATGGCCTCAAACGGGGGCGCATTACACTTAGTCAGCAGACCACAGGAAACAGGAAAACAGAATCTGCTGCTTCACGCCGTTCTTCCCAACCCTCAACCATCTCCCATGGCCTAATCGGGTTACACCTTCATCTATTACATCAGAATAAGTCCTTTAGGTCTGGTTTGGTTTGTCCTGGGTTTAGGTGAAGACAAGTGTATGTAGATATAACAGAATCAAAAGTTTGATTTCTAGACACAAAAGTAAAGTGTGTCATATCTTGTTGTTGAAATGATGATTTAAAAACAAAAAGTTGTTCACATAACCTTTGGGTTTTATCAAGTAAACTACAAACTCTTTTTTTACATAAGGATTTTCAGTGATGTCTGCAGCTACACTTCCACCCAATGTGATAAATTTTGAGCCAAAGTACATTTGCAAAGGCTTACGCTCCTCTTATACTTAAGTAATTCACACTCGGACTTGAAAAATGTTCTAGGTAAGAGGCAATTCTCCTACTTATGCAAAATGTATCCGCACTCCTCCTCAGTCTGCTTTTCAGATGAAAAAGCACGGTGCAGTTTCAGTTTTTAACTCTTCTGCTCGGTCTCTCTGCTCTGTGAGCCATTCTGAAAACTGGGTCATGTCACACACAATGTGTTACATAAACATAACAGGTGGACATTCATAATAAAAATGTAAAAGAAAAAGGGGGGTTGCATTCATGTTGGCTAGTTTCCACCATGCACAATACATTTTCAGCAGGGAGCACAAAAAAAAAATCCATCCATGCAATTAACCCAGGCAGAACAAAAAAAAAAAAACAACCAAAAAAATGTCGAAAATAACAAAGAGAAAAACAAAATGGTTGTCTGGGATTGAGGTGGAGAATTCATACCAAGCTCTGAACCCAAAAAGGGGGAAGAACTAATAAGAGTTTCAACTTCAATTGAACTGCTCTTACCTCCACCATAATGTGAAAGGCGTGCTTGTTGAAAAGGAACATAAGAAGCAAACAGAGAAATTATTTTTTGTCAGTTAGTGGATGAAGTAGAGGCAGATAAGGTTGGAGACGATGGTTTGTCCCCGAGAAACCTTTTGGCCCCCCCTTTGTGCTCCAGACCGAGGCTTCGAAAGGTATAGTTTGGGACAGATGAAGGGCCACGGGCCGCTCTGTGGTGTAATCCCACATGGATCAGAGAAGGTGTTAATAAGCATGGCACAAAAGGGAAGATGGTACAGTTTTAGGAACTTAAACGACGCCCTTGAGGAGAGCAACTTAAAATAGATTGAACACTGTGTTTAAAGGCACCAAAAAAAAACAGTGAAAACAAAACAAAAACAGAAAAGAAAGGTTCAGAGCAACAGCACCGCAATGATAGATGCATGAAACTGTTCCAAAGCACCCACAGACGACAGAATTGGGTTGAAAAAGTGAATGGAAGAGTTCAGACTGCACCAAACCAGAGAAAAAACATTGGTCTCTCTCAACAATTTAGCTTTTTTTTGTTAACAATACCCAAACATAAAATTTTGGTAGCTAAAGAAAGCAAATCAAAATCCTCTGGCAGAGGAGCAGAAGCAGCTCTCAACCCCAAACCCCTTTATCAACCTGCTCACAGTTCGCTTTATAATGCATAGATTTCATCGGCATCTGACACATGTGGATAACATCTGCAGTTGCCCCAAAAAACATGTGCCAAAATCATTTTTGCTTGGTTTTGGGGGCTTTTTTCCGGATATCCACTGGCACTTTAGGAGTTCTTTGGAAAAGCTGCACCCAGACAAATAAGATGTAAGTAGCTCCATAATAAAGCAATTGATGAGATTTTGGTCAGAATCAATCTGTGAGATGGACAGAGATAAGAAAATAGGGTCCAGGTCGAAAAATGGCCAGACTTATGTTTAAGTGCTTCAGGCCTCTCTGTGTGAAAGCTGTGGGTCTGTGTACTCAGACAGAATCAATTCCAGTTTGCCTTCACTTCTCACTGTGGTGTGAATAATGGAGGCTTGGTGGCAAATCTGCAGTCACTGATGGGCCACGATTAGAACATAACGACAGTGTGCAATAAAGTTGCTTTGCTATGTATAATTCTCTACTTGTCGCACTGGATTTAATCTTTTTAAAAAAGGTTGTGTGTGTACAGTAACTCTGTGCAAGAAAATGAAAAATATTTTGATGCGATAAACCGGGCTTCGTCTTTATGAACCCACTCAGTGTAAAAGGTGACAACTATATGTGAAAGTACAGCAGGAGCTCTTTACACTAAAGTTGGTTTTTCTTCCCTTCTTCGTTGTATAATTGGAGAACAGAGCTGTGATAATGAGTCCATTAATGATCATTAAGTGGGAACAATTACTTTTGCATCATGAAGACTGCATGTGTCATTACCTTGCGAAGAAAATAATGACAGCAACTTGATGTATTTTTTTTCCTTTAATGACTATAAACTCAAACAGCAGGACAACTTTTGTGTTGTTGGTCTAAATCAGTTTTTTCTAAATCACTTTGTAATTATGTAATCATTCATCTTTAGTTGTCTGAATTTCACAACCCAGTCCTTTAGCTTATGATCCCCATTGCACAACGTGATAAACAACGAGTATTAGGGAGTTCAAGGTTCAGAGCCATAGTGTCCTGAAAACATCAACAAACTAACTAAAAATAGAAGCTAAAAGGAAATCAGAAATCAGCACTGTGCATATGTTCCGTCTTTGTCTCCGGCTCTGTTCAGACTGCAGCTGCCGGTTGATGTTATAATCACATTCCTGCTCCTTTTAATTAGAGATTTAAATTAAATGTTGCGCAGTGTGATGCAGATCTCTGCCCATTTTAAAAGACGCAGCATTGCAAATTGGCACATTGATGTTAAGGAGCAGGGAAAAAAACTAAAACATGATGTATTACTACCAACACCTATCATGAACAGCTATAATGACTCCCCGTCCGCACCGGATGCTTTAAAATCTGACTAGCAACAGGTGTGGGCAATATGTTACTGTCACATTAAAAATACATGACTTAATCCAATGCATTAGGCTCTGACGAATGCAGTGTAGTACAGAAACAAACATAAAGCATATATGGTCCATAAGTCCAGTCCACTAACGTTTAAATCTATAAAATATCTTCTGTTTTTGATGTTTCACTGAGTCGCTGAAAGCTGATATTAAATTAATAAAGAGAATTGCAAAAGACATTGGCCAACAATATTTGCTTTTAGACAACACTTTCACAGAGAGCGACTTAAAAAGGACCAGTGTGTAGGATTTAGTGGCAATTCGCGTCTGTATTTGACGACCTGGGAATGAGAACGAGCTGTGAGGTGTGTAGGAGAAACTATGGTGAACCTTACTGTAGAAAACATGGTGGTTGAACATTGAAGGCAGCCTGCAGCATCTGTCGATAAAAACGGCTCATTCTAAAGGCCACAAAAACTCTTATATCCAGGTGATTATATTCCATTTCTGCCAATAAATCCTCCTGAATGTTACACACTGGACCTTTAAAGTTAAAGTTTGGGAATTTCTGGATGGGATGATCAATACCACTCCCATGTCAGTGCATTAAATATGGGATTACATTCTGATGCTTCATGCCATAAGTCAGTATTATACTAGCAGTAAGATGTCTTATTGACCAGAAAACGCCCCGAAATGCATTCTTCTCCACATGGGATTTCATCAGGCAGATGTTTGAGTGGCCTTATTCGGTAACCTGTGGTGGAAAGGGACGGGGGTTGCGGTGTGTTTTTTACTCTCAACAGAGCCAAGAATTCCTAGAAGCGGTCCTCGATGACTTGAGTCAAGTGAACTGTTTGTCGGAGTAACCCCGCGGTGCGACACAAAAACACATTCTTCAACATCAACAACCACAACAAAAAAAAAAAGATGGAAATAATCCCCTCCTGCTGCATCCATCTCTCTTCTCTGGATTGGCTTTTCTCCATCTTCTGTATCGAAAAACCCGGTTTAATCGATTGCAAAACAAGCCAGAACAATTCTATGTGATTGCATCTGTGTTTTGTTTTAGCCCCTTTCGAGTAGCAGCCGAGCGGGGTTTACTGCATCACCTCCTTCCAGAAGAGCATACGAGACGACTTTTAAATACGTCGCTGTACGAGTGACCTCATTTCGTGCTCCCATCCTTGTACACCTCCTCCTCATTCATACACTACTTGTGCACACACATGATTATACACATCCAGCATGACTTCATTTGTTCCACACCGGCTATTTTATTACATTATCCTCCCCTTGCGATTTTATGAATATTTTAGTTGTTTGTTTTTTCCCCCACTATGGCATCATTAGTTATCTGATCCACTCTTCTTTGGTCATGATCTTCTTTTGTTTTATGTTGTTTATTTATTCATTTATATGTTTCCAGGTAAGATGTTTCATAAGCCTCTTACAGTGTTGTTTTTCCATGCCACATTAGCATTTGTCTCCTGACTGTATCGTGTCACTGTCTTTTTTATCTCTTCCCTGCAATGCTTTAGCACTGTGCAAATACAATAACTAAGTTGAGAGAATAGCATGTCTCTCTTCACTCCCTCCTCCGCACTCCCCACCCACCCACCACCACCACCATCCTCTGAGGCAGAGCTGCGAGCGTCTCTGTGTTTAGTTTTGTTTGCCTATATAAAGCCTCATCAATAATGCAGAGGCCCCTGACTCCTCTTCCATACGGTGGAAGCGCTGCATGGGTTTTCTTTTCCCCCTGCTGCCAAGCAGCAGAGAATATATCTGCAGCCGTCGGGTTAAAACCGCCTCAGAATCATACAAAACTAAATTAATCAGGAACCTGGAGAAAAAAAGTCTTATTCTCAGTCCTACAAGAAAGGGGATTTGGGAAATGTTTAAAAGGTTTACAAAGGTGATGAAATCAGCTGAAACCGACCGATTCAAGTGGAGACATGAATATGATTAAAAGTGTAGATGGGAGGTTGTTCCAACTAAGCAGTAATGGAAAAACACGTCGGAATAGGAAAAGAAGAATCATTGTGTCAATAAATCAGTAGTAATGAGGGGTGAACAAGAACACATTCAAATGTGGGTCAAAACGCTATTTTGCCAACAATTATTTTAACCTGAACACTTGACATTTAAAGATTTGAGCACTTTTCTGTGATTAAATGTCTATCAGACACAATATGAACCATCCCAATTACAGTAATCTCTCACTCAGACACTCAGTCACTGTTCACCATTAGTTTGTTGCATTAAAAGCAAGTCTGAGAAATGTTTCCTTTAAAAAAAATAGTGTCATGGAAAAAGAAATAGACAGAACCAGGGCTCCTCTTATCCTTCAACATGACTTTGAAAGAAGAAACTGAAAAACCAATTATCCTAACATAAACTCTCCGCACAGTGTGTCTGTTCTGGTTGACCATAGCTCTGTCCCTCTGCTGCACGGGGCAGGAAAGGCCAAGGCTGTTTCAGCCCACCGAGAAACTAGATCAGCAGTGAAGTTGAAGGTTTGTTAAATAGAGAAGGAAGAGCACAGCGTTTTTACTGTATCGTACTTCAAACAGGACGTCTTCGTTTCACAGCAACAACTAGTGAGATAGACGTATGTAGGAAATAAATATCAACAAAATGATTTAATTAAATAAATCACTTGAGATTTTTTGAACTATCTTGGTTATTTCTAAGTTAATTCCCAAGAGACAGTAAGGAAATAATTTGCCAAACAGGAACTTATGCGTTTTACATTTCCCCTTTGTTTGCAATTAACAGATGAAGTGGGACTCAAAGGCTGAACGGACAAAAAAAGAAACTCTAACTGCAACTTCGAAGAAAGAGGACACCACAGCCTCTGCCACACTGTTTGATTGACAGGTGACCTCTGGAAATGCACTGCCATGATAGACAGAAAAGGTTTTCATTTTCTCATTCTTATTAGACTTACATGTGTGGGGACGAGGGCAGCCGGGTAGGCCAGTTTGTGATGTCTCCACATCCAGAAAGAGAAGAGGACGACGGCAGCCAGGCCTATGATGGGAACCAGGGAGTAAAGCAGAGTGCTGAAGAGCTGGGGCTTCTGGGAAAATGGGTTGGAGGTGGCTGTAGGGGAGAGAAAGAGAGAGGACAGTGGAAGAAAGAAGAAAAATTAACAAGGTATACAGGCTTGTTCTGTCTTCATAGAAACAAAAATAAAGTAGTTAAATAAATAAAAAAACAGGGACATTATGAAAACAGAAAGGGGAAAATTAAGAAAATGCCCAATTGGCCTGACATTGTGCTACATCATCTCTAAGTGAAGCACTAACCCTGCTTACAGCTTACTGCCACTGTGCTTAGGGATCTTAACAATGCACGCACGCACACACGCGCACACACGCGCGCACACACACACACACACACACACACAAATGCAGCTGGATTAGCAAATCCATCTCGTGACATAACGTAATCTGCCTGCCAAAAATAACGGAGCTCTGAACTGTGCCCGACCCCTGCAAGAGTCGCTGGGTGACGCCTGCTGGCTCAGCCTGTCCTCCCATCACAAGGTGTGAGAGCTTGATTCGGCAGCGCTGTCAAAGCGGCGACGCTCGGACGCCGATCGCCGCTGCTGTCCTCGGGGGTGGGGGTTAAGGGGGAAAAGGAGGGGAGTGAAAGGACGGGCAGGGGCCGATGGGGTTGCACCAGCTGCATCCTGGGACTCTCGGGGTGTTTGTCAAAGAGATTCTGAAAAGTTTTTCTATGCAGGGTGTCAGCAGGTTTCAGAGAGTCAGATTAAAAAAGGAATACAAAGAGACTTAGCTGTAAAGTGATGAGTTTACAGCTAAGGACACCAACATACTTTCATACTTTCAAATAGTCCACAGACCTGAAAAATAGAGTCCCATTATTGTGAGTTCTGTGGTAAATAACTCCTTTGCTAATTGTCTCTTTGGTACAGTATTGAGGGAGAGAGCTGCAGCTGAGATATATTTTTAAGAAATAACAGAAAGGATGCTATGAAACAACAAACCCTCTGAACGTTTGATTCGCCTGTCCTCGTCTCAAGGAAATGTCTTCCTCCTTTTAAAAGTGCCCTCCAATGTTTGTTTGGTGCAGGTTTTCTCTGATTTATCTGAATGAACTGTATTGTGCTGAGAGTTTATTTTCATAGTCTGTATATATCTTTTGTGTGGATTACAGAAATAAACTATTTTACTGGCTTTCAGTTTGCGGGGCACTTGCAGTGGTGCGAGTGTGTGGCTCTCCACCGCTGCCTGTCTCTCCTCCGAGCATTGGCAGCCCCTCCTCAGCTCAGTGGAGCGGAGGAGTGACAGAAAGCGGAGAGTCTGAGAGCTGACGATGGCTGCATGCAAGCTTCGAGACTAAAAACAACTGTATGACAGCTGACGTAAAACAAAAGACAGTACATCCCTACCTGGAACAAGTCCTCACATCTCCTGAGATTTTTAGAACGAGACTTCTCCTTGAGCGAGACTTGGTTAGACACACATCGGAGAGAAAATGTTGCGTCATCAGACTCTTACAGTAACAGTCTAAGTTGGTTAGTGGCAAAGCAGAAGCGCTCTCTCTCGATACTGAACCACATTCAAAACTTTTTGTGCCCATTTAATAACATATTTTATATATATTATCTAATGAGAAGGTCAGTTTAAATTGCAACATTTAGGTAATTTAGACCAGGTAAGAACATTTCAGCTCTTGTACACTAAATAAAGAACATGTCTGTTCATGTCTTTTGTTGCCTTTAATATCCCTACCCAAACCCTTAAAATATTTCTGAAGACATAAACACCTGGAAGCTCTGTAGATGGCAAATCTCCAGAGAACAAGTACTTTACATCACACACTTTGTGGAGGACTATCTCTTCAAAGTAAAAGCCTTGATGTTGTCAATGTTTTTGGGATAGAAAAATAGTTATATGTACATCTAACTTTAGAAATAAAGTACTTGTAGTCCCTGCCTTTGAGTGTTTTAGTTCAGAACTTCTGGTTCACCTGTAATTGTGGTTTTAAGGTGTGACTGTCACTTTCAGTGGAATATAGCTGTGTGTGCGTGTTGGACTGTACGTACTGTAGGCAGTTGAATGGTGCGGGTCAGTCTGTGGGGTGGCCTCAGGGGCGTACAGGAACCTCTCGTTGCACATGTTGCCTTCACAGCAGCAGAAGAAAACGTCGGGACTCTCCTTCTTCTCCACACACTCATTACTGCAGAGGACATGGAGGTGGGAATTAGAAACGAGAAAACACACACACACACTCGCAAATTTCTCCTCTTTCCTCTCTGCACACCGCAAAAGGAGTGTGGAAGCAATTTTATTTTTTAAGTGCGAGTGAGTGCACAGACAAACACACGAACAACATAATCTGCATCATCACACGCTATTTTCTAAAAAGCATAGACACACTTTGGACCATACACACACAAACACACACACTCATCTCTTTCCTCTCCATTCCCTCTCCGAAGATGTGAAAGAAAAACCATTTATAAAATAACTCCCACACACGCCAATACACTCACATGCAAACAAACACACATGTACACTAACAATCACACACACACGCACTCTCTTTCACACTCACACAGTCATCAGATAAAAGCCAAAGGAAGTGGCGGCCGCCCTCGACTTGCTCTGGCCTCTCCAGGGAGGCGAGGCGGCGCCGTCTGAGCAGAGGTACGCAAACTGTGCGGGCAGCAGAATCTTCAACAACTTTATCGCTCAGGAATCAAAAGGAAAACAGAAGCAGAACCTGCTCAAACCAGCATGCCAGGTTAATGTTCCAGCAAGGAAGGAACTATAATAATACCATCTATTAATATCTGTTTACGGTTTTCAGGTTTGGATGCATACATCATCCATTTTAAGTGGAGATTCACAAAGTAAATATAAAGTCCTGGGTAATTAAAAATGCAGCTTTGTGGAATCGTTCAGATGGGGAAACTGTGCTGAAGGTGGTTTTAAGTGTGTTCAAACTCGAGCCTCTCTCATTATCTGCCATCTTTGGCCTGCTTTTACACTGTGCTGTTGCTCTTCAGTCAGAAATGAATGGACAGATTTTGAGCAAGGACTTGGACCGTAATTAACACTGAAGGGCAATCATCTTCAGTTGCTTGTGCTCGAGGACTTGACGAATACATTGGTACTGCCTTTAAAATCCCAAATCACAGATTCGAGACCAGGATTCAGTTCAACTAAAGTTCATTTTCTACCTACAGTGTGTTGAAATGACACCATGAAACTCAAGATTTGATGTTTTCATGATAACAAAACAACAAAAACGGTATTTCTGACTGAAAACAGGTGAGGAAGGTTATAAACTAAAATGTGGCTGCAGTATTTTTTGGGCTTCTGCTGCTCCCTGCGTACCTGTCGTAGCAGTTGACGTCGTCCAGCCAGCAGCCCTGCTTGACGACCTCCACGGTACCAGAGACGTTCTTCCACGTGGCGAAGCAGTGCCTTCGCTTGTCTTTATCGCCATAGCAGGGCTCGATGCCGCTGTGGTTGGTGCGCTCCTTCTCCCAGCTGGAGTTGTAGTAGGCGCACTCCTGTGTCTCCGAGCGTCCCAGGATGGCACCTGAAGAGAACAGAGAGGACATTCGTTAGTTTTTAGTAGAAGGAGTGTCATTGTTAAGACAGGGTCCATGCATTGTTGGGTTTTCCTGGAGGAGAAAAAGGTTAAAAATGTACTCTCAGTTTTTGAATTTGGAGATTTACAAGCCACTGTGGCTGGGAGATAAAGTTTTTTTCCTTGACTGTCACTGACAAAGAATATAATGTAGTGTTGTATCGATAGCTGCTGGAAGGACATGTCTTCACAGCCTCAAAGTATGAGATATAGTGTAGTTGTAAAACATTTAGTAATAATAAAATTCACTTCTGTGGTACTTTTTTTTTTTTTTTAAGTGCTTTAGAGTCAATACAGCAATGAAAAATAAAAGCTTTTCTAAGATGAACAATAAAAACCAGCCAGGCATGACTGAGAAAATAAAGTTATAGAACAACTCACAAACCCAACTCCTGTTCACAAACCCAACTGAAAGGAGCCAATCGACTTCCCTCCCCCGCCAAAATAAAGGAGACTCTGATTTCCTGCAGATGAAGGCAGGCAGCCGCTTTTCTGCAAACCGATATCCAGGGAAAAACACTGCATGACAGCTTGTCAGTTTAGCGTTGCTGCTGCCGCCTCTCATCACCTGTCAGGGAGTTAGTCCAGTTTAGACTGCTGACAAGACTGAAGATAGTCGACCTCCGTTTGCTTGCTTCCTGGCAGTTCAGACACACAGGAAACCAGTTCTGATGAATAATTCTGTGCCTGCTCTTCAAGGTGTAATAACTACGTTCTGGTGTCTGTGCTGACAGTGTCCGGTGCTTTGTCAAAGTGATAATCCTCCCCCCACCCCCACTGATTTCTGCCAGCGTATTTCTCTCTATTGTGTGAAAAACAGATCCTCATCCCCTGGAAAAGGACTGTGTGCGTGTGTCAAATGGTTATGAACTTCCTCAGGCAGCTGATTCAAGTCAAAGAAGTTTGCAAAGTAACGCACTGTTCTCAGTGTTGTGTCTGTGTAAACATGTAGATGGTATGCAATGCCTTTTTCTTTGCCCATCACATTCGTCTTGTGGCGTTAAACTGTGTTCGGTGCTGGAGTTAAAAGCCGTATTTTGGATTTTGTGTGATTACTGAGGTTTGGGAACTAGTGAGCATCTATTTAGGACCTGTCAGATGAAAACATTTGAAGAAACCCTCCTTGGCCGAGGTAGAAGCTTATTATTTACTTGAAATTCCCTTTCTTAAAAAAATTTCCAGCCAACAACAATTTGCACTCTTGACCTTACTGGCTTTCATTTATTATTGCTTTTAAAGTCTCAAAAGCGCTACACAATTTAACATAATAGTGCTAGATAAATAAAGATAATGCTCCAATTTATGTGATCATTATGTACTCTCCTCTGCCACAGAGGAGAAGTGTCCTATTCACCACAATCGTGTCTAAAGTAGCTTCCAAAAAGCCGGGCTTAGCTTTTGTAATGGAGGTTACCTTTAGGGAGATCATGTAATTTTCAATAAAATAAAATGGCTGCTTAAGTAAAGCTATTTAATGCCAGTCCGGGCCCTGAAAGCGCAGCAGGTCTCTTTTCAACGGCATTAACAGCTGCAGATGGAAGAGCGAGGAGAGTGGCTACTTCACTGGCAGACGAGGTCACTCTGCCTCTTAGCAACACTGACGGCATTTTCTCTCTCGTCAAATCCATTTCCCATAAAGCCCCCAAACTATTTCACAGCAACAGGTGCAACTGTGGGGCTGCTGCCTGTGTGATCAAGAGCAAATGGCAAAAGCAACAAAAAGGGAGAGAGGGAGAGAGAGAGAGAAGAGAAAAATAGTCTAGGCTGAAGCAAGCCATGTTAAAAATGCAGAAATAACTGTTGCACGCATATTTACACAGAAACGTGAGTATAGAAAAAACTATGTGTGGACTAAACTGCATGTAGACGTTGAATCAAACACCTGGGAGTAGTTTGCTAATGTTTGCTCAAATAAAATACATAGTTGACTCCACTGACTGCAAACTAATTAAAGGAAACAAGAGTGTGAAGTTCAAATGACTACATTTCCATCACTACTAAGATGCCCTTGAGCAAGACTTTAATCTGAAGCAGCAAATAAATAAAACAACCCTGAAGGAAAAAAATGCAAATAATATATACTGTATTGAACTCCAGAGCCTTTAGATAACCCATCAAGCCTTTCGGATGCTTTTCCACCCCCAGTAGACCCTGTCCTCATATAACCTACTCTGCTTTACCATGATGTATAACTCTGTCTAAAAAAAAAAAGCCCTGTTTGTTAAGTTTATCCCCTCCATCAGGCCCTTTGGCAACTGAAGTGTCCATCGTATGGCAGCTGGGTTCTAGTCTTCCTGGATGGGGATGAATGCATCGTTCCCCTCACTGGCCCTCGTGGGAGCTGAAGGCGATAATTAAGGAGAAGGTACGCGGAGGTAAAGCGGGAGGTTAGCTCATTAGCCACTTCTGGTGTAACAGCATTAGCCATGCTAGCGCTGATCCCGATGGAATTAGCATCGAGGTGCTTGGCATTCGCATTTCCATTTTACTCCGAGTGATTTACAATGAACGCAGCAGAAGGATAAGCCCGAGTTCCACGTATCAACTGCATTACATGCAACTCATGATAATGAGTGGCCAGGAGGCAGAAAGCAAGTGAGACGAGCACTGTATGTGTGTCGCTGATGGAAGGATAAACAAAAGTTGTTAATATTATACAATGCTTTCACATAAGGCTGCAACTAACATTTTATTTTTTATTAATTCAGGTGCAGATTATTCTCAGTTTTGTCTATAATGCGTCAGAATATCGTGTTAAGTATAATTTCCCACAGTCCAAACAGTCCTAAACCCAAAGGTACTTCAACATATACGAGAAACAAAAGAATTACCAAAAAGATTAAAAGTATAATAAAAATAGTGATAAATATTTGTTAATTGATTAACTGACTAACTGTTGCAGCTCTAGTTACTAACATATGCGTAGTTTGATCCCCGGCACTGATGATACCCACAATCCCTTTGAGCGAAGCACTGAATAAAGCAGTTAATATAAAGTCCTGCAGAGCCTCCATCAAACACAAAGGCTTACAGACTAGAGACAAGATGGACAAGACAAACTCAGCCGCATGTAAACTGACATTAAACTGATGTATTTCTTAATATGGCAGTGCTCAAGTTTAAAAAAAAATAACAAGACAAAAAAGCCTGTCTTTTCTTCAGCCAAGGCAAGCTGCAACACCTCAACAGCTCCACCGAGAACGCCTCTTTTTAGACATTTCACCGTGTGAGAAAAAGCTGCAAGCCATCTGAACCGCAAATATACTGCTCCGTTGTAAACACAGCCGTTGAGAGCTCAAATCAATCACTTCTCTGAAATGAGGTGACAGTACGGGACGGCTGCCTATAGCTCGGTGTGCCAAAGGTGTTGCAGGGAGCTGCCTGGCAGTATGGCGGATATGAAGGAGGTAGAGAAGAGAAATCAATCTTCTGACTAAGTCGCAGCTCAGAGTTCACTAAAGCGGATAATGTCACCGAGTTTCCGAGCCTACACGAGCGATTGTGCAAGGACATACAATAGGGCTTCCACCCACAAGCACACAACCAGGCAATAAAAGAGAGAAGTCTCTTTGTGTCTGGGAGATATTTCACGCATGGAAATGTCAAACGCGAGCGGCACAGGCTCACTTTGTTTACCGTAATGAGGATTGTCGAATGGGAAAGAAAGACTGAGAACTAAATGCAGCACCCAACAATGCATTCTGTTAACACAAGGTCATTTTCTTGGCGATGAGGCGAGTTAACATATGTTTAATTTATTACCCACTAAAGGAGAGTGTCCAATAAAAGAATGACACAAAGCAAATCAACAAAAATGAGGGAAAATAAAGGTCTAAAAGCGGTGCTATGCTATTTAATCTTCAATGAATAGTGTTATTGGCTGGAAAGTCAGCTCACATGGGGGTGAATGAGCAAAGAAAAACATCTATTTTATTTTCCCAGTCAATGCAGACCTGTGTTACTGTGAGGCCACTTCTCAGAACAATAGACCAGAGAGCTTTTATGACATTTAATTGCTCGCCTCCCTCAAAAGGAAAGCTTCGTCTGTCAACCGAAGTCTCCCCAATGCAAGCGCAATCACTCCAATCACCGCAACACCCTTACAGAATGAATGTTTATCCTCCTCCGCGGTTTCCTTTCTTCTCGTGACCACATAGTATTTTATAGAGGCTCCGTTCTCTCTTCTAGTCATACAAGAGATTTATCAAGGTTAACCGCGACCTACTTTAGCTGCGGACATTTCAGCAACGCCTCCCCTCTGCACGACGTCTAAACACCCGACCCACTTTTCAATCCACTGGGGCTGCTCACCCCTCGCTAGCTGCCTGGTGGCTCTGAAAATTCACTCTGACATTTTAATTTTTTACATTTTGGTGCATTTAGCCGATGCTCTTTTCCACCGTGATGAAGCTCCCGGTTCCCGGCACACTTAGAAGAAATACTGTAACAGTGCAAGATACTCCTGCAACCACAGACTGGTCAGATAAGGCAGTCAGGCAGGTTTTTTTTTTTGACAATTTGACTGGTAACAAGGGCTGTGATTCACTTGCGATTAGAGTGTACTAGAGTGTAATATGAAGATGAAAAAGATTGTTAACTTGGCAGGGATGCTGTGGCTGGAGGAAATGACTGATTATCTGTAGCCGGCTCTGAAAATTCAATCTTTCTTGTGGCCGCTGAAAGGTCACGTAAGGTAGAGGCAATTCAGAGAACCTGAATCTGAGAGTTACAGAGGAGGCCCTGCCACATAGAGCAGGACACAGAGGTTCACACTTTCCTCTTTGATTGTGAGATCCACTGTGATGGAGCTGAAGGCTGACAAATGTCTACCCTGCTGCTGGCCCTCACCTGACTTCACCCAAAGCTTCTTAAGGACACCGTATCCCCATAATTGATTTGAGCCCTGAGAGCAAATTCACAGCAACGAGGAATAATTAACTTAATCACAG